AAAGATCCTTGAGAGATGTAACGATGTTGGTGTCGGCGGTCGCATAATACGTCTTGTTTTATTCATGTCGACGAACCGCCCCTCCGCCTCTTCTTGTTTTCCTGTACTTCGTACATCATCACTCCCATGATGCTTGACCACATCGTAAAATGACTGTAACGATGTGGCTGCCTCGTCGTTGGATTGGGAGGCTCTAAGTGGGCCAAACAGAGAAACAATAGAGAGCGACGAGGGACCAGGAGAAGAAAGAGAAAAAATTAGTACCCCCGGCGTCGAGCCGAATGGAGCTGAAAGTCCCCGTTGTTTATTCTATTCTTTCTACGAAGTATTCGTTAATAAAAAGAATTTCTTCGAGAGACGGACTGTTGGGACCGAGAGAAATCGCTATCCTGTCTACGCCACATCCCTACCGCCAGCCTGTTGGTTGTTGATCCTTCAGCATCCAGAGTGTCGGGTTCCCGCCCATCGCGCTGGTTGGTGAAGAAAAGGGAAAACTCTGCCCAAGTCCGAGGTCTTGGGTCAAGCCCAGAGTCATTCGGGAAGTCCGGGGGGCGTGTTTGTCGAATCGGAGGAGAGATCAGTGGGCTCAACAAGTTACTCCCCTTTTTGAGATGCAAGGCGAGGTTCGGGTCGGAGAGGAACCGGTGTGATGGTTTTCTGCCCCGTCACACTTTTTTGGTGGTGTGTCTGCCAGTCGGGGGTGCTTCTTTCTTCTCCCACGCACTTCAACGCCACAAGCCGAATTTATCAAGTGGAAAAATGGAAATAAAATAAGAAATAAAAATCGAGGGCTCGAGTAAGGGTTCGTGAGAGAACGTTGAGTTTAGATTTTGCGGAACAAGGCTTACTACGTTTTGACGTTTTAAAAACTGGGGTCCGTGGAAAGTTTAGCCCAGATCGCGGATTGTTTAATCTTCACAACTGCGATCGGAACCGATGCATTGATAGCCACGATCGTAACTCTCGGGAAAGTGGAGGTTCTCGTCCACGTTTCTAAATTCGCCTTCTAACCTTCGACACGCGAGTTTACTCAATCCCTTGCGGATGAGCGGAATCTTTAAATCTTCGATCAAATGTCACCGACATCTATTGGATTTAAGAGTTCTCCGATACGACAAAACTACTCGTGCTAGCTTATAACTCTAACCGATTTATGATCATTACGAGAGAATCGGGCTCGGCTTCGGATAAACGTTTGCGGCGTCAGTCTCGAGGTCCTGAGTTACAGAGTTATGGAACGATGACGCGTGCTACGAGAACGTGACTTCGATGACGTCTCGTATACTCCGAGACATCGTTCTTCGGATGAACTTGGACTTCTCAACGTTTTCAAGCTCTAGATAGGTTGCTGCTTTCATATCAGCCTCTCCCGCCTTGTCAACTTCTTCCCGAAGGGCTGGAAAGATGGTGTGGGCGGAACGTTGGCGTTGTCAACTCCCCAACAAGGGTGAGGCTGCCCGAGCGAAGATCTATATATTCTGGAGAAATTATAGCAGCCGCCACAGTTTCCGGACCCGGTTCCATACGAAGTAAGTCGCCAGCAGTACGAAGTACTCCTTCCTCCGGTTTACGAAGTAAACGACAAGTCAAAGGGTTCCGAGAGAGCGGAAGTCATGAACGTGGCTGCTCACTTCCAAGCAAAGTGTAGATCGGCGTCTCACGTAATGACTCTAACTCTGTTCGGCGTAGGGGTGACAAGCTGCCCCCGGCTTATTGGAGCGGAGGAAGCTAGGGCAAGAGATAGTGGCACATTTTCAGCTTTCCCCCGTGGCCATACCGTGGTCTTCGCGTGCTTGGCTTTTTTTTTTCCCCCAGACTTTAACCTCGACGCTACTCCACGAATTCCGCTACTTCATGTGCGCAGTTGGGTTGGCTGTGTGCTCATGTACAATGGACAACGCTGGATAACACCTCCTATTAGCCACTACCAATTCGGTATTGACGGCGGGATGTCCGGCGTTGAAATCCCGGAACTCTGTACACCTTCCGGTGAGGGGGGGAGGGAAGGAAGAACTTTTTCAGTCGCCAGCTAAGTTTAATCGAGAAGAACAAGATGGGAAGCTATGTCACCGGACCCCTTGCCCTGTTGCCTTACCCCGGTCTACGTTCATTTCAAGTTTTTTTTCTTCTCCTCTTTTCCTTCCTTGAGGATTGAGATGAGCATTGCCGCACGGTTCCGGCGCGATAGTTTTCTTCTTTCTTCTTTCTCCGTGCGTTCCTGATGGTTTAATACACTCCCAATGCCGTTTTACCTTTCTTCCTTATTCGCAACCACGCGCCTCCGGTGCCCTCCGACGAATTTCCTTTTCTTCCCTACATGGGCTAGGGAATGATCTCAATACCGCGCCATGGCGATCGGCGACACAGGCATCTCCATCCAAGACCCTCCGCTCAGCACCGGAAATCTCGTGCTCATCGTCGTCTTCCTCAGCATCGCGCTGTACAACTTCATCGAGCTCAACTTTATCATCTACGCGACCTTCAAGAAACGCCGCGGCCTGTACTTTTGGAGCTTCCTCGTTGCCACCTGGGCCATCGCTCCGTACGTCATCGGGTTCCTCCTTAAGGCTCTGCAGTACAATAGCCATAGCTGGCTCTATGTTACCCTGATTATCATAGGTTGGATCCCGCTGGTTACGGGACAGTCCGTCGTTCTCTATTCGCGGCTTCACCTTATTGTCTATGACAGGAAGGTGTTGCGCGCTGTGCGGTACATGATTATTATCAACGCCATTATTTGCCATGTCCCCATTATTGTAATGGTGTATGGCGCCAATTCGTCCAACCCAGAACCCTTCATCAAGCCTTACTCCGTCTACGAAAAAATCCAGGTCACCATCTTCTTCATCCAGGAGGTTATTATCTCCGGCTTATACATCATCGAGACGACCAAACTCATGCGCGCCCAGAGGGAAATCCGAAGCAGCAGCAGCAGGCGAAACCTCATGACCCACCTCATAGTCGTTAACGTCGTCGTTGTTGTGCTGGATATAACCCTCCTCGGACTCGAGTACTCTGGCCTCTACAGCGTGCAGACGGCATATAAGGGACTTGTTTACAGCGTCAAGCTAAAGGTGGAGTTCAGCATTCTCAACAAGCTCGTCGACATGATGCACGGGTCCACCAGCGGCAGTTCGTGTGATCGTACGCTCAGCGGCGCCGACGGGCTCCATCTAGAACTGGGCGATCGGCCTGCGGGACGTCCCGGAATCGGATACGTATCCTACGTTAGCGCCGAACCGAACGGGAGCGCCGAGCCAATGGGGAATTCGGTAGTAATGACGAGGGCTGTTACGGTGTCAAGAGACGGAGATAGCGCTCTCTCGGATTACGACATTGTTGAGGCCAGGGAGAGGGAGAATTGGCATGGTGATGTTATGGCGCCCCCTAGGGACTCGGGTATTGCGACTGCTCATCTTAGGAGACACATTAATGGAATACGGCCATCGGCTGAGCCGGAGGAACGCTTCGCGAGACCACCTCCCTGACACTATGGACCCCTTCTAGCATTTGGACAACACCCAGCCGGCAATAAGACACCGTGAACATCCACTATATCGAGCCACGTGTGCGTGCATGGGACCTCGACCAATATGGACCGGAAGCATTGCCGGCGGAAGGACCCCGAACGGAAGGAAAGAACAACCTTAAGAGATTGCATAGGGTGACAACGCCCCCTCTCAACACAACTGCCATCTTCGATGCAAACGCTGTTAAGCAGTGGTTCGATTTCACCTCGATGACCCACCCTTTGACTCGAGGAGGGCTATCCGAGTGAAACAGGCTCGCCGTTCTCTCAAACCGAACTTAAACTCTTCTATTCCGTTGAGTCGCTGTGTAGGAGGGAAATCATACCCGCCCAGTCGAAGAGGACTATGCCTCCCACTAGAGCAAGTTATATTATATAGTCTTGATCAGGCAGCACCAACTATATGCTGCTCTCGAGGAACCCTTATCGGAACCGCCGCGCGGCGTACGCCACGAACACTGCCATGGCACCTTTCAACCATGCGGCCCCGACGACCGGGGGTTTCGTGGTTTTGTCACGAAAAAGAACTTTGCGACGAGACGAATAGGTCTATGAAGAGCAAGTAAGGAGATGCTTGCCTTCAGGATGCATGCGGTGAACAATATAGATCCTGGCGAGGAGAGGATCAGACAACACATCCAAGCACTAGTGGTTTAGTGGTAAAATTGGTCGTTGCCATCTCACAGTTTCGACTAGCCCCCGGTTCGATTCCGGGCTAGTGCAGAGATTCTTCAGTTTCATTTTTTTTTCTCATTTTCTTTTTTTTCTCTTTTCTTGCCCTTTGTGGGCACATTAAATAGGGTAGCAAGCGGGACGGTTCGTGATCTCCACTTTGAGTGGACGCGCCAAGTCGGGTCTTCACTCGTTCCGGGGACGAGAGGTGAGAACGACTTTTGGACTGTTCGGGACGCTGAGGCTTCCTGAGCGAGGAGGCCTATTGAAATTTGCTTCTAAAGTATATATAGACCTCTGTAAATATTCAAATTATTTAATGACCTAATTTTTAACCAAATAATGTGTCGTAAGTTCTTCTCGTTGATATGGAAGAGAAGTATGGAATATCTCGTCTTAGTTGAAGGATTGTTTTACTTCATTATCATGATGAGACCTAATGCAGCTCTATAATTTGTTAAGAGAAAAAGGTTGCTCTTTAAGATATATACATCGGAGTCTTGCGGCGATACTAATTGGCGTGCGTTCCTAGGCATCTAGAAAGCAATGGGACAAGCGACTGGGCGATATGATCCTCGTGCCTAGATTAAAACCGGCAACCTCTCACTTCGACTTACCTCTCATAGGAAGCCGTAGGAGGCTAAATAAGTATGGGCATTGATACAACATCAAATTCAATGAGCAGTCGTGAGTCGTGGCAATCTCTGCTCGAGTCAACTGCAACAAGATCGCACACCTTGGAACGAGATGATATATAAACGAAAACAAAATTGAATCTTATACAACGCCAGGTTTCCTATCATGAAGTGTAATACCGTGGGCCTGGCAAAACCGTGTACTGATCCGACACAAAGCTCAGAACTTCCCGTTGCCGATGTCGTTCGGGATCTATAAAGACTTTGAGCCCAATTGAACCCCTTCCTAGATCGAAAACCCGGAAAATTGCGTAAATCTCATCCTGCCTGGCATCCCCGGAAGGACCGTTGGTCATATTTTGCATCTACAAGACGTCAGTAATCGAAGCCCGCCATCGTCATGAAATCCGGTGGATGTAGCACTCACCCTGGCATGTTGACCACCGCTAAAATAGAAAGGAGTAGCGCATGGCCCGGTGGTTGTCTTAACCTCTATGTAGTACGTAGGCGATTTCCCTGTCCAATGGGTGCTAGATAGATAGCCCTTTTGGATCATCAGCGAAGTGAGAGTTCCGGATTCATCGCCATAAACGATATCCGACGTCTCCGCTTCTGTGAAATCGGACAGGTCTGCATACTCCGGATGCACTTTCACGTAGTGTCGGATCCTACTCTTCCAATTTCCACGGCCGAATGAAGGCAAGTTTGGCTCGAGGTTGGATAACAGCTCGAATACCTGTTTCTATGGATTAGGCCCCTGATTATCGTTCTGCAGATTTCAGTTTTACTTACGAAAAGCTCCCCTGCTGCACCCGTTTTAACGCGGCGCTCCCAATCAGATGTGTAGCGCACGGTGCTAGCCACATCTGAGCCAACGGAGAGGTTTTGCAGCGCAGTAGACAACCCGTCCGGAGGGCCAAGATCCGGAAATGTTGCGCGGCGGGCGGCGCTTACTACCCTGGTGAGAAGATCCCGGTATCCCGAATCGCGGACAGTGCTGCTTATACGTGATCGTACGAAATAAGATGGCGTTCCAAAGCCCGTGTCCTCGCCGAACTCGTCAGAGTCGTCACCGCGGTTGGTTAGGGGTGTAGGGACTCCTGAATCGTTGCTCGACGATGAAACAGTCTGCGGTGTCCATACGGAGACGGTCGTCGAACCCGTTAATGGTATGTTCTGTGGTGTGCGGCTTGGTCGCGTGGGAGTGATTGGTGGGGACTCCACCGCTAGAGTTGAAGGAGCGGTGCGCTCTTGCATTACTTCAGGTATATCAATCACGGGAACTCCTTCCCTTGTCAAGATACACGGCAAGCTTGAAACACGGCAGTTCAGAATGCTATTGAGCAGGTGGAGGGCTGCTTCTTCGTCGGGGATCCCAGACACCTGGGCCGCTGGTCGATCCATGAGCCAGGATAGTAGACGGCGCGGTAGGGACGTTCGGAAACAAACGTCTTGGTCGACCGCATCCCGTGGCACGTATACAGTGAGTTGTCCATCCGTTTCTTCGAAGTGCAAGTCGCTCCTGCTGAGCTCATGATCGAAGGTTTCTCCGTCTAATTCCAACGTAAGAGTCGAGGAGACGCCCTCGGACTCCATGGTGGCGATATTGCGAAGGACATCATACAAAGCTTGCGGGTCAGCTTCATACTTGGGGCTGTTATACTTGTTCGCTAGCCTAAAAAGATGAGAAAAAAAATCAGAATAAAGCTTGTTAGTCGTCGAGATGGAGATAGTGCATACCGAAGGAGTCCGTAAGCCTTTTCTTTCAAATCGCGTTCCCTATCACCGATTGGAGTTGCAACATCCCCCACTACCCGGCTCGATTCCTTGACTCTCTGTGACAGGTATCTTGACTCTAAGCCTGCCCAGATGATGAAAGGTCTTAGGCGGCACACATCATTCAATGAGAATGCGAGGTGGTTGGCTTTCTCCTTAAACACGCTCCAAGAGTCTTCTCGATCCGCAATGAAAAATGACGATTTAGCTGACAAGAGAGTACAGTCGCCGTTGGGAGCCTGGACGGGAAACACATTGGCCTTACGCAGGCGCTTAGGCTTTGGAGGGTTCTCTTCGCGACCGAGAAGAGAATTAAACGCCTTGAGGAGCTCTTTCACCCTCTCCACCGATGGGCTCTTGTTGCTTATATCCAATAGAGAATTGTGGATCATCGATAAGTCCACGGCCTTGACGCCGAGTGTAGCCGTGAAGAATTCCTGCAGGTCTTCGTACTGGGAGTTAATAGCAACTTTCCCCTCGATATCAGTCATGGTTGACCAGATGCACTCGCTTGGAGGATGCCATGTGACCGAGCCCTTTCGCTTGACGCAAATAAGTTCATCCTTTTCGAAGGTATCCCTGGGATTTGTGTTAGTATGTGACAAGGACCTCGTGTGGCCCGAGGAGCTTTAGAGACAGGGTGGAACACTTACCTGACGTAGTTAGCAAAATCATCTTCAATATTGATAAGCTCGTGCAAAAACCGGTACAAGTCAATGATAAATTGGGGATCAGCGAGGTGTTCATTCTTCTTCCTCAATTGTAGCTCCTTTATGAGATGGCTGTGCCGAATGTTCTCCACTCCGATGGTCTTTTGGAAAAAGTGACCAAGTTCGTCAATATCCACTGCGGAGCCTTGAAAGGCCTTTTTGTACAACGCCTTGAGTGGTTTGTAGCTCATCATGTAGTCGGGTCCGTCCCAGATGCATTTGTGGCTATCAACCCATTTAGACTGGATGTCTTCGCCGTCGTAACACGGGATCCAGATACAATCGAATAGCTGAAAGTCCTGCCTAATAGAATTATTAGCCGGTGTATAGAACAGCAAGCCGGAGAGCTTCAGGCCAACTTACTCGACCCGAGACCGAGCAGACGAAGGGTCTTCTGAAGCAACGCAAGCAGCCTCTATGTATTGATATAGGGAGGCTGCTCGGAGAGATATCTCCGGGGCTGGGGTTTTGTCCGATGAATCTTGGAGTATAGTAATGAGATTCAGTCGGAAGTCCAAGTCATCTCGGAATCCGATATCAAGGTCAACTGCCAGGAATCCCCAGCTCACAAGAAGTTCCGCGTCATCAATCTCATCAGCCAAATCCGGGAGAGAAAGAAAATATGCCTTATCTCCACCGGTGAACCTTCTGCAAACACGGCGGAGCTCTTGGAGAGGCAAATGCGCTTCGCACGGAGAAACCTCACTATCTTCATTGAGGCTGGGCATGTCAGTATCGCGAAGTATATCTAGGGCTTTTTCGTCTGATTTCACTAAATCTCCCTCTATCGGCCAAACATGTTTCAGATAACCGAGTAACATGTCCCGGCGGTGTTTCTTGATATACTGGAATTCCTCCGAGAGAGATTTCGAGCTGCTGTCATAGAGCCTGACATGACGCCTAATGCCGAGAACATCATGCAGCCATTTAGTCCAGGACAGCGTTCCACCGGAGGGCTTTTCGGGAGGATCGTCTAAATAGGCGGAATTCAGAAAGGAAACCCTGGCTAAGACAGCTCCTATAATGCCTAGTAACTGATACGCCCCGTAAGGCTGGTTGTCTTCTTTGTAAACGACTGACAGGCTGGGAATCACCATGGCTCCCATCGAGTCGAAAACTGCAAGTACATCCTTCTCAGCTTTACTCAGTTTTGCGGTAGGTATATCCGTAAGATATAGGAATCTTAGGTGCTCTTTCGACATTGCGATATCTATGGTAGCCTTGTTGCGGCGATATTTGTCGAAAACTAGCCCGCGCACGACTTGGGCGGACGCAGATTGCACGCCCAGATAGTCGAAAAGGCGTTTCCTCTCGTCGGATTCCTTCGCATCTGGACAAACCAGTCGCAAACCTAAATCTCGTGGGATTGGTATGCCGTTGATATCGGCCCACATGATCTCTTTCGTTGCCGCGGCCCAGGATCCGTTGATGAGCGGAATTAGGTGAAGCTTTCGGGTGGCCGCTCTGCTGCGATTCCCCAGTTCTTTGTTTTTAAGGGTCCACGGTATGCTGAGTAGCCGCGAGACCCTTCCGTGCCAGTCACTGGTCATGGAAGAATTTCTAATTCGTGAATCGGAGCGGGCTAGGTCGCGTTTTGCTAACTCAACAATCTCGAGCCTCATTAGGGTTGACAGCCCGAATTCCTCCAGAACATCAATATCGCTATTTTGGTACTTATCTGACAAGTACAGCTCGGGATATGAATCCTGGAGCAGAGGAGCCCCGAATTGGTCATTATGGACAGGTAGGCGACGCCTTAGCTCGGAAATCGGACGTAGCTCCCCGCGATCACGAGTTCGCAGAACCGACTCGTCCTCAAGGAGGTCTTTGATCTTATCAACGAGAGAAGACCAAAGACGGTCCCAGTGGTGTGACCCCTCTGTAGGGAGGTACCTCATCCAGGTGTACTGAAGATCTGGGTGTTCGCAAAACTCCAACACAGCCTTGATGAAGGCCTTGGCGATGTTGTTGATCAAGCCGCGATTTCTGGGGGAATCCGCTACGACATCCTCGCGGTTGGCTTGCGTGACAAAATCTGCCTGGATGAGAAACTGCGTAGGATCGTCAATACAGCGTCGACATTTTAGGTGCGACAGAGAAAGCTAGGTGTGATTGCACATACATTAAATCCCACATAGCGCATTGGCAAGAATGCGAATACTTTCTGAGGTTCGATGATTGGTTTGGAGTCGGCTGTAAGTGGGAAGGCTAGAACGATCTCCGAGGTTGCGTAAGATTTTCTCGCTTCCTCCGCGGCCGTCAAGGCTCTGTTCTCACTCTTCGCCAGGTTTGTCGCCTTGTACCTCGTGACGTGATATACTCGCTTCTTGGGAAGGGTCCCCAAGCTCGCCAGGGGATCCGATGTCTCCAGGATCTCACGGTTAGCTATTGAGTCTGTTTTCTGCACGAACTTCACGGCCCATTCCTCGACCTCGTTCTCATCGTAGAAGAAAATACTGATGTTCCGGATATTTCTCAAGAATAAAAGGAGAGGAGCATCGAGTTCGCGGAATTGCCTCCGAATCAACTCCCGGTGGCGTGTGAGTTCGGTTGGATCTTGGTACTCGTGAAGAAACAAGGTGATTCTGGTCAATGGCCGGGGTAGCGTGGCGACAGGCTCTTCCCAGAGAGGATTCACCATTCCCATCCCGGAGTCATTCATTCGATGAATGAAACTGAACGAGAAAGAACCCGATTGTACATGCACTTTCCACGCTGCCATGAATACCGACTTGAACCCAATCCCCTTCTCACCGATATATGCCTGCGATCCGGTCTTCGTGCTTTTGCCTATGCTGCAAATGGCCTTTAGGTTTCTTTCATTGAAGCCGTCCTCGTTACAGTCCACCACGATCCTGTCGTGATAGACCTTGAATGCAATGAAGGGAGCTTTCCCAGCTCGCAAGGCGGCGCTGTACTGGTTATCGTCGGCGTTTTGCAGCAGTTCGAAAACGAACCGAGCATTGCTGGTGTACAGGTTTTTTGCGAGTCTATGACACTTGTTAGCAAGCTCTCAAGAACTGGGCGGCCTTTACGCACGTCAGCACGGAAGCGCCAATTTGCTTGTCTTTGGTGAGCAGAGCTTCCTCTACCTCACGCCGCACCTCCGGAGACATTGTACCCAGACTGCTCTCTCGAACGTATCCAGCGCTCTTAACAATCTGGTCTACTAGCTGCCGGGCCTGAGCCGGCGTGTATGATGGGCTGGCCATATTTTCTGACGATATATCCCAGGAGTGGTTAAACGATAACCAAGCTTGGTACGCCCAAGCGCCGAAGTGAAAATCGGTGATCCTGCTAAGATACTCGCTGGTAAATTAGTGGAAATATATATTTACATTTAAGCGCTGTCCTCTGTAACATCTAACATCTTTACCCCTTCTCCCAAAGCCTGGTGAAAGGAGGGGGGGAGTTGGGGGCTGTGTGCTGTTGGTGATCTCGGTGTGAAGTACCAGCAACGGCAAATTCTGTGTGGAGTGACAAGGGTCGCATCACACCAACAGCAAGCCGAAACCGACTGCATGGGCCGCGACGGGTCATCGTCTCGGAGAGAAGTTGTCCTGTCCAATTGATGAGGCATCAACCTGCATGAAAAGTCCTGGAAATCAAAGAAGGGCGAGGCCCAGGCCGTTATGCCGGGGGTATTCTAGATCCGCCCATGAATCCGTCTCATAATACCAGGGAGTCTCGCCGTTATCGAGGCGCTGAGGGAGGCATCAATCCGAGCCAATGGCTGCACATCCAACTGACAATCCTGTACTCAGAGCTCACAAGTCATTTCAGGTACGGCCCTGGGTGCGATAAGGCCATTGCCACGGCTCCTTCGCGGCCAAGTGCGGGGGCATGGAGAAGCAGGGCGTAAAGCATTTTCTGCCATGAAATACGGACCATGCTGGGGAGGGTTGTTCACCTTTGCTTGCGAGTCCGCTGAAGCTGTTCTTGTGTTGAGTTGAATATAAGTCAAATGATCGCATCTGTCGACAACTGTCCGCACATCAATTAGAAATATTGCGGGTCTTTGAGGAATTGACGGGATTACCCGTCAAATGTCCTTCCTCGTCGCGTCTTGCACCGCGTCTGACAAACACCGTCTTTTTGTCCCTGCAATTGTACCTGTTGAGTCGTTAATATCTCCACCACCGTCGTCTCTCTTGATATTTACCCCCAACCGACAAACTGCTCTATTATAACAGACTGTCATAATACCCTCTTCTCCAATTCCTCCATATACCTCGAGCCTCCTACTCCAGCACTCAATCTCAAGAGTGTCGCTTCTGCTTTTTTCATTGCTTCTCATTGATTGTATACTGACGCGCTAGTCTGTTAAACTCCCTGCATTTCCCTCGACCTCCTAGATAGACCACACCGCGTTTACAGCCTTGGACGAAGCCTCATTGCACCATATTCGCGAGCGTGTTCCTGCCGAGAACGAATAAGCACCGACCAGTTTTGCTCCAAAATTCCACCCCTTTAATAGACGAGAAAAACAACCACCTCAGAAAACCAACACCACCCATGACCCCACCGAATTCTCTCGCCCACGACGCGTCTTTGACCCAGTGAGCCATGTATCTCCCGCGCTCTCTCATCTCCAAGCTCTATACCCACCTCCAGAGAACCCGCCACCCGCTCTCTCCGCCCGTCCTCATCCTGGTCGCCCTCGAACCCGACGCCCTCTGCGCCTGCCGAATCCTCACGCGCCTCCTCAAGCATGACTACATCCAGCACAAAATCCAGCCCATCGCGGGGTATTCGGACCTCGAGCGCGCCGGAGAGAGGCTCGTACAGCCCATGATGGAATGTCGAGGTGGTAGCGGTGGTGTCGTCGTGTGTCTAGGCGTTGGCGGCATGACGGACCTCGCGAGTCTTTTGGGTCTCGAGCAGGAGGATGGCGTGTTTAGTGGTGTTGAGGTCTGGCTTCTAGACGCGCATAGGCCGTGGAATTTGGCCAATGTTTTCGGTGGATTCCCGATTGATCCCACTACCGCCGAGGAAACAGAGTCTAGGTTTCCTAGCGGCGCGGAGGGAGGAAGGATAGAGAAGGCGTATAAGCCGGGAAAAGGGGGGATAATAGTTTTTGACGACGGGGATATTGAGGATGATTTGCAGGCGGAGAAAGACGCGTATTTGACACTTTTGGATATGCCCGATGTGGCGGATGATGACGGGGACGACTTGGGCGAGACCGAGGAGGAGAGTGAGGCCGAGGAGGAGGAAGAAGAAGAGGAACAGGACGAATTGGTGCGTGCGGGGCGGAAGAGGAAAAGTTGGTCAGATCGTGAGGAGGATGAATTTAGCGATGAGGAGGATAGGCCTGCGCAGAGGCGGAGAAGTAACTCGGTATGTTATCACAACGACAAGCCTAGAGTTCTTGTGAGACTGTCTTCGTTCTTACTAACCATTGATTATAGTCGAGCTCTATACCAGAATCACCGCGCCGGCCACAGGGCAGGGGTCTAATATCCATCCGGGAGCAAAGTGCAGTAACGTCGAGTTCGGCCGATGTCAACAGCGAGCCCCCAACAAGGACGAAACAGCCGTCAGCGAGAGCTCTAAGGCGGAAATTCCTCCGTTTAAGAGACGAAAAAGAAACCATTATCCAAAAGTACTACAGGATGGGCACGTCCTTCTCCGAACCCATATCGTCCATGATGTACTCCCTCGCATCCGAGCTTGGCCGCGAAGACAACGACCTCCTATGGTTCGCCATCGTCGGCGTCACCTCGATGGAACTCTACGGCCGCTCCTCAGCCGGCATCGCCGTGCCCGTGCGCGGCAACGAACGCAACCGAGCAGCTGGCTGGCTCGGCATCCGCGGCGCGCGAATCCGCCAACTCCTCCGCGACGAAGTCCGACGTCTCAACCCGCCAGACGTCACCAACGGCCGCGTTTCCCCCGAAAACTCGGGCATCATCCCGACGACGGCGAGCAGCCCCGAGGACACGAGCATCCGGTTGTCTCCCGAGCCGAAGTTCCTCCTCATCCGCCATTGGTCCCTGTACGATAGCATGCTGCACTCGCCGTACCTGTTCTCGCGCCTAAAGACGTGGAGTGACACGGGGCTAAAGCGCCTGCATAAGCTCCTTGCTAAGATGGGTGTTAGCCTCGTGCAGTGCAAGCAGAGCTATACGCACATGGACATGATGCTTAAGCGCGAGCTGCGCGCTAAACTACTAAAGTACGCGTCTTTGTATAACCTCGATGATATGGTGCCGTCGGTAGATACGGACGGAAAGGATCGTGGGGGCGCGAAGGACGGTTGGGGGTTCGTGAGGAGTTGGGGCTGGCGCGCGACGTTGTCGGCGCAGGATGTTGGTGTCGTCATCGGTGCCTTGCTGGAAGTTGGAAAGCACGGCGGTGGCGGTGGGGATGGTGGTCATGCCATTCCCGCGGGTGGTCCCTCATCACAGATTGTGGAGGAGAGTGCTGCTGATGCGCTGGCTGCGAGGAGTGAGGAGTGGGTTTCTCGGTTCTGGGAAGCCTACGACGCGTTGGATGAGTAAGTTTTTGTTAACCGTGGCCCACGAGCAATTTCCTTTGTTTTTCTACTACGATTACAGCTATTTGCTAACACCATGTCTCTAGCATCGACTCCCTCAAAGCTGGTCTCCCAACAGCGCAGTTCCTCCACCGCGCCATTTACCGCACAGGGACATCCCTCATCCAAAAGAAGCAAATCAAACACCTCCGCGCCTTCCGCCTCTGCGTCGTCAAGGACGGACCCGACGTCGCACTCTTCAACCACCCCGCGGCGCTGACCAAGTTGGCTCTCTGGATCGGCGAGGCCCTCCTCGAGCAGGAGCGCGAGGCGACGGGTAAGCTCTCCCACGGCGGGCGAGGCACACCGCTCGTGGTGGCCAGCCTAGACGAGAAGCAAGGCCTCTACGTCGTCGTGGGCACGGGCGGCGGCGGCGGGCCAGACACGGTGTTTCTGAACAAGGAGGCGGCGAAGAGGCGGAAGAAGGAGAAGGAGGAAAAAGCTAAGCGGCGCGAGGCGGATAGGAAGGCGAAGGAAAAGATAAGGGAGGAGAAGAAGGCTGCGAAGGAGGCTGCTGGGGAGGACTACGACGAGGAGCTTGAGACAGAGTCGGAGGGCGAGGATGTTTCGGAATCGGAAGAGGACGACTCTGAGGATGAGGATGATGTTGGAGGAGGAAAGGGGAGGGGGTATGGGTTGAATCGGTTCGGGACGGCGTTTAATGATGTTATTTCGGATACAGGGGCGAGGGTGAGGGTGGACAGTTTTGAGCATTGCGTTGTGGAGGTGAAGAAGGAGGATCTCGGCGGTTTCCTTGAGAGTCTGAGCATGAAGGCTGTGGTGGGATGAGGTTTTTTTTTCTTCTTTTTTCTGTCTTGTGTTTCTTTATTGCATGCATGTTTGGCATTCTGTTTTCGCTTGTTTTTTCTTTCCTGTTCTCGTTTTGTTTGGCATTTTGAGTTTATCCTTTTTTCTTCGGGTTTGTTTTTCTGCTTTTGTGATGGAAAACTACGGGTCTTTACGAAACGAAAGATAGTTAGGGGGAATCGGGTTGTTGTCTTCTCATTCCTCTTACTTTGATGAAGGCGCTGGGTGTTGCTGAAAAGGGTATAATAGCCATTCCTTTCGAAATCAATGATATATTTCTTGACATTTCCCATGTTCAGGAGCTCGACACAAAACAGAGATCCCTCAATGACCTCTGCATGACCGTGTGTCTGCATGCTTGGGTCTGTCATGCCCACATCTATAAGGCGATCTTCACAAACATAACCCGAGGAAATGAGTCTTGGGAAAGCCCCGTCGACCCATCTCTTCAAATCCGTGGCCTCTGGAGATTCATCCGATGCATTGCCGGATGAACTGGTGCAAGGCCACCGTGTCGTACGTTACGCGGCGCTGCAAGTATTTTGGCTGTGTACCACCCTCCTTGGCGCTTGCGACCTCAACAATCCGTCTGGATAGAAAAGCAAGCTCAGCGGAGTATTTCACAAGGCCAAGTGCTTTTCTCTCTTCGCTGTTGAGGCGGCTCAAGGCGTTATCCCAGAGCTGCTTCCACCGATCTAATCCACGAAACAAGATAGATGCGCCGTTGTCGATGAGCATTAAAGTATGGTAATGGAACATGACGTGTTGGAAAGCTGAGTTGTCCATTTTCTTTTAGCTTTTTTTACTATTTTTTAATGCTGCAGGACAGGACGGAAAACTCACCGAATATAATCACTAGGAAATGTTTGATATCAAGGTGCTGAAAGAGAGCCACGGTGCCCTCCGTCCACTCATCTCCAAGTAATGCCGAGATGAGGAATTTCGGACACGGCAAGCTAGAACTAAAGTCCTCCTGGGATCGGAGACTCTCAAAACTTGCAGCACGGTCGGCGTTCCACAGCTCATCTCTGCATGGAAGATGGCCAGTCATGTCGAAGAAGGTCATGGCAGGAGGATGGTTGGAGAAGAGCGTGAACCATCCGTCATTGATAAAAGCCCAGTGAGCAAGCCTGATGCGAGATTCTTTGCGCACGAACATGGTCCAATCCTGGTCTGGCTCGTGCCTGGTTCCGATGATATTGAGGTCTCTTAGCAAGTCGACAAGCATTGGGTGACACTTGGTAATGAGGCGTTGGCGTATTTTGGCATTTTTGACACAGGACTGAAGGGTTTCTATAATGTAGGCCGCTTGGCATAATTCTAGCGACTGCTGAGCGTCGGCCGATGTTGTTGAACCGAGCAATTGTTCCACGCGGTGGAAGATGTACTTCTCGGCTATCTCACGCAGTGTTAACACGAAGGAAGCGGGCCCTGCATTTCTTCCTTGTCGGTAATGAATATACGCGGAACCCGAGACTGCAATTGCCAGCAAGAGGCTCGGGTCCGCTTGGTCAGGGCGAAAGGTCGGCTTGTGGATGATTGTGGCTAGCAATTGCTCCCTCTGAAAGAAGACTTCTATACACTCGCGGAAGTTCGAAACCGTAAAGAATGCCGCCGACGATTCTGTCGCGAGAAAACTCTGGATATGGGAATCTACTGTAGCGACTTGTCGAAAACCTACTTCCAGGAGACTAACTCGTGCGCGGAGCTCCTCGTCCGAATTGCCCGGATCTGGTCGACCTAGTGTACTACCTGGAAGATATTCGCCGTCCGTATCGTTGCGATCTAAATCCATGCTGAAAGATGGGCCAATGAAACTTAAGAATAAAAGACGTGGATCAATCGTGTCAGAGATGGTAATATCATAATTGTCCGAAGAATCCTGGTATGAAGCTGGTTGGCCAGGGCTCTGTTCTGGTTCCCTGGTAAGGATGATTTCGTCTACCGTGGCGATGGCAGGATCTGTGCAGGCGAGCATGAACGGCAATGGGAACTGGTTTTTATCCGTAGACGGAGGCTTCCCCCGGGGCATCGATTGGGCAAGGTGTGTAGGATCCGTACAAAGTCTGCCATACGTGCAACTTAGATGCCGGGAAGAGCAACGCGCGCAAGGCGTCTTCGAGTCGCACGAAACCTTTACACGAGAGCACGCGTCACAAGAATGCACTCTCCTCCCGCGCTTGGCATCCGGCGGTAGAAGACGGTTGCCCCTGGACGGGCAGGTTCTAGTATGGCGCTTGGCGCCGTCGACGCGGCGAAAGGTCCGGGCACAGAAGGGGCATTCATGTTGGCGAGATGGGGTGCTTCGGGGGAAGGGTAGTCGGCATATGTGGCACTCGCGGGGATTCGGTGAAGTCATTAGCTCCGGAGAAAAGAAGGAGGGATATGGAAATGATGGATTATGGTGAGGTTGGAGGGATGAGTGCTTTTCCCGACGCTAGGATTGGGAAGTAGGTTAGAACTAAGTCGCTTAGACGGTTAAGCGTTAAGCGATCCTTATATACGAATTTGAACAGTGGGAGAGATTGATGGACTGTCAACTCTCTTGAAGAAAGAAACCAATATTGAAAATCACTTCTATTACCGAAAAGGAGGATGTGACTCCCGAAAAAACGAAAGGCGTCCGTGTAAGGTGGAAGAAGTAAGGTCGATAGGTCTTGCAATCTCGATTTTCCATATCCGAGTTGAACACCGAGTAATCGCATGCTGAAAAAGGCAATGTGTGAATTTCCCGGTCTAATATCACCAAATGCTTGATCGACCCAAGTCCATATAAGCTCGACTCGACCTGGTAAATATGTGGTTGATTTAGTGTCTCCTGCCGTTATCTTACGGTCAAGGTTTTTGTTTTGATTCCTTCAGGAACAATGGCTTGTAAGTGGGCATATGATCCCATTCTTCAAGAAGGGGCGCTTGCTAACAGCCAGTCATCCAGACCATCCCTTCGTCCCGAGACCCTCGACTCTTTCGATACTAGCAAAATCCGTACACGTCGGATCCCGTGGTCTTACGAATAGTTATTCATGTGTCCGTAAACACTCGACAAAGGTCCAACATAGCGCTTCTCCAACTACTCGATCTGTCTCCGGTGAGGTCAAACCGTTCAACTTGGTTGAACATGTTCTGTATGAAACCCTATTGCCCACCAGAAAGAAGGAAAACGAGCTGACCACGTCCCACCGCGGATAATAGTACCGACTTCGACAAGCTTGTGAGCTGGGCCAGAAACGGATCCATGTGGCCTCTCTCATTCGGCCTCGCATGCTGCAGCCTCGAGATGATGCACGCCTCAATGCCTCGATACGACCAAGACCGTCTCGGTATCATCTTCCGCGCTTCTCCTCGCCAAGCCGACGTAATGATTGTCGCCGGCACCGTGACGAACAAGATGGCAACGGCCGTCCGGCAATGCTACGATCAGATGCCCGATCCGAAGTGGGTTATCAGCATGGGCAGCTGCGCGAATAGCGGAGGATATTACCACTACAGTTATAGTGTTGTACGGGGCGTTGATAGGATCGTGCCGGTCGATGTCTATGTCCCCGGTTGCCCGCCGACGAGCGAGGCTTTGCTGTATGGCATGTTTCAGTTGCAGAGGAAGATTCGACGCACAAAGGTTACTAGGATGTGGTATCGAAAATGAGCTCCGGTGTAAGGCGGGCGATTCACCTCCAACTATCAGCTTACATATAGACAATAAAAGTCATGATTCAGCTTGGGCAACCTCTGAAGGGCTATGAATGATCCGGCATTGTAGTGGCATTAGGTCCAGACACCAAGCCGAGTGGACTTAACGTCGGCGACTATGGCTTTAGCATCGTCCCGTTGAGCCCTTCGTCGAGTCAGCCCTACGCCTCAATTCATTTCTGGGTACCTCGGTAGCTTCGATCCTTATTTTCGAACTTGCAGGCTAGGATCCATGCTGATCAAGGCTGAGCGTGCTTATCAGAAGTCAGAGGAGAGCGGGGCTCAGCTGCAGCCTGGTGGTTTTAGTCTGTAATACACCCAATGTCCCTTTTTTCCTCTTTTACAGGCAGATGAAAGCTTGTTTTGCACAGCCACGATGTCTTACCGGGTAGTGTGGATGTGAGAGCCAATGGCGAGAGAGCACGGAGGGTTCTTTTGGGAAGATTTGCCATCGGTTGTCTTTTCGACGAAGCAGGGTGTTCTACATCAAGAAGGAGGTCGACCGAGGAATGCGACTTGTGGGCTGGTGTTGTTGAGTTGTCGATGTTTGACACTTTCAATCAAGGCTTCAACGAAGAGAGGAGAGAAGTTCCGTGGTTCGGCGTTCATTTCTGAATAATACTCCAGTTTGGTCTCGAAATGCTAAGTATGAGTGGGTGGATTGATAATAGTTATAAATCCAAGAAAAGATTTGATCCATTGTCCCCTGCGCTCTGTCCGGTTATGGAGTTGCGTTCAATCGAGCCAAGTCAAAGACAGAAGAACGTCGCAACGCCTCCGTGCCTTCCGCTTTGGCGCCGGTCGATGAACCCACCCCCGAGGCCAGGCCAATAAAAGTGGGGAGTTGCCTGTTTCTTTGTCGCGAGCGGGTCAAGGGGGTACAAGCGGCGGATGTACCAGGGTACTCGGTTTTCTTTCGGTGCCTTGACGGAGACGGGAAAGAGAGAGTTTTGTAAGTAGTCCTGTACCAACTCTGCTGTAACGGTCGCCCGATCAGCCCGGTTCCATTTGATGATTCCTCTTCTCTCCTAAAGCGGATTTGACAGCCTCGATTCTCTTTTTGCTGCGATTTTGCAAATCTGCCCAGGCCCGGGTAATCATGCAGCAGGGATCCAATGACATCAATTGAGGTCCAAGCCAGAAGCAGAACCATGCGAGACAAAGACAGGGCTGTGAGACCAGGGTCTAGGGAGGGGCATTACCCCTCCATCACTGGACGCTCTGAACAAGACATCTCTGTTTATAATCTTGAACAGGAATTGAGATGAATGCGAAGTATCGAGATTAAAGAAAAAAATAGGGCAAAAAACTCCGAACTCACCGAGTATCTCTCGACCCATATCAAATTCGGAGACCCTCGCCTCAGCTGGAGCTCGAGTTCCAGTCTCAGCCCAATCATCCGGCCCTCTCCCCTACCAGCGGAAGCCGACTGGTGATGCGATTCTATTCGACGCCCCACTGCAAGACTGAGCTCCCCATTCAAGTCTCCTTCTCCGTTAATACCGATCCGAGTCTTGCGCCGGGTTGGCCAGGCTGCGATCGAGTGCGAGGCGAGGAACAGGTGAATGGAGCTGGGTGAACCGAAACTGTTGTGACTCTAGTGACCAACCGTTGATGTGCGTCGTGTTCAAGATCAGTTTAGCAGCCCTTTAATGTTGTCTGTCGGCGGTGAAACGTGAAACGCAGAGAAGGCTCCAAGCCAGTGTCTGGCGGTACAACATCTTCAGGCCCGGTGCCGTCTCCTGCCGCAGCCGACATGTACCTTGTACTCAGCCATCTCTCCCCTGCCAAGTTCCTTCTCTAGCCCAGTTGCCTGGTGCCTCCTGCTCCTTCTCCTTCTCTTCCGCTTTGTAAAAGGTACAATTGTACCTACTTCGTACTTCCCTAGCGCCTCCTGCCTCCTGCCAAAAGCTCTCGCTACCCATAAAGCTCAATCGCTCCTTCGCCAGGCCCCCCAGAAAACCCCACCATAAAACGATACTCTCCTTCCGTTCCAGTTCTCTTTCCCCCGTTTCACGTCGCAAAATCTCGCGAAGTTCCACAACCACCACCACCAACCATCCACCTCCTCCTTCCCTCTCTTTCTGCTTCTCGTCCCCCCCCGCATTTCCGCAAGCCTCGCGAATCGATTCAACAACGAGCACACCAGACAAAGCCGGCGATTTTGATTTTGTCCTTTCAAGATAGTCCAAAGGAGAACAACCTGCAAATCCTCTGCTGCGAAACCCCCAAAATAGCCTGCGCGCAAATCGAACCAACCCCACCGGCTTTAGCACCCCGCAATCCGCGAAGCGAGAAAGAGAGAAGGCCACTTCGGAAGTAACACGAGTTCATTTAAAGGCCAAGATTTTGACGCCGCCCCTTCTGTCCGGATTCTCGAGAGTAATTATGGGAAAATCGTGAGCCTCTCCCCTTCCCTGTCCCTTTTTACGAGTCGTACCATTATCTCCGACGCAAGGAGGACAAGGGGAGTGTTGTGTCTGAGGGAACCGACCACGTCTTTGCTAGCCTGGGTTCATGTCTCTCTCGTCCCTCTGGCCCCCCTCATCCGCGTCCACGTCGCGAACAAGTCCTGGCTTTCCTCGAGTCTTTGGGCGTCATGCTGGCTGGCCTGAACGTCTTAATCTTAGGCTTCTCGCTTTTGTCACTAACCTTTGCGGTGGATCGTTAGACAATCCAAGCTCTCGCAAGAGCAGCTTGCCGAACTCCAGAAGTCGACGCATTTCGACAAGAGGGAACTCCAGCAATGGTACAAGGGTACGGAATATGAAACTCTCAAATTTCGACGAATCCCCCTCCCTACCAATTCCGCTCACGCCATTTCCTTCCGCTCCATCGAAAGAAAGCTGAAAGAGAGTCTCATGCCACTAACATATCCAAAACTTCCCAGGCTTCCTCAAGGACTGCCCCTCCGGCCTCCTCTCCAAAGAAGAGTTCCAAAAGATCTACCGCCAATTCTTCCCCTTCGGCGATCCAAGTTCCTTTGCAGACTACGTCTTCAACGTCTTCGACAGTGATAAATCTGGCACCATCGACTTTAAGGAGTTCATCTGCGCCCTGAGCGTTACGAGCCGTGGCAAGATGGAGGACAAGCTCGATTGGGCGTTTCAGCTGTACGATATTGACGGGGACGGCAAGATTAGCTATGACGAGATGCTGAAGATTGTTGAGGCGATATACAAGATGGTACTGCCGCCTTTTCCCCATTTTAGGCTTCTTCGCAATCCCTTCCTCTGTCTGTAGTGCTCTCTACTGACATATTAACGTCCAGGTCGGCTCGATGGTCAAGCTCCCCGAGGACGAAGACACACCCGAGAAGCGCGTGAGAAAGATCTTCCGCATGATGGATAAGGACGAGAATGGCAGTTTAGACATCCAGGAATTCAAGGATGGCAGCAAGCGAGACGAGACTATTGTTTCTGCACTTTCTCTATACGATGGTCTGGTATGATAAGTTGGAAAGAGGAAAATGAAAAGAAAAACGAAGAAATGATTTTTGTTTATGGCTATTATTACCCTCATCCGCACGAGCTTCCCTCCTTGGTTTCTTAAGATTATCATACTTTGGTTATTTGTAGGGGCGCCTTGCTTTTTTGTGTCTTTTTACTCTTCTTTTTTTTTTCTCTGTCGAAACGTGTGCGATGATCCGATGTTCTCCCCTATTTCCTTTTTCTTCTTTTTTTTTCCAAGTAGCGTTGGGAATTGAACGGTCTGGTGTTCGTTCTTATTGCTTGAAATGGAGTGAGGCCGAAGATTTGGTGTTGTGGATGAAGAGTTCGTGAGAGATGTTCGGTTCGTGTAAGTGAGAGCGTGTCGGCGAAAGGAATCGAAGTGAGGGTTCAAAGCTTTGCTTGCTGGCGTTGTCGAAATCATCTAGCAACCGTTCCCCGAGGCAAAACGAGCATTCGAAGCAGCGTACGTCGTCGCGTACATTTAATATCAGATACTGTCCACTCTTCTCTCTCATCCTCCCGATACGCCTTAACGTCCATAACTACAGCCGCGCAGTCAAGCGTTCCGTCCCTCCTCTCAGAAAGATAACCCCCCCTAACCCCCCCTTCTCCTCCTCCGACTTACGGACCTCCCCTCAATACGCCAACATGAACCACAAACCCCGACCCCTCGCCCATTTCCCGAGCCAACTCCCCACCAACCCTCCAAGTCCTAAACCTCCCCCAGAACGCCTCCATCCACGTCCCAAAGACATCCGGATCCCTCAACTGCTGCGCAACGATACAAACCGTCGGCGGCCGCCCGCCATCGTCGCCATTCCCATCCAATAACCGAAGCTTACATGCCTCGGCGCAGGTTGTTACGAGGGGTTTCACGAGGGCCTCGTTGTAGACGCAGTCGCAGGCGATTACGACGTCGAAGCTCTTGGTGCCCGGGTGGGAGGTTAGGGAAGGTGTGGGGAGATCCTTTTCCCAATCTAGCGGGGCGAAGGTGATGTTTTTGTCGGCGCCGTAAAAGAAAGCCCCCTCACCTTTTTCACCCTCTTTCGGCGTGGTTTTCGACTTCTTCGTACCGGATGAGGATGTTTTGGATTTGGCAGTGGTGCTGCTGTTCGCGGAGAGGTTGGCCGTGAGGACCTTGGATACGTAGGCTTGATCCGTCAGCGTGTACCGGGATATTTTTGGCGCCGCTACGAGGGCGATTAGGCCCGAGGTGCCGCAGCCCAGCTCGAGTACGGCGGACGTTGGGGTTAAGACGGAGGTTTGGAAGAGGATGTTGGAGGGGGAGGACAGCCATTCCGCGAAGAGGGGTGTGATTTTCCATAGGACTGTAGTGTGGCCAAGCTCATCTCAAAATTAACTCTTAATTCCGTTTTATTTCCCCCCCTTGAGAAAAAAAGGAAGAGGGATAGAAGGAGAGAAATTAGAACGCACCGGCACCTGTGGTCCCACCGGCGCGGGAAGACTCTAATATCCCAGGCGACTGCTGGATGGCGTACTCCTTCCCGGCAATGCTTACCTCCACTGCCGTCGCCTTGGGATCGAGGAATCCTAGGTTCTGGGAGGGTATGGGCTGCGAGAAGAGCAGGAAAGTTTCTAAGCGACGATGTTAGGGCTCCTCTCTCTCTCTCTCTCTCTCTCTCACACATTAAAACCTCATTATTTTTCCCCCCTTTCTATTTTTCTCGCTCCCTTTTCCGTTCTATTTATTGAAATCCCTCGCCTCCTTTCTTGCTAAGTAAAGAAAACACGATCAAAAAGAAAGGGGGAAAAAAAAAGGGAAAAAAGAAAGTGTGCGGACCTTCATCAGGATCCTCAACCTCCTCGCCCAGGAGATCAAGAAACTCGTCGACCCCCATGACCGTAGGACCGCCCTACACCTATTAAAAATCGATGCTGTAAATAATGTGGAAAGAGAACCGAGAATCAAGGGCCGGGGTTGGCCGAGCCGTTGACGGTTGCTGGTTCGACTGGATATATAATGATACATATATGCTTTATATTGACTGTGAGTGAGGTGGACTAGACAGTTATTTTGATCGAGGCTTAAGAATGAGTCGACCCAATCCCGTGGCCCCTCCTTTCCGGGCCGATCCGGCGTTTAAACTCGACTTCACACTTCACTTCCGTTCTCGGGACTAAGCCTTCAACAACAATAACCACATCACATCCGACTCACAATACCGGCGGCATACATTCAGTCGATAAACTCTCAGCAAGAAAAAATGGGCAATGCCATGCTTGAAAGGGCTACGTTTATTTGCTCGGATGTAGCGTAAATTATGTATAGACATCACCGATTCCAAGGGACATTTTTAAAATCATGTAAAGCAGGCTCAGGCCGCCAATATGTATTGATGGAGGCAAATATCCTCTCTTCAGCATCGCCGTTGCGGGACTGGAATGCGTCATCAAAAAACAAAACAACCAACATGTACACCACTGCCTCCGAAACCAGCCGACACACGCCTTTCTGTTCTGGTGTGGCTCAAATTTCATGTAAATCTTCTCACCATGCAAGCCACCCTCGCTTTATACATAGAAAGATTGCCATGGCCACTCACGGGCCTAGTTGGCGTAAAACCGCAGAAATCATAATCAAGGTCGTGACTTGTTTTTCCTCCACCTCATTATGCGCCACCCATCGTAAGACAGCCCCTCCCGACATTTATCAGGCCCAAGGTCCGTTTACCAGTCCAAGGTATCCTTAAGAGGCTCCCCGCGATTTGTCTTGGGTACGGGGACCGCCTTCGCCAGCAGCCTTCCGTCCTTGCCCCTCTTGAGGTACGAGCGCCCGTCGAGCCATGGCGTCTCCTTGGACATGCGGCTCTCGTAGCCGGCAATCTTGTCCTCCATCTGCATCGTCAAGCCGATATCGTCGAGGCCGTTGACGAGGCAGTGTTTCCTAAACTCCTCAACGTCGAAGCTGCATAGGACCTTGCCCTCCGAGTCCTTGATGACCTGGTTGGGGAGGTCGACCTCAACCTCCTTGCCGGCGCTCGCGACAGCCGCGACGGCATCCAGATCCTCCTTCTTGGAGATGGGGATAGGCAGCATGCCGTTCTTGAAAGAGTTGTTGAAGAAGATGTCGGCGAATGACGGCGCAATGATGCAGCGGATGCCGAAATCGTTTAGAGCCCAGGGGGCGTGTTCACGCGAGCTACCACAGCCAAAGTTGGCACCCGTGACAACGAGAATCTTGGAGCTCCTGTAGGGCTCCTGGTTGAGAACAAAGTCGGGGTTCTCGGTGCCGTCGGGGTTATACCGCAGCTCGTAAAACAGGGCGCTTCCGAGACCAGTCCTCTTGATCGTCTTCAAGAACTGCTTGGGAATGATGGCGTCCGTGTCGACGTTGGCCTTGTTGAGAGGGGCAGCAATGCCGCGGAGGATGGTGAACTTGGGCACGCCACCACTGACGCCGCCGTTGCTGGTGCTGTGAGTAACCAGAGTATTCGTGTGAGGTTGGTTGTCCTCGGGCTGGTCGGCGATGACGTCCTTCTCGTGGTCAGATTCGTCGATGCGCTCGTCGACATGCGCGACGGTCTTGGTAGGCGAGATGGCGGCCTTGACGTGGGGACTCGACTCGTAGCTAGTCAGCTTCCTGACATCGGCAAGTTTTCCGACAATGGCAGCCGCCGCCGCCATGACGGGCGACATGAGATGCGTCCTGCTACCGGCGCCCTGTCGGCCCTCGAAGTTTCGGTTACTCGTGCTGGCGCAGCGCTCCTGAGGGGCGAGAATATCGGGATTCATCCCGAGGCACATGCTGCAACCGGCCTCTCTCCACTCAAAACCAGCATCCACAAAGATCTTGTCGAGGCCCTCGGCCTCGGCCTGAGACTTGACCAGACCTGAACCGGGAACGACCAGGGCGCGCTTGATGTTGGCGGCAATCTTCCTGCCCTTTACGACGTGGGCGGCGGCACGGAGATCCTCGATTCGAGAATTCGTGCAGGAGCCGATAAAGACCTTGTCGACCTCAATATCCTCAATGGGCGTTCCGGCCGTGAGACCCATGTACTTAAGCATCCTGTGGCCCGCGGCCTTCTTCGCCTCGCTCGCGAAGGTGTCGGGATCGGGGACAGTTCCGGTGATGGGAACAACGTCCTCGGGGCTAGTTCCCCAAGTGACCGTGGGGATGATGTCCTTTCCGTCAATGAAGACGTCAATGTCGTACTTGGCACCGGGGTCGGACTGGAGCTTCTTCCAGTACTCGACGGCGCGATTCCACTCATCGGAGCCGTACTTGGGAGCCAAGGGCCGTCCCTTGAGGTATTCAAATGTGATTTCGTCGGGAGCAACCATGCCAGCTCTCGCGCCACCCTCGATAGACATGTTGCAAATCGACATACGGGCTTCGATAGACAGGCCGCGGATGACGGAGCCGCAGAACTCGATTACGGCACCAGTACCACCGGCGGTTCCAATCTTACCAATGACGTGGAGGACGACGTCCTTGGAGCTAACACCGGGAGCCAGTTCGCCGTCGACCTGCACCCTCATGTTCTTACTCCTCTTTGTGATCAAGCATTGGGTGGCGAGGACATGCTCGACCTCGCTAGTTCCGATACCGAAGGCGAGGGCACCAAAAGCACCGTGAGTAGAGGTATGGCTGTCTCCGCAGACCACTGTCGTTCCGGGAAGAGTGAAGCCCTGCTCGGGGCCGATGACGTGAACAATACCCTGGCGCTTGTCTCCAAGGCCAAAATAGGTAATACCAAAGTCCTTGACATTCTCCTCGAGAGTCACACACTGAACCCTCGAGTCATCCTCCTTGATAAAGGTGGCAATATCTTTCATGCCTTTCCTAGACGTAGTGGGGACATTCTATGGTAGCACATCGTGTTAGTCTCTAAGCTCAGCATATTTGTGTCACTTCCCCCCCTTTTATGATCCGTTTTCCTTTTCCTTTTCCTTTTCGCAGCATCTGAACAGTTCAATTGGAAAATAAATTGGGGAAAAAAGACAGTTGTTTTTCATTTGGAGGAGGGGTGACATCATACATGATCAGTCGTAGCCAGAGTGCAGTCTGGCCGTCTCACTTGACGTCCTGCATTCTTGAGGCCCTCAAAGGCTTGCTGCAAATAGAGTGTTAGTCTATTAACTGGAGAGGGATAATGATGAAAAGCACTAAAGGTTTGTATAACATACTGGTGAAGTGACTTCATGGACCAGATGCCGGTCTAAGTTGGAGATGCATCGAGTTAGCTTTTATTATAAAATTGATGGAAATTGCAAGCAATTCCATAATGCGATATGAAGGAATTACTGGAAGAGAACGAATTGGACTGGGAGGCTAAACTGAAAAAAACCAACCGATATAGAGAAGAATGGTGCCGTCGAGCTTCTCATCGACAATATGGGCCTGGAGGACCTTGTCGTAGAGAGTCTGCGGCGCTTGTTCGGCAACAGGCATCCTGTGTGACGGTAACGAGCGGTAATGGGGGTATGGGGTTTTGTGGCTGCGCCGCTCGGAAGAGGCAGGTCAGGCAGGGATGCGTGTGATGTAGATGCGGCCGATCAGAGACACACAAGGTCGGTTGCGTGGCGTAGCAGTCTGGTAGGGCTACAACGACAACGCTCGCTCGGGATGCGTCTAATATCTGGATTTCGTCAACGCCGATGACGGGTGCAGCTTGGTAGCTTTCGAGTTCGATTCGATTTGATGATCTTGGAGGTCTAGAGTTAGTTGGGCCAAAAAAAAAGCATCACTTCTGGAGGGGATAGATATCAGTCTGGTCCTTACAGATAAGATGGGTTCGGGTATGCGTATGCCTAGCAGAGGCAGACTTGGTTTGGATGGAGAGATGATTTGACAGGAAAGGAGATAACGAAGGGGGGAAGGGAGAAGAGGAAGAGGAAGATATGAAGTGATGGAGGGGAACCAACGAGGCGGGAAGGAAAAAGCTGGGGCGACGGAGGGCTAAAAAGAGCTCCAGAGTCAAGTCGATGCGGAGGACCGAGTCAGGGAAAAAAGGAAGCAGGTACCAACACAATTAAGTACTCTTTGTATTTGCAAGGGGGCAACCGCGATCGACCCTATTTTCGGAGGCGATTCGGTGTGGGCCAGAGCCAAACGATGCAGATGCGGAAGCGGACGGCGACTAGCGACTACTCATCGACTAGGAAGAGGACTCGAAAGAGGAACCCATCATACTACTTTGGTTCCAATGCTCCTTCCCTGTTGCCAGGTACAAAGTAAGAGTGGCGGGGAAGGTGCAAGGTGCAATGCTCCGCTCCGCACCGCACCGGCCTTCAATTTGATAAAGATGGCAGGTACATTCAATTCGAAACTGCCTTCGATCTCAATGAACATTAGCTACAATTTTTGAATATTCGCACATGGCCCAGACGTCGAGCGATCTCGCCGCGGGGTATTTTGATCATTGATCTTGGGGATGAAGCTGTGCCGAGGACGATATCAGTCATGCAAGATCAATGTAAGTGGGAAAAACCAAGCGCAATCGCCATCACCCATCACCGTGCCTCTGCATCATGCCCATTGCCCACATATCTGCGATGCCTGCATCTGTATCTGCCTCTCCATATCCAACAGAGAGAGCCACGCTGGTCTTGTTCCCCATCAGATCTGCCCCGTCTCCCTGCACGCATGCACACCTGCGCATGTATTCAAAATAATGCTCTTCCCATTCGATCCTTCGTCCAACAATCCAACGAACATGGAACGAACAAACGGCACCGCCAATGCCCCGATCCCTCCGATGATCGGAGGATGTCTCTGATGTACCCTGCAAACTGCAAACAATAGTAGCGCCAAAAGAGCAAAAAGTCAAATCAAAGTGCGCCACTAGCCTGGCAGTACTTCGTAATGAAGCGAGGATGGAGTGGGCACGATGTACTTCGAGACCCTTGGTTTGGGCAGTACGTACCAGTTTGCCTCAACCTCAACGCGGGGTACTTTGGCGCATGATGTCGAACAGAGCCCAGCCCAGTGGTGATTTCTAAACCAATGGAGCGGATTGGTCAGTGGATGACAACTGGAAGTTGCGAGGTACACTGAAAAGTACACTGAGAAGTACAACTGTACCTCCTAGTGTCTGCTGGGTCTTTGATCAGACCGCCGAGATCAAATGTGATAATAATGACGTTGAGATCGTTACATACTTTGTACACTACAAGCTTCGTAGATCTATGGGAATATCCAGGCCATATCCCACGGCATCTCGCCCCAAACCGTGGCATCTCTGCCAGCATCGCCCCTACCATTGAGGCAAACAAACATCGATGAACATCGATTGATGGGGGAGCAACCGTTTGTCGACAACCAGAGACCAAAATAGTGAACCAGGATTTCACCCACGGCGGGTCAGCTTAAGATGGAAGTGGAATGTCTATGCGTTTGCTGCTTCCACCTTACCTTCGACTCCTCGCTCGTAGCTACGAATTCATCAATTGAATCCAACGGTTGATCCATGTAGCGTACTTAACATCCCGTACTCGATCCAATCGGCACTTTGCCGCATCATCGACCCCAGGTTAGCCCCTCCAAGTTCCAAGTTCCCCTCTCATCATCAGGAAGCTCAAGCATGAACTCTCAAGCATGAACGGAAACCATTGATCGATATCACACACTCTTGTTCCCCCCCTCCCCCGCCGGAACAGGGAATCAACTTCTGCCCTCAATATCCGATAAGAACCCTCCCTTTCCATTCCCACAGCTCCGGTCCACCTCCGCCAACCGAAAGCCGAGGACACAACCGTTCTTCCCTTTCCCATTCGACCTGTACTCCGCATTTTCCTATTTGCTCCCCAGAACTTTTCCCAAATTTTCCGGCAGTCCGTTTTCCATTTTGTACAACCTCCATGTCGGTTCGTTATCGTACCCTACACTACCTCCGAAGGACAATGCTTTTACGTTTATGCTGTGCGACATCTCACGCCGGAAAGGGCCAAAAAAACAGTAATTGGAAAAAAATAGAGAGCAAAAAATTAAACTCTCCGAGATCGCAGTGCCACCCGCTGCCAACCCTACCAAGCCCACTACAAAGCGGTGTCGTGTGTGTGATTTTAATGATTGTGCCCCATCCGGCATGGCATCCCCGGTCCCCGGTCGGCCCCCGTTTGCCGTTCGCTGCCACTCGTCTTGCGGCGAAAAATAATCGTCTTCGAAGCCACTTGACGACTTATTTCGTGCTACTTCACTTAGTGTAGACTACTCTGCACGGTTTCTGCAGGTAACGCGGATTTCACCGTCGTTACCCACCATCAAAAGAGCCTAGACCCATGAACTACCCATGATCCCTCTCCACACTTCAAAATGTTCTCTGTCGTTCGTCTCCGCCGCCGGCCAGGTTCAAGTCAGCTTCGAGGCAACTTCGAATCATCCGGCCGCACTTCGTAATCCGGCTCTCTTCCATTACAACATTACACTACCAAGTACATGCCAGATCACGATTTGCATCGGACTCCAAGTGACTCCGACGTACGCCGGTCCAAGAAATGCATGCGCGTTACTACCACCCCTGCACCCAAAACGGGCTACCAAGTATCAAGGAAGAAAGACAAGGCCCTGGACGCTCGGCACATGTTCCCTATCATTGATCTCGCCTCGTTCCTTTCCCATTCCCGCCGCCTCCCGCTTTTGTCTGTAGTGCAGATCCTCGCTTATTTTTACTCCTCGACTCCGTCCTTCCCAACGTTGTAGACTAGACTTTGTCAAACCCTCGAGGTCTGGAGCCGGCGATATCGGGGGGGTGAGGAGCCTACGCTAAAAGAAGCAAAGAGCCTGGCAAGCATTCAATTGATCCTTCGAGATCGTTGTACTTCGTAGCCTGGCGTCCACTATTGCCCACGAGCCATTAAGCTGGGTCCGCAAAAGCTCCCAAGCGTCAACGTGCCCCCTCCATTGTTGGTCTGGTCCCCCCGAAGACGGAGCTCTCAACCAATCCATGCCATCATCGTTTTGATACGGACCCAGCTTGCGAGCTCACCACGTACGAAGCTCGAACGTCCTCGGACCATTTTCGCTTGTCAATGGCCCACGTCTAATTCGCCCCCTTGTTGGCGGTATCGGAGCCTTGTCTGCGAAAATGCAAGGATGTTTCAACAGCGACATATTGATGGATCCCCCCGAGATAGGTAAGAGGTACGAAGTACTTCATAAGACGAGACGAGACGACTACTCAAACGGAACGTCGGCCAAGTGATGTACTACGCAGTCTGTGATGCAAACTTAAAAAATATTTCCGCCCTTATTACCTTTGTAGTTTATACCAATCTCGTCTTTTTGTCACAAATCGTAGCAAACGGTTAGAAAGATCATTGTTATTCTCTATCCTCCATCGTCCCTCGGGAGTAGACCAATGCCTGCCCCGGTCAAATTCCACACAGATTGCGCCAACGTCCAAAGTACAAAAATAATCATTGATGCCCTTCCCATCTTCTGCCGCGCCGCGACGTGTAATACCTGTCCCAGCTATAAACCAATTTGTGGGCAAGTTGAAGCAAGTTGAAGCAAGTTGCGGGCATAGATATCCGTCTCTTGTCAACGCCATAGGCGGCTTTTGCATTCAGCGACACCGCCACTATGGGATATATAGGACCCAGTTCGAATTTCATTGAGTCATGCCGCAAGACATGTTTTTAACACCGAAAGAAAATCTCTAGAGCTTCGAAGCTCTCTGCCGCGGCGAATGAAAGGAATGCACGACTCTCGACGGAGTTTCGAGTATCTCGCTGGTACGGGCCGGTTGTCGATCGATATTGACGCGAGGCAAGTCGACGTTGAGAGCATATATATCCATCTCTTATCAACGTCATAGGCGGCTTTTGTATTCAGCGATGCGGAAATGTAACTCAGAAACTTGGCGGGGTTGCAGGGCCAAACGTGTATGTCCTCTGCGGAGAGCCGCGGCCATGAGACCTCTCGCCGCGTCGGGAGAGTGGTGGGCTACACCTTAAACTAAGCCCCTCGGAGCCTTCCGATATCTGCGATAACCCAAGAGTCAGTAATGATCTATCAAGGAAGAACTAAAGGGGGGTACAAGAGGAGAACTCACTGCAAAATAGCCCTTCTGGGTGAGTTGGCATACTGGGCAACCACTGTTGCTGGTCGCGCCACAGACCACAGACAATGTCAAAAGGTCGGCCGACCACGACTTGAGTAGATATCAGGGTCTGTAGATCACCCAGACTTTGCAAATAACGCAGGACCAGGATGCCCGGACGAGCGGTGCCTGTCTTTCATGCACTCCCGTCACCTCTAACGGAGCTGGTGAAATGTAAGTTGATGAGGCGACGGGAGTGACCGACTCCTCCGCAGCACAAGAAATGCCCCTCCTCCACGTCCAATGGTAAACGTGACGTCGGGATGTGGAAGGACTCCCGCTTATTCTTCCACATGCTGGGAGGATCAACCGATAGGGGCGTAGCGAGGCTTCGGCCTTGGCATTCGATTTCAGCAAGGTTTTTCTCGCCTACTTCCTCAAGTGGCACGAGGAGCTGAGTGATTGAGTATATATAAGTAGTTGTGGAAGGTTTTTTTTTCTTTTTTTTCAAACATCAGACGCCGTTCAATATGTTCTCGTTTCTCCGCGCATTCTGAAGCAAGGGGCGGGCTGGCCCTAGAACAGGCGATAGGAGTGGCCAGGAAGGTCCGCCAGAAGGTTAAGATTCCCCTTCATCAAAACGCTTCCATCCGGCAATGTCGCGACTGAAACTTGGATGTCCTGTTCCTGGTTTATATGTATCATCCAACTTGCCTCGAACCTCTCTTGTGCCTCAGCAATCTCAAATGCTGATGCCGTACGACGTGTACTTGCCACGCCATGGCCTCTATCGTCTTTGGAGGCGGTGTCCGGGTTGCAACGGCGCTGGCTCGTAATTGGTGGTGGGAAGTATAAGCCATTAGGCTCTGTCTGCCTCCGGTTTTTAAGATAATGACGACCGCCAGGTCCTCGAAGACTGTGCTCTCACCGTGGGTTTCTGTGGTGAGAGCAGAAGTCTGCTGAGATATGCAGAAATCTAGTCGGTCCAACCGTCGAAAATAAATAATTCTGGCATCAACTTGGCTCGGGGTTGATGCCTTGATGAGGGTGACGTTCCCAGCAGGAGACACTGCCACCTTCAGCCCACGATCGATTGATCAACCTTATCCGATCGCTGTGCGTTATTGCGTGACTGGGTACCGAAGGCAAGCGACTAGGATGGCTGGAGCCTAGAGATAGAGAATATCGGAGAGCGATGGTGAAGCAAAGTAAAGAATAATGGACGTCGCCCCGGACACCTTTTATCATGTCCGTGCCTCCCGGCACACGAAGTAGTGATCCGTTCACTCCGTTTCGGTCTGCCCGGTGATCGTCACGATCGGGACAACGTCGATGTGGTAGTTGTTGATTGGCGATATAGTCCATTCCGGTTAAGCTGACGCCACCCAAAAGAGCCAGAGGAGCGAGGGTCTCTTTAAATGGGAGGAAAGAGCCCGGGACCGGCGCAGAACGTGTTTAGAGGAAAATTGGTTCACGCTTTCGGAGGAGATGGCTTGGGAAACGCCTCCGCAGCGGCGACCTTCAACGCTCGACATGGTTTGTTTGGAGCCGTCGCGACAAAATTCGCGCCAACGTAGCCGAAATGGTAGGGTGCATGCCCTCATGATGTCCCTGAGTGGATTCCAACGGTCTGTAATGGCGTCCAGGGCCTACCAGGGCGGTAGAGATCTCTCATTCTCTCCTGTACCCCGGGAAAGCGTAATCATGAGAAAGCCTGGGACAAGCTAACGTCGGCGCCTTTCACCCCGCTACGCCTAGGCTGTATCAGGGACCATCACGCAGGGTGGACGCAACCCCTATGATCTAGCAGACGGTGAAATTCTCGAACCATGAAATCCCTTCCGCGGCGACATCTCCTTTGCGAGAGACGACCGGGCAGCCGTCACGGGAAGCGCCAGGGAGGCCGTAGGGACAGCAGCGGCAGTATTGCTAGGCGCTGGGCAACTTGCGGCAATAGGCAGAGTGGATATTACCGAGGCCTGGCGGGAGTGATGGAGCGTATGGTACTCGGGGCAGCTGACGAGAGAATTTGGACGCCTCTCTTATCGGTGCGGCTGCAGAATTTCGGTGCTTGGCCATTGTGGGCAACGGAGCGGAGGATACGGGTGCCGGAGTACAAAAAGGGGCTGCCGGTGCTCCAGGCGGAAGTTAGAATGGCGTCGTCGATGATGTGGTTCGAAGCGTCAATACCAGCTCGCTGATGACAAAAGACGAGGCTCTACCTGGTGCGGGAGTTGCAGAGGGTAATAAGAAGAGGCGTGATGCGATCCGATGTGGAAGAAAATTGACAATGTCCTCAAAGTCATCTCGACTTACGGCGGAGAAGGGACTTAGACCGGAACCGGTAAAGGACGAGCCGGCAAATAAACGTCCTCAGGGCGGAGAGCGGTGGGAAGATCATAAATAACGCCGCATGATTCAACTGAGAAACGATGAGGTCTACCGGTCGGTCAGGCTGGCGAGTCTATCCGACACACGTAGTCGGAGTCGAACACACCAGACCGTGACCACCACCACCGCCGTTCCCAGCACCGCACCGATGGAGCTACTGCTCCCTCCACCTGCCTCCGGCAAAGCCTGGCCGACCTTTTCTCCCCAGAGGCCGAAGATCCCTCTCATCCACGAATGAGTGGTCTTCTTCGTCATGGCATGGAGATACTGAGGCTCTTCGGCAGGCGTGGGAGTGTCCACGGGGGTGACCTTCCGGTTCACCTTCCGCGACCGCGTCCACACGTTGCCGCCGAAAACGCGCCGGAGACTCTCCACCTCTTCCATGTCGACTTCGTCGCCCGTGGCTGCGGACCTCGCGTCCTGGGATCCACCACCCCGGAGGAGAGCCACGAGCTTCGAGGTCTTCGAGGATTTCGGAGGTTCGGCCTTGGAGTCCTTTGAGAGTTTTGTTAGCTTCTTAAACAATCCGGTAATGCATTTTTATCTCAACTTACGGGCTGCTCCGCGACCGTTGCTGGCGATGGGCTATCCCCCGACGGCTCCGACGGGTTCATGGCCTTCGCAGCATTGTCCTCCCCAGGTTCCATCTCCGCAGGCTTTCGCCACGACCTTGCGGGCTTCCGCCTGGGCTGGAACCTGTCCTCCTTCGGACCAGACTTGACCGACTGGATCCTGCGCACATCCTTTGGAAGGTATTTTGGCTCCTTCCACGGAGGATATCCAAGCTTCGCTCGGACCTCCGGGTCCACCAAGGATGCCGCTGGGATCGCGATTCTGACTGGCCGATAAGTCGTGAGACTTCGTGGCTTCGGCTCTTCGCCAGATCGCACAGCAGTCGTGGCCGTCGTCATGGCCGGAATCGGCGCTGGGTCAATTTGGGGAATGGCCCGCGGTTCAGGCGAGCTCTCGGGAGTCGGGTAAGGGGTAGACTTCCCATCAAGCTGATTCGCCGAACTCGCGGTATCCCCCTCATGAACCTCGATCGCCGTTTGGGCGTCAGGTACCGTGATGACCTCTTCCACAACGTCAACAGCCTCACCAACGGGAGCAGCAAATTCTGAATCTACCGCACCCTTGTCGCCGGCGGTACTGGGTACCTGATCTGAGCCATCGTCCCGGACGGCCTCGCTAACGGGAGCAGCAGGTACTAAATCTACTGCATCCTTGTCGTCGGCGGTGCCTGGTACCAGATCGGAGCCATCGTCCCGAATGGCCTCGCTGACGGGATCATCATCAGTCGAACTGGTGATGTCTCCACAATCAACGGCGTCTGGTACCGAATCCGGGCCATCATCCCCAATGACCATATCAACGGAAGCACCGTCCGTCGAGTCCCTTTCGGTAACGACTTCAGGCACCAAACCCGCGTCCTCTGAATTCCCAGTGACCTCAACCATCGGAGTATCATCAACCGAATCCGTGCCGGCCCCGTCCTTAACGGCTTCGGCAGCTGGACTGGCGTCATCCACATCCTCACTGGCTTCCGTCATCAGCGTGTCATTGACTGCAGTTGCGAAATCAACCTCGTCAACGACGTCGGCCATGGGAGAGTCGGGTGCTGAAAGGGACCTATCCTCATCAGGGATAGGCTCGCCCATATCAGAATCCTCGTCCTCGGCCAGCTGCTCAGGAGCGTCTACATCCATAGATGGTAGACTTTGGGTGTCCTGAGGGATCATCTGAGGAGCAGAAGGCTCCACGACCATGGGAACCTCCTGCTGGTCATCCGCCGCGCTTTGTCCCCAGACCACATGAGGAACCTGCGTCGGCGGTTGGAGAGCGACGGGCACTGGGTGCATGGAAACATCATCCGACGAGTCGGTGGGAATTCCACGCCCAGCCAGCGCACTGGGCTCCTTGCCCCCCAACTTGAGCTTCTTGGTCGGACCCCTCTCCGCAAGGTACTCTACCTCGTCATCGGATTCGACATCAAGGAGATTACTCCGACGTCTCTTTCCAACAACAGACTTCGAGTCCACACTTCGAGGGCTGCCACGTCCGCCTGTCACGCAAGATATAGTCAGTACATGAATGAATGATACCCATTATGGGAAATTGCTTATGGTAGGGAAAATGAAGAAAACATATGTATTCTGCTTACCTGGGAGGCTCATCGTTGGGGTGCTCAGTCCTGACCCCTCTGCAGGGGGAGAGCTGCTGCCCTGATCAAGAGTTTCTTGGGGAACCCTTGGATGAAGATGGGGAGCAGGTCCTTGCGGAACACTGCCATCTGTACTCTGGCTACCACGGAAGTCGTCAGGTCCGTCAGGTCGGACTCCGCTACGGCCCTGAGGCTGGCGCCTCATTAGAGCACGAAGAAGCGCCTGCTTCTGCTCACCACCATCCTGGTCGCGCAAAAACCGCGCAAGGTCAGGAGGCAGCGATTGCAGGCGTTCTCTCATCAACACCCGTCGAGCCCTTACCAATCGGCTCTCGACCTGGCGCTTTCGTCGTTCCGAAGCGACAATGAAGGGATGTCGGAGGAGGGGATTGGACCTCTGAAACACCAACCGATCCTTGGCAGCGAGCTCCCAAGGCGGAAGATGCTCTCCCGACCGCAGCGACTTCGCCGAGCGCTGGGCTTCAGAAGGCTGAACGTCATTCGACGCAGGCTCCTCTTCCACCACAGCAGCGTTGTCAGCTGCGTTTCCGGTAGCACCGTCCACAAACACACCCAGATCTGGAATGAACCAGATGGTATTGCGGTCGGCACGACTAGAAGTTTGCCGGGGAGAGGGACCAGGTTCCTTCTCTTCTTCATCCATCTCTTCTTCGCTGGAAGACTCGCCCTCATCGGACCACCGATCTTCCTCGCCGTCTTCTGGGGGAGGATGGGGCCTGTTCTCGATCAGGTCACCCGCGGCAGGAGGCGGAATTGTCTCGTCGCCTCCGCGCTCTCCATCCCAGTCGTCGTCCTCGTCGTCCTCAGGGGGGTCCGGGAATTCTGGATTCGCCGGGAGCGCGTCCTCAAGAGCCTTCAGGTCCCAGTCGACAATGTCGCCTGGGCCGTCGAAGCTCAGGATGGAGCTCTGTGTGTATCCCTGTGAGAGATGATACGGGTCGTCGGAAGGTCGGTTATAGTTAAGAGAATATCCCCTTTCGGAGATAATCTCGACTCCGCCGTCGGAAAACTGCTTCCTCTCCTATGCGGAAGCAGCCTCCTCAGGCTTGTGGAGATCCTCCCAGCCACAGCCGTTGGAAAACTGCTCCCTATTTTCTTCAGGAACAGCCTCCTCAGGCCGGGTGAGATGGATGGCGGCAAGCTCACCCCTATTTTCTTCAGGGTGAGACTTGCCATTCACCTGGTCATAACCGTTGGAAAGCTGCTCCCTATTTTCTTCAGGAGCAGCCCCCTCAGGCTTGCCGAGGTTGCTGGCGGAAAGCCGGACCCTATTTTCTTCAGGTCCAGGCTGACCGCCTTCGTTATCGCCATTATAGACGTCCTGCTCAAGGCCGGTCATCGAGCGGAGAATGGCGGAAAGAGAGAGAGAGAAGAAGGGGTGGCCGAACTGCTCACTGAGGCGTCCGATCCCATTCTGCGAGATGATGGGAGAAGGGGTGGTGGAGGCGGAGGCGGAGAAGGGGGTGCTCGTAGTCTGGTTCATTTTGATCTTGTTCGCGTCGAGGACGAATGATTGTGAGAAATGAGATCTGGCAAATGAAGAATAGGAGAAGGAATCAAGGATTGATAGTCGATGTTGTTAAGAATTGGAATGATTGAGACGATCGATAGAAAACTGCTTCAAAAGAAGTGAAGAAATCAAAACCAATTCTGGGATGGAAAAAGAAGAAAGGTTTAAGAGAGCTCACAAGCCCGAGGCGATATCTATATTTTTTTCGTGTCTGGCGTCGCGCTTGAATCCCTGGAGATTCCTTCCTTATTGGCGCGCCGAATGAATGAATAAGAATGAATACGTGATTCAGGATATTTTTTTTGCCGCAGGTGCGAGGGACGAGGGCTATTAAAAAAAAAGAGCATGAATCGAAGATGGAAGGAGCCACGAGCTGAGCAGACACCAGTGGAGGGAAGGAAGCCAATCCAAAACCCGCACCTTCTTCTTTCCAGTAAACAAGCGGGCCGATAGAAAAAAAAAAAAGAAGAAAAAATGCAAAGCCAATCTCTCAAAATTGCAAACATCAGCCGGGGTGTTTGTGCCCGGGAGTCCTGGCGACAAAGACTGGTTTCATCTCTGCTCGTCGTCCTCATTCTGCCATGTCCAAATGTCGTGTAAGTCGAGGTGACGTCAAAAAGCTCCGAGGCGCACGGACCACTCGGAGATGTACTGAAGTTTACTTTAACTTCACTCATTCACTCATTCTCCATCTCATTTTCAACCTCTCATCAAATCTTCATCCACGACGCCGAAGATCGAGACAGACTCATATTCATACATGATAAACTTCAAAAAGGCCTCTCCTGTGTATCGAGTAATATATTCATTGGCCAATGTCGTCCCTGCTCTCCAATCCCTTGGCCTCTGCTGAGCAGCTCTCCAATAGAGCCTCAAACAGCCAGTTCCCCTCAGACGCCCTCGACGCCGTCTTCGTAGCCGTCCAATGTCTCACACAAGCCGCCGGCCTGCTCCTCGACATCCCCCAAAGCACCACCGCCCAAGCCAATGTCGTACTAGCTAGGTACTGGGTTTCCGAGCCGCCAGAAACTCTCGAGTTCAGTGTACGTGTAAATCTTACTCGCCCGCAGTACAGCAGTACACCCCCCCAAACAGAGTCTAACTTGTTTCCCACCCCAGGACATCTCAGCCGCCGCACTATTCGTCATATCAAAAGACGGCCCCCATCCCCGCTCCCCCCGAGACATCTGCAACGTCTACACCTACCTCCTCTCCCCCGTCTCCCCCCTCTTCCATACCCAACCCTCCTCCACTCCTAACACCCCTCCCCCTCCAAACCCGGAAACCTACATCGCCTCCGAATCCACCTACGCCACATTCCACACCCGCCTCATCCAAGCCGAATCCCGCATCCTCACAACCCTAGGCTACGACATCTCCGTCTCCCTCCCCCACCCCTTAGCCATCACCTACCTCCAAGCCCTCGACTTCGCCGGCCACCCGCGAGACCCGGGGCCCATCACCGCCCGCGTGCTCGCCTACCTCAACACCGCGTTGCTCTCCCCGCAGATGCTCTACCTCACTCATCAGCCCGGAGAGCTCGCCACCGCCGCCATCTTCTTGGCCTCGAGGGACTTGGGCGCGAAGATGCCGCCTGAGCCTTGGTGGGAGCTGTTTGATGTCGATAGGGAGCAGCTGGGGTTTTTGGCTGTTTCGCTGATTAGTGTTGAGACTATTGTGAGGAGGCAGAGGGAGGAGTTTCCCTTTTTGAGCCGGGGGATGGTCACGAGGAACATGCTTGCGGAGGCCTTGTCTGCGGCTACCCCATCGTGAACATGGGGTTGAATGTTGGCCTTAAAGAAGATCCTTGCTTTTGCGTTTTAAGGACGGCCTCCTCTAATTGGGGCTCCCGAAGCATACGTCGTACTTGGCTCGTCGAAGCTCACTAGAGCAATAGCTTCAATTCTCTCTGAGCCCCGATACCGGGAAGCAATAAAAGATAAGAGAAAACAGGCAACTAGCGTGGCCCTACTCGTGCCTGGTATCAAAAAAAAAAAAAAAAAAAAAAAAAAAAAAATGAAGACGGAGAGTGGATAGAAAAAAGCGTTCGCTCTCTTCAGGCTGGCTGAGAAGGAAGGCAGAGACTCCTGTACAAATAGACGGATGAACCTACAAGTACACCATGTTAATGTGCACTGTCACTTTAATCACAGATTTCCTAGGAGATAAATTTAGATAGGTTATCGATTCCGCACTATTTAAACAATCATCGCTATCTCAACAAGAGAACCATGCGCAAAACGAGGCGTGTCCGCTTGGAAAATACATGCACACATGGCCCATTACTCGATCAAGGACTCTAACATACCCTCCCGCTCTCCTTCCAACCGCCACGCCCAAGTACTCTAACATATCTTTCTTCTCTCCGCCTCAAGTCCATCACACTCGTACAGCCAAAAATGTGGCAGAAACAGGGCCCCATAGGCTTTGAGGCCTAGGGAGTTCTAAAGGGGGGGGACGGTGGGGGAAAAAGGTGGTGGGAACGAAAAGAAAAGAAAAAAAAGAGAAACAACAGGTAGACCCCTTACTCAAGTAGAAATAGGGTATTGTCCCGCCGCAGAGAGAACAACGGCGGATGTGGATGATCAAGAATCTCGTTGGTTAGAGCTCACCAGCTCTAATCTCCTTCTCGAAGATCTTCACGCCCGCCACGCAGTCCATCATGAAATTCCTCGTCCTGAGTTTGAGTGCCGCTTCGCTAAGGGGGGTATAGATGCTGTCATTGTCGGAATGCGTATAGGTACTGCTGGAGGACGTGCTGGAATCGCTAGTCCAGCCGCCCTCAGTTGTCGAGTCGCTGACGCTGACAGCCTTTCCTTTACCCTTCTTGTCTACCGTGTCGCTTCGTTTCTTTAAAAACGAAGGCTTGGGGTTCCTCGTGATATGCGTCAGGCGATTCTCAACGGCGAGCCACTCGAGCGCAACGAACGGGTGTTGAGCGAGTGAGTCGGTAAAGAAGCGCGTAGTTTCTTGGATAGCCCAGACACACGTGTCATCGTTACGGAACGGGGAAATATGCAAGGCTCTCAGGTGCCTTAGGCGCGCAAAGTGCTGCAGAAGGACATGCTAAGACAGAAAACAATATACATCAGCACAATGCTTCTTTCGTACAAACTGGATGGTTAAGGAACAGCGGCGCCGAAAAATACTTACCAGGCTGCGCATTGTAAATCCTGCGGAGAGCTCCTCGAGCCGCCTAGCGTATTGGCAGAACAAAAGGACCGTGAACGAGTCGATATCCCAGGATGATTTATTGTCGTTCCGGATCATCAAGCGTTTGAGAGTGGGCAGATGCCTCCGGAGCACCCGTTTCCGTATCATGCCGAGAGAAACGTTGGTCTTGTTCACAAAGGTCGCAGGCCGGTACTTGCTTGATCGCTCCAACATAAACAAGTTATGAAGCTCGTCCAACTGCTCGATGCACTTAATAAACGCAGTGGATACGTGATCGGTGAAGACCTCCCTCAGAGCGAGAGACTTGACCTGGTTCTCTTTGGAGAGTAGAGTCCAGATTGGCGCCTGATTGCCAACGTTCAGGAGGGTGAGGCGGCGGAGGACGTGGACGTCCAGTGCCTGACTGATAACGGAGGGCTTCACGGGTATAAGGTGAATGGCCAGCGACTGGAGACCGAGACCTCTGGTGGACTTAACATAAGAGCTTATAAGGCACTTCTTCTCCGCCTCGCTTCGTTCGGCAGCCGAAGGCGGCCTAGTCGCATCAGTATCCACCTCTGCCTGCAGGGACGCCCCGTCTGATTGCTTAGCAGACGGAGAGGACAGGCAAGAGGTCTCAGCAGCCGCCGTTTCTGCTTCTCCCGCTTCTCCCAGGGTGGCGGGGTCGGCGTCATCCTCGTCATCGTCGCCTCCGAGGGATTCCACCTCTCCCGAGTCAGCAATGTCAATGTCATCCAACTCCTCGGGATTGCTGGCTTTTGGTGGACCCAAATCGGGTTCTCCTTGGTTAGCGCCGGACATGGGTTCCGCCACAGAACTCTGACCATCGTTCTGTGCTTCTTTGGATGCAGAAGCGGATCCAGAGCCTGAGCCCGAGCCCGAGCCCGATGCTGAACCGGAGCCTGAGGCTCCTCCCTCGGGCGTGGTTTTCAACGCATCCGACTCGACATAGTCGCTCACTGCCTTCCCAATGGCGTCGAGGATGTCCTGATGATGCTGGGCTAGGAACTGTGTCTCCTGAGCATCGAGAACCATTCGTGAGGCGGCCTTTAGAGTAATGACGAGCTTGTTCAATTGTCCACTGGTTACTCCCTCCTCATTTTTGCCTCCATTCTCCGTAGGTTCACTGCTGTCGTCGACCAAACCGTTGCTCGCAATAGAATCCAATCCCTTTCCGGCGTGACGCTGACCGTGGGCTTTGGTAAGGCCAAACAGACGGGCCAATACCGTCTCCTGGATCTTCCACTCCTTTTGGGCGCGGGCAGGCCTCACAGGCCCACTAGCGTCGAACGAGGTACTGTTCTCAGCAGCTTGGAACTCATCATCCATCTCAGATGCGTCGGAGTCGGGCTCTTGGCTCGTCTCCCTGGCCTTTTTGGCCAGAAAGGCCGAAAACGAGAAACTGACATGAGTGAGCGTGGTCTCGGAATTTTCTATCGCGGCTCTAATCTCGGGAATTATGTCGAGAGAATCAATATCCAGGATGGCAAGGCGCTTCAAATTTCTGAAAGCCGACAAGGTTGGGGGGTCGCTGGAGCTGTTCCTCTGGTTTTTGGGCTTGGTGAAGGTTAGGGGAGGCGGGGGGATCGCTGGAACGAACTGGGAAGGGGGAGGGACGTATTGAGGGAGTGTAAATGGCCCAAACCCGTTGAAGAGGCCGCCTTGGTTGGGTGGAGGTGGATTGTTCATATTGTTCACACCCCCAATGGGCGCAGCCCACGTAATTGTAGTAGGTGGGTTCTGGGGGTGGGGATGAGGAGGGGGCGGGGGTGGTGGAGGCGCGAGCTGGTATGTATCGACGTTTGCGAGGGGTAGGGGCCGCGGGGGCTCATAAAGAGAGGGGCCACCTTGCAGTCGAATATGAAGATCCTGCAACGCTGGGAGTTGATGGAGAGTTTTGAAAACAGGTCGGCTGAGTTCGACACGGAGGTTCCACCTAGACACCAAATAAAACTTGTTAGAAAACAGGTACTGACCTAGTCGGTCTCTCGGCAAAGGGAAGGCCAAGGAGAGTACGCGAGAGATTTGAATAGACCTACTTGAACGTTTCCAAAGAGTGCGCGTCGCGAAGCGCTAGGTGTAGGAGGGTATTGAGAAGTCTCCCTCCGCTGGTCGAGTAAGAAAACTGTTGGCAGGCAGACCTCGCCTTATCTCCGATGGCCTGGGTATCAATGACAAAGCGCCTTAGAAATCGAGCATAATGATAGTCGCTTGTGGTCAAGGTATCAAGAGCACCGGTCAATGGCAACCGAGGCTCGCGGAATCGCGGATGGTTTTCGCTCGGAAGAGTAACTTCGAATGATCGGTAGAGCTCAGCGGCGGCGAGCTCGTGGAAGCGCTTCGACACGACAGAGAGTGTGACGAGATCGGCTTTGGAGCACTAAGTATTCGAAGGCAGGTAGGATCAACCTCTACGTCAGTAAAAGAGAAATAAAAAAAAATGAATGGGAGCAGCGATTCGAGATCGGAAGAGGGAGGGGAGTGGAAGGGGGGAGGAGTAAAGGAAAGGAATCGGAGGCGCGAGGCGGAAAGATGGATTCCTCAAAAGACGTACGTGACTGAAAATGGCCTGCTGTGTCTCGATGGGAATGGTCAGGATGTTGAGGGATCGCGTCGTCTTCGAGCTCGAGGAAGACGAAGCCGCTGACACTGAGGTCGACGCAGACGCGATGACTTGGGAAGCCATCATGCCACGAAAAGCAGCAGCAGGCCCAGTGCGCTGGCTGGAGTGTGAAATCAACAGTCCGGGAAAATATAGAGAATCGTTCGCTTCTCAATTAACCAATCGATAATAGAAGAGAAGAACAAGGGGATATCACAATAGGGTTAGAGGGAGTAGGGGAAGGAGAGTGTGAGAGCTGCAGCAAGTGAGGCTGACAATGGGTAAAGAGGTAAAAAAGGTAGGGATTGATAAGGTGGAACAGATCTGTGCCTGGAAGGTCAAAGGAATTGTGAATGGGCACTACAGAATTTGTAGTGTTGTCGGATGGGGAATATGTGGAAATATTGCCCTGGTGTTGGCAGCAAGCGCCAGGTCGCAGGTGTGGAAGTCGTGCCTAAGGATGAGGGGGGGCGGACTAGTAATGATGAAAGAGCTAGAGGGAGCTCATCACTAGTGGAAGGGGGTTTGGAGAGAAATATGTAAGGATGATATACAATTAAAGGACGTGAAGGAAGGGAAGGGTGTTGCAGAGGGTTGAGGTGTGAGATGGGAGGAAGTCGAAGTGAGTGTTGATGTTTGAGGATTGGTGGAGGTGGGAAGTAGCAGAGATAGTGAGGTAGTTAGTTGTGTGTCTGCAGCGGGAAGGCGCGGGGCGGAGGGTTGCTCCTTCCAGGATTCCAGGGTCTTAGCATCCCAGCCTGGTTCTTGACTTCCTAACTTCTTCCTAAGAATATGGGGAGACCATTAAACTACGGCACTAAGACCAGCCACTAATTGGGCCATGTACTGTGACAAGCGGGTATGCCAAGGGGGAGTGGGGATGAGCCTGAATGCAACCCATGGCAGGCACTGGCAGGTACCAAACAGGCAAGGTCTATGCAAGTCCAGCAAGTGCAGCCCCAGCTGTTTCTAGTCAATGTACTTCTACAAAGGATGCGGAACGGGAACCACTTTGCCCACACAATCGGATTGAACTATATAAAGAATCGGCAAGACTAGCCTTTGATATATCCCCGCAGCCCTACTGCAATGCTGGACAGACAAAACCCACCGTTTCAGATGAATGTCGGCGGCAAGGCAGTGGCCGGTGATGAATCCTTGATGCTTGATATTGGATATGTGTACACAGGTAATATGTAGAGAGGCCAAGGAAGTAGACCTTGCCATTCCTGTTTCCGTCTGTCGTGTCTTCCACTGTCCTCTTTATTTCGCTCTAATGCAAATAGTACCTTTTTTTTCCCTTCTTTTTCTCATCAATGTCTTCGAGAATTTGCCACGGGGATCAAACACCTTGTGGCAGACACTGACCACGCCAACCCAACTTTGAAATTTCTCGATTTGGCCTGTTGCCTGGTCAGTCAACGGCGAATAGAGTAGCTCCGGCGAGTAAGCACGTCACAGTTCCAGCTGGAGACAGACAAGTCCCACAGTCGGGAATTTATTGACGTATTTATGGACCCAAGCCTCAGACTCTCACTCCCCAGGCAGCCAAACACCTCCGACATCTTCCGCCTTCTGTTGCTATTCACAATCCAGCCCTTTCCTCCTCCGTGACAATGGGCGAAGAGGATATGTTCTGTATCCATATCCATACCGACTCTCCCTCTAAACATGCCTTGTGGGATTATTGGGATAAATTTGTCATTAGGGATGGGGAAGATTAAGGTATGGGATCAATAGCCCGGTCTCTAAACGAGGCAGGTTAGGAGAAACTCGGATGACTTGACCTGCCGAAGTCATGATCGGTTACCTTGCGATCGAGACTGTTGCCTTCAGGTTGCTGTACGGTTCAAGCATCCGACTCTAAAATAGGCATTTCCTAGGCAAGACCCTACCTCTAACCAATGGCAGTGTATTAAAACTAGGCAAGTCGACCATGTAAGTCCCCCTCAGTTCTTGAGTGGGATTGCCGTAACATATCGTACTTTTTTCCGGGGGGGGGGGGGGGGGGGGGGGGGGGGGGGGGTAGGGTATTGAGGAACAAGATATTGTATAGATGCTAGCAGAATAAGCAGCCGAGAGGAAAGGCGTCAATGAATACATGTAGAACTATGCATTGAAATGACTACGGCGCCGCATTGGGAGATCAGTGTCGTCTTTAATATTCTCTGCTGCGTTGGGTGATGATGTCAATACTTCGTCTGCCAAAGCCAGGGCCCTATTTCGAAGAAAAAAAAAAAGAAAAAAGAAAAAATCGTTCCTTAAACCCAAACTACTTTGTAGATGTACGAGACAATGGCCGGCGACGCAAATGCCACACGCCTTAAGCCGCAAACTATGCAGACCGATTGAAACCATCAGTGCCTAACCGCCCCTTCCCCTCTCGTTCCCGGTGACACTAATGCTAATGTACGAAGTAGTGGATGGGCGTATGAGGCATGGCCGGGCGAGGGCAAACATTTGCTAGATCCACCCTGCAAGTAATATAGTCGGTTGATCCAATCCCACCCTGTCGCTGTCAAGCTATCAACATCCCATGGACTGATTCCTCGGCGTCCAAGGGCGGCGGTGGTGTGTGTGGGATCTCCACTTGGCAGGCTTCAAGCTTGCGTCTCACTGCTGTTATTTTCCCTGGGTGGGCCCCTAATAATGTCCGCCGTAATCGAATGCATTTGAGTGTAACTGTGTAGTGTACCTGTATCCAGTGTTGTCTCAATCCCAAGCCATTGATCATTGTTGAGCTCCCAACACCAAGTAACCTGATGATTGATCCATTGTTCTGTTTACGTCGTACGAAGCAGTTTGCACTCTCCACTTGAGACTTGATCGAGGCCGTTGGGTGCCATTGTTTGTCGACCTTCACTCTCCCCCTTGTTAATAAACGAACGGTGGCTTGTGAGTTCGGACCGTGCTGGTCTTGGTGTTCCACGAACGGTGGCTTGTGAGTTCGGACCGTGCTGGTCTTGGTGTTCCCCCCCTGATGGTTCATCCTACGCACCCCACTATGCCACTATGCCACTATGGAACTCAATCCTAAACTCTCGCCAGGCTCATTCGTCTAATTCGCCTCACTCCCTCTGCTACTGTACACGACTATTCTAGTAAAGACCACGCAATCAGGTGGATCAAATGCACTTGGTTTAAAATCTCAGCGTCGACCCCCCCGAACGAAGAAATCCTGTTATGGTTATCGCCAAACTCAACTCAATCCATCCTGCGCTTCCTCGCGTTCGTTGGTCTGTCAACTTGTTCTGTGTTTCAGCGACAGGACAGAGTGGGATTTTAATCCAACAAGGCTGATGCGGGGCTGCACTGCCTCCGCAGGTTTCAATCCTTCTTCTGTTGGGCGACCGACCCTGCCTGGCGTTGTGTCACTTAGCGTGTTTGTGAGCCGCCTTCGCTTCTTAATATAAGCCGACTTGTTGCAACTTTCATGTTCCTTTCTTGTCGTGCCACCTCTCCCAGCATCCAACTCTCGACGCTCGTTTCGAAATACGGCTTAAAATCGATATAATTCGTGCGCATCAATTTTGACACTCTCGCTTTACTGGCCCATCATGACGCAGGTCGAGGAGCCCCAGTTCAACACTCTCGCAGAACGCATCGCTGCCCTCAACAAGCAGAAGAACTTTGCCGCTCCCGACACTTTCCCAAAGAAGCGTGCCCCGCCGCCACCACCCCCCGGTCCAACGACATCGTCAACCCAACCAGCGCCGGTCGCAGCCAAGGCTGCACCACCGCCTCTCCCCCGCCGACATCCAAGCAAACCGAATATCCGCGACAACGCGATCTCCGATTCACAGCCGCCGGCGCTACCCACCCGAAAGTCATTCAAACAGCCTTCGCCTGCGCCGTCTCCTGCTTTGCCTCCGCGGCGCTCCACCTTGCAGCCGGACGTGGATGTTCGACGGAACTCGACCTCGTCCGATATTTCTCACATTTCCAACCTTTCCATCAGCAGGACCAATTCCTCGAATACGAGCTTCGTTTCAAACGATGGCCAGCCAACACGGAAATTGCCCCCTGCTTATAACCCAGCGACTCTGCCTCCCCTCCCCCCAAGCCGGAGAGAGTCCGAGGCTAAGGAGGCTGCACAACATGCAAAGTCTAAATATTCGCCCGGCTCCCGACCGGTAGACCCCCCTCCGAGACCATCGCAGCCTCCCCGCCTACCGTCACGGCCTGCAAAGTCCCCCGGCGTCACGCATGGAGTGGTCGATACGAAGCCATCTACACCTCGTCGACTCCCACCGCCTCCTGATGCGTACGTGAAGCCTCCGCCTAGCCTGCCTTCACGTCCTACAAATGGGAACGGGAATGGTGTGCCGCCACCCCTCCCTTCTACTGGTCGGGACTCGCGAGATGCCCCACCACCAGTGCCGATGGCGTCGCGGCCCTCTGTTGCGCAGATAGAAGACGTTAAGTCTAGGGCTACGGCCTCATGTCTCCTCTGCCGAGATTTCTCTGCTCCTGATTCCGTCGGGGCGCAGTATCCACGGGAATCCCTTTCTCGACAGGATCCAGTTGGTTTCCTAGCTCACGCGCTCTGTGATCCCTTCACATCCTTGACGGACAAGGCTCGAGCGATCTTTACGTGGGCACATCATAATATCGTTTATGATTACGAATCGTTTTGCAGCGGCAATCTCCGCCACGTTACGGCCGAAGACGTCATCTTCTCCGGAAAAGCGGTTTGTGCCGGATACGCGGGGTGCTACGAAGCCATTGCGAAGAGGGCCGGGCTCGAGTGCATCGTAGTTACCGGCCACGGAAAAGGCGTAGGGTACACCCCTCTGAAGAAGGGCGAGCGTGCGCCTCCCAAGAAACCCGACGGACACGCATGGAACGCCGTCCGCATTGACGGGGGCGAATGGAAACTTCTCGACGCGTGCTGGGGCGCCGGACACCTCGACGTTTGCACGAACAGTTACAAGAAGCAGTTTTCTCCCATCGAGTTTGGGGCTAGCAACGAGGTCTTCGGCATGCGTCACTATCCCCAGAACCCGCGGCACTTCTTCCGCGCAGACGGCAGGGTGCCTACTTGGGAGGAATATTTCACCGACGGCCTTGACGACGAGCCCGTCAAGAAGTTCGGCAGTTTGTACGAGGACGGCTGCGCGGGGCATTCCGTCAGTCCGCGGGAGCGCAACATTCACGTCTACAGCGGGCAGGTGGTACGTTTCCAGTTTTCGAACATTTGCGAGCACTGGGCCAAGGTCAACCACGGAAAGCTGCGGAAGCCGTTCTTGCTGAGCATTAAGGGCCTCGATGGACGCGACGAGCAATGCATTCCCTTTGAGACGGACGGGTACTGGTGGTGGATCGACGTCAATGCGAGGGACCTCGGAGCGCCTGGGCAGAAAGTCACACTGATAGTGTTGGAGACGTTTGATAACAAGGATGCGACGGGGGTTACGCCGGCGGAGTTCAGGAGGGGATTCCGAAGGGTTGCGATGTCCATGACCTTTAGAGCGGAGTGGATGTTGGTGTAAATTTTTTTTCTATCTCTTTTTTTTTCCTTTTTCTTTTTCACTTCGGTATCCTCATAAACAATGGGAAAGGAGAGAATATGGGATAATGGGCAATAAGGACGGATCTCGAAAACAGATGGGAGTTTAGGACGGAGGAACTGGGATTTTGCATTTTATTTTCAAGCTAAAGCTAAGGCAGGCCACCATGAACTAATAACAAGCTGTACGTTTTTCTGAATCGATGTCTCTTGAACGTTATTAAACAGAGATCGGAGTTGAGATCTTGGAAACGTGGGAGTACATTCAGATGTACCTCACCGTGTAAGATTACATAATGCCCCTATCACAAGCTTGAAGTTGGCCCACGAGGCGAGGCCCTGACCATTTTTTTGTGAACTTGTCCTTTGCCATTACGAGGTAGACCACGCTAAATCGCACTCTGGAAGTCGCGATAGCCGCCACCACCCCCCAAAGGACGAGGGAAGCCGCGACAACCTCGATCCCTCTTTCTCAACATTGGGAGCTCACATTCTTTTGCAAACACAAATTTTTGGTGGGGTCCATTCAAAGACGATGAATGCGATGCAGATTTTACCCTTCTTTCTCCCCTTTTCTTGTAGTTGTTACCTGTAGGCACCGCCAGATTCCTACTTCTTTCATTTCTGCCCCCTGAGTCTTTCTCCACTCCTTCGTTTCGTGATTAGCCTCTAGTCACAGAGGAAAGGCAGGAACATCTGTGATACTGAGCCGAAGAACCCCACCTCCGATCGTGAAATAACCTCACCCCCCGAACCAAGGCCTGCCGAAAAGAACAAAGCGAAGATGCCGACCCTCCCCGAGACCCTCAGCCGCACCGAGTCGGTCGCGCACCTCACCCTCGTCGGCGCATGTCTCGCGATCCTCGCCAACACCTTCAGCGGCGACGGCGAACCCCTCGCCGCCTCCCTGGCCCTGAGCGGCATCGCCTTCAGCCTCTGCTACTCGATGATCCGCTGGCTGGGCCCTACCTTTGTCAAGCACGGCTTCAAGGGCAAGGACCTCTGCAAGGCGAACAGGCCCGAGATACCCGAGTGCATGGGTGCTGTTTGCGCCGTGGTCTACTTGATTGTGATTATCGTGTTTATACCTTTTCCGTTTTACAAGGACATTGTTGCCGCTACTAGTGGTGGTGGAAACAGAGATGTTGTCCTGAAGGTTCAGCATGTCAACGAGGGACGGTTCTTGCATAGGTTCCCACATAGTAAGGTAATGTTGTGTACCCTCGCTCTGATATTAAATTCCTCCATACTATATGCAATTGGAAAGGGAGTGAAACGCTAACTAGTCTCACTTCTCTTCTCTAGCTGGCATCCTATCTATCGGCGATAATATCGCTCCAAACCATCGCCCTCCTCGGACTCGGCGACGACCTCTTCGACATCCGATGGCGTCACAAATGGTGGATCCCCGGCCTCGCCTGCATCCCTATCCTCGTGGTCTACTTCGTCGACTTCGGCGTCACGTCCGTCGTCATCCCGATCCCCCTCCAGCCTTATCTAGGCGAACTCTTCGACATCGGTAACTTCTACTACCTCTACATGGCCTGCGTCGCCATGTTCTGCCCCCAGAGCATCAACATGCTCGCGGGCATCAACGGCATCGAAGTCTCCCAGTCCATCGTCATCGCCCTCCTCCTCGTCTTTAACGATTGCCTATACCTCTTCACGCCGTACCCTCATCCGGCTACGGACTCCCACCTCTTCTCCCTCTACTTACTTCTCCCCTGGCTCGGCGTCTCCTTCGCCCTCCTCTACCACAACTGGTATCCCGCCCGCGTCTTCGTCGGCGACACCTACTGCTACTTCTCCGGAATGGTCTTCGCCGTCGTGGGCCTCCTTGGCCACTTTTCCAAGACGCTAGGCCTTTTACTCGTCCCGCAGTTCTTCAACTTCCTATACTCCGCCCCGCAGGTCTTCGGCCTCGTCCCCTGCCCCCGCCATCGCCTACCCAAATTCAACGCCCGAACAGGCCTCCTCGAGCCTTCCGTCACAACCTGGGATCCCGAGAACGGCGTCCAGCCTCGTTCCTTCGTCGCCCCCGTCCTGCTTCTTCTCGCTCGCCTGCGCCTCCTCAAGGTTACTCTCGACAAGGAGGGACGCTTCCTCGAGACGAGCAACTTTACCCTGCTGAACCTCTGGCTCGTCATCAGGGGCCCCATGAGGGAGGATCGCCTTGCTACTGAGGTTACGGGCCTGCAGTTCGTTCTTGGCCTTCTTGGTTTGTTTGCGAGGCATAGGCTTGCCCTTCTAGTCTTTAAGGAGGATAACTTGGGCAAGACGCATCTATGAAGTTGAATGCACAAACCGTCGTTTGAATCGTTTTCTACTGTAGAAAAAAAATGAAAGTGATGAATATAGAATACTTCTCCTAGCAAAAGAGAATCTTGCAAGAGGAACTACCGTTCGAGAGGAAATTTGATGTCTTCCTATTCAGTTCTAAAATGATATCGCGAGATACCCCGTATGAAAACCTGCTCAGTAATGTCGAGTCTTCAGCTCTCCTCGCGAAGCATTAATACATTATTCCCATCACGAAGCCATAGGATAGAGAGAACTCATGTTTTAACAGCGAAAAGGGCTAAAAGGACAAAAGTTGCTCGAGAGCGGACGAGGTACAGCCGTCTCGGCAATTTTTTTATTTCAGTTCATTTTTCGAATCCCTCCACTTTCCCTTCCGCCAAGGCTTGTTTCTTCTTCTCTCAAGAATAGAAAATAGAAGAAGAAAGGGCAGGATATCGAGTAGAAAAAGAGGGCAACCGAAAAAGGAATGGAAAGGAAGAAAAAAAAAAGGAAAGCAGGAGCGAAGCTAGCTCTCTCTCTCTCTCTCTCTCTCACGTATCATAACCAACAATAAATAACAGGAGTCATAAAGATAAAAAGTGAACAAAGGGAAGAACGAGGCGGCTTTAAGGCTTCAAGCTCTCCAGACCTTAGCAACTACAAATACATTGATTGTGGGATCTTTACCCGGACCGCCCCCCAAACCGGATCACCAATGAACACCAGAAATAGCAATAAAAGGGGCCCCCCAAAAAGAGACCCAAAGTAAACCGTATAACCCCTTCCTTACCCCCATTTCATAACCGCAAGACCAGTATTGGGAATATCCGTAAAGACAAGAAGAAAATAATAGAAAAGAAAGGGAGTAAAATCGGGATCGGCCGGAAAAGAAGCCCAAACAAAATAATAGAGACTGCCACCCCAAGATTCAACCATCGCCAAGACATCCCTTCGTTGTTGTCCTTTTACCCTTCGCTTTTCCCTCCTCAATTTGATTAAAAGGAAAAAAAAAAAAAACTCCGGGCTCATCGGTAAAGACATCGAAAAACCCCAAACGCAAAAAAGAAAAAAGAAAAAAAAAAGGCAAGAAAGAAAAAGAAACCTGCGAAGAACCGCCTCCCCAATTTTATGACGCCAGCGCTTACCCATTATCCCCAAATAAAAACGTAAAAATAATGGCTATGAGCGCGGCGAAGGATGAGGTGCTTTATATTCCGGGATTCATCCGTACGGATTCCGCTAGACCGTCGATCAAATTCGGGAACCATCCACAAAAACGGCAATGCCAGAGTGATTTGAGAAATCGCGGGATACGTGCGAGGAACTTGTCGGGGATCGGAGTTGAGGAACGGGATATCGTAATCGAATCGTACAGCGCCAGAGAGACCTTCCCCATCCACACTCAAAGTATTCATGCCAAACCTGAACGACATCATTTCTTTCTTTAATATATATATAATACAGAAGCTTCTTGAACTAACGGGAATGGCCGCCGTGTCGTGAATGCCTCGGGATTAAACAGTGTCGCCAATCGATTTGTCGCCAATCAGGGAATCGCCGTTCAGCTCAGGCTTCGCCTCTTCGGAAATAGGTTTCGTGGCTGGTAGTGCGGTCTTTCCAGCGGCCTTGTCCTTATCCATCCTACTTCTCCTGTAATCGCTTAAACTCAATTTCTTCTTCACCGGACTCGGCTGCACGCCGTTCATTACCGATGGGCCGAATGGACTAGCAAGATTGGTCGCTGAGAAAGGCGACTGCACCAGAGAGCCTACTCCCGAGACGGGAGTGTTGGTCAAGGAAGCGCTACCGGCGTTAGTGAACGCGGGCACCGGTGGCATCTGCACTCTCAGATCTGGCGTCCTCGTCTTTGAAGGGCCAGCCGCAGTCGATTCGGTACCATCCACATTTAACTGCGATGATACCATTGTCGGCGAGGTAGAAGCAATATCAGCCATTGCGATATCTGTAGAGGTAGGGGCGGGAGATGTGGTGGTCGTGGAGACGCTATCCTTCGTCAGGATAGGCGAGCTCGATGCAGAAGGATGTTCTGTTCCGGGAGAGTCGATGTCCATCGCTCCAGATTCGCTATTTGCGACGTCGACCTTCTTACGCTCAGCCTCGTCCAACTTCTGGCGATGGCGGTTATTCAGCAGTCTCTGCGATAGGGAGATAACTCTCCGACGAGGCTGGGGACTAGGGGTCAGCGCGCTAAACCATTCCCCATCCACAGGATCCGTCTGGACGGCAGCATCACAGTAGTTAGCATGCGGTGCGGATGATGGCCGCCGTAGAGGCCGAACAGAGTCGGGCTTGGCCATAGCAAAGGGGGGAAATTGCGCGCGAGGCGAAAAGGCACTGGCTGGAGACCCGGACTTGCTCCTAGACGTCCCGGCATCGACGTAGTGGCCATTCGAGAGGTTGGGTGTCGTACCGGCAGGTGTCCGGGCCGATTTCGATTTTGTTGAGCTCGCTCCGTCCGACACGACTCGTTTCTTTTTCCGTTGCGGTTGCTGCTGCTGTTCCATCAGACGGAATTTCTCTTCGGCCATAGCCACCTTACGTTTGTCGCGATCGGTCGGTTCGGTGAGTATTCCCAGTTGGTCGAAGGCACCACCTTGATGGAACGGAGTGCGGTCGCGACTAGGTGGTTTGCTCCGTGATGACGTCGACCTGGCATCAATATCGGGGCCGTCGTCAAGATGTCCTTCGCTGGCGGCACGGCTATTCGTCGCGTAGCCAGTGCTCGTCGGTGAGACGTTCTGAGCCTTTGCCTTCCTCTTCTTCTTCTGCTGGGCTGCTCGGGGCTGAGTTTTGGCGAGGTAGTGACGGTGGAAGCGAGCAAAAGCACAATTGATGCCCAAGTCGCACGCACAGCCTCCATATTCCGAAAGCAGGCGGTGCAGCCACGTAGATATATCCCGATACTCCGTCTCGTCCATGTCAGGCTGCTCGGATGCACCCATCTCATCATCCCCAAGGCCGAGAAGATAAAGCAATCGCGCCTTTTCCTCGTTGGGGAACCTGAAATCCCAAGGAAGCGTTATTTGTTCCTTGGCGGCAATGTGACGGTCGCTGACAAGCCAAAAGTGATACTCAGAACCATCAGACAGATACGTGTCGAGGACGGCGTTAGGCTTGCAGCTGCGCCGTACGTATCGAGCCTCGGAACCTTCTCTTCGGGTGTCAATGTACAGAGGGAGGAGTGGGTGGAAGAAGACGAAAGGAAGAGGGGATGTCAATTCATGCCATAGGTTGTCAAAGTCTGCACAGTAGTCCTTTTGAAATCCGATCTGTCCGTTTAGCTCCATCAAGGGAACATCTTTCTCGACAGCAGATGGTGTCGCGAGGTATTGTAACCGGAGCTTTCTTCCAGGCGTAGGGGAATATGACTTGTGCTCCACGCGTAAAGCACTCTTTATCGACTCGATATTGGCGGGTAGCTTCTGGAAAACGTCCTTGTATTCCTGGCCAGTCTCCTTTTTTAGCCGATCACGATCTTGAAGCCAGAGCGACATGGTGTTAGATATGGTAAGGCTCGCGAACGAGTTATTTTGGACAATTTGGACATCATCTTCGCTGTGGAGGGAGAAAAAATTGGCCGAGTAATTGTGGAGCTCAAATTCGATGGGAGGATCAGGAGGCGTATTGGCCGGGCTTGGCTGTTGTTGCAGACCATTCGTCTGGAGTTTTGCATGGGCATGGGCTGGGCTCTTCTTGGAGGGCTGAGAACTGATGGAATGAGAAGAGCGATGGGAGGTTTTTGCCTTTTTAGCGGGAGGATGGTGGTCACTCGGGCTCGGATGCTTGGCGCTGCTGTCGTGGCTGGTGTGGTTGTTGCCATTTAACTGGAGGTCGTTAGGTTTTGGCTTCTTCTTATGGGTCTTAGACGTAGGTCGCTTAGGTTTCTTGTCGTGTTCCTCGACGAGGGCATTGCGTAGTTTTTGCGTCCTCTCGATGGCTCTCTTGTGGTCCAGGGGACGGGGTTTGCATTGATGACACGAATGCGAAAAGGTCTCGAGAAGGGCTTCTTCGCGATTATCGGGGTAGAAGCAGTCAATATGCTGCCAGGTTTCGCATGTCTCGCAAAATATCGTGTTTCCATCATCGTCAGGGAAATTGCAGATACACTTGATCGTGTACGGCTCTTCCTCCACAATCTCGACCTTGTGTGGCAGCTCCTTTGCTTGAGCGACGGGAGTTGCGCTGGTTGGGGTAGCGAGATTCTGACTCGGATTCGCGATTTGCGTTGACAGAGGCTGTAATTTTTCCGTCATAATCTAAGGGGAATGGCCTCGAGCGGGCGAGTTGATGGCTTCGAGGCTTCGAGAGGGGGGGAAAGAGTGAGCGGGTTTACCGGTACCGTCTGGGTAGCATGTCGATGCCTTCCTCGACGAAGAATTATAGGACTGGTGAAAGGGGAGATGGAAATTCGAGGCCTCGCATGCGTCAACTCGTCGGGTGGTGAAGGGGATTTTGGCTGGTTTGGGGAGAGGAAAATTGAGGGTGACGATTTGGACACGAAAGGGTGCAGAGTCGCGACGGGAGGATAGGGGAAAGAGAAATAGACCAGCAGGTGTAGGAAGAGATTATGGATCGAAATATAATTGTTGGACGCGTTGGTAGTCGAGGTGGTCGCTGATTGTTGAGATTGTTTGTATTCTCGGGTTCGCGAGATCGTGACGGTCGAGGAGTGGAGGCGAGGACGAGGACTGAAAGAATTGCGCCGGGGCCAAGGGCGAGTGTGACGGTGGGAAAGTCAAAATAGACGGGTACTTTTCGGGAAACGAACGTCTTTTTCGAGGCGCGTTAGTTCCGAGGCCAACCCAACACAAAGAGAAGTCACGATAGGAAAATGGCGAAGTTGAACGGGAAGGAGATGGTGATGGGAGAGGGAAAGAGAAAGAGGAGGGGACCACAACACGAAGGAACATTGAAGGAAGGAAAGGCCGGCTCGGTTGTGTGGGAGAATGGCTCCATGGTACTCTCGTTACAATAGAGACAGAGAGAGCGAGGGAGTACCAGTGCTGTGAGCGACCAGGAGCAAGAGGAAGAAGCGCAAGAGCAGTGGAGCGGGACGAGGGTGTGTGCTGTGGGACAGATGGGTGTGTGGGCAGAGAGCCAGCGCTGTTGGGATTGGTGATTGGGGGGTGTGGGCGCAGGCATCCAGGCAGAAGGAGTTGAGGGTTGAGGAATTTGGCACTGGGCGCTGAGGGCAGTGTGTGTGCACAGTAAATTACCGTCAGCGTGCACGAGGGGAGATATGTACTTACGTACAGGAAAGGTTGTAGGGGGGCGACGCTGTCAGAGGGGACCAGGCTTCACCCCAACCCTGTCTGACTGGTTGTGGCATCGTGCGGAGAGACGCTAAAGTCGCCAGCGTGCAGTTCCTATTTCAGTGAAGTGAGGGGGGGACGATCAGAGCAGATGGGATTGATGTCGGTGCAGGAAAATCAGTCCAATGTTGTTGTGAGAGAGGAAGTGAGTGCGAGGAGAGTACATCGCGACTTGCTTGTCCTCGCCTCGCTGATTGTTCTCGTGGCGGCGTTGCTTGAGACATTCAGGGGATCGTGCTCAATGTCTCGGCGAAGAAAGCAGAAGCCGACTCTGTCATCAACGCTCTGTTGGCCCTTCGGTAACAAAGCGACGATTCCAAAGAGGATAAACCTATCGAGGACGACAAGGTTTGGACGCAATATTTCATAGACCTCTCGTCGACCAATGGGTGGGAAGCTTGAATGGGCGGATCATGAAAAGACGTCAATAGGACGCGGTGCATCGTCCCCCCTCAATTTCATCTTCGAGGCTGGTCTTGAGGTGCTGGTGTCGCTTCAAAAGATTGGGAAATGTAACTGTACAAGGTGACGAAGTCTGCAAAGTCGCAGTTGGTCGCTGGATCCGTCCAGGCAGCCTGTACTATACATTAGAGGTGCAGCCAAGTGTTGGAGGTACCAGTAACGTGAAATTTTGGTGAGGGCACTGCAGATGCTGATAGACCCAGGCCTCGCTCTGAATGGTGAATTCAGCTCCAAGGGGGGTTTGAGCGACTCGCCTCTTTTCGGAACAGCATAACGCTGGTCTCGGGGAAAGTACCAGTACACGGGTGGAGGTCCAAGACTCGAAAGGCGGTGGGGAAAAGAAAAAAAAAAAAAAAAAAAAAAAAAAAAAAAAATAGAAGCCAGAGTACGGCAGACCAGTTTACCTCCGAGCGCAATTTTCTGGGTTCCTTATTGCCTGAGGCGCGAAGCTCTTCTCGGATGACTCTCGAGTTGTGTGCGGAAGAGAAGCCCCGCCATCACACATCCCATCTTGATGGGCAAGGTCGGCGGGTGGTGGTTTGAGAAGGTTCTCACGCCGAGCATATCGAAGGTAAGGTTCCATAAAAGTAAATAAATATGTCCGAAAAATATAATTGAGACGATGAGTTGGATAAGCTGTCGTTTCTTTTGTTTTTCTGTTCCTCCTCCTGGTGAGGATCTCGAGTTCAAAGTGTTACAGGACTGCGCAGTCTTACATGATAGGCGAGTGGAAATAGAAGAAGACGAAACGAAAACAAGAGCTCCAAAATTCAAAGGGTTGGTGAAAGTGGTCTGAGGCATTGGGCATCCTCCCTGTGTGCGTTGTGAGGTGAGGGGCAAAACCATTTGATGGAGGTGTACGAATCCTGGGCAATGCTAACAATTGAGCCGGACGCTGATTCGGCATTAGCTCCATCGGTATTAATGCAAAATGAGGCTGCCTATCATGGAATAATTCAGTAGAGTGATAACAATTTTGACTTTGTAGTAGATTCCCATTGCATAACAATACACGGGTACTTCGGAGCTTGGGTGGAGGATCCGCGGCTTCTCATTGGGGCAAAATCCAACTCGGGCAAAGTGTCTTCTTCAAGACTAGTGTACGACACAGTACGGGTACAATCATGGAAGAGCCTGTAATGAGGCAAATTTCCGGGAGAGCTTGTATCATTACCTTGTAGAAACACCGATGGAGATCATACTGTGTACATGCGAGATCAACCAACGTAACCGAACATTGGTTTTGCGGATGAAGGAGTACGAACGAAGTACGAAGTACGAAATAGCAGTGTGATGGCAGTTAAGTTCTCTGCAAAGTCTCTCCTCAGTTTTAGACGGCCTTCCTTCACTATTTTTAAGCTCCACTCTGTCTAAATGGTACGAAATACGAAGCCACTTCAGTGTCTGAAAATGGGCAATAACCAGAACCAGAGAAATCATTCCAACTTCTCAGGGTCCCCCTGTATTACTTACTCCCTGCACAATACCAAGTTTACATCCCCGACATTGCTCGGTTGAATTAATTTTGTCCTCGTATCTCCTTTTGCTCTATTGTCTCATGTCAATTGCTTTATCTAATGTCAAAATGGGTTTTTTGGTGTAAAACAAAAACAAAGCGCACGCGTGCATTTCTATGGCTCCTCTCCCCCACCCTGCTTCTTCGCGTGATATTGATCCTTCCTCGAGCTCTCCAAACCCCGAGTGTCCCTCACCTCTCTCGACCTCAGCTGCTGACCGCCGTTTCGGTCTTATCCACTACGAACTTCCCCGATCGATCATATCCTCCCGTCCAGGACCGGTTCCGATCCACCGAATCCGTACTCCGACGTACTCCTCGATGAACTTGATATAATCCTGAGCACCCTTGGGGAGCTCCTCAAACTTCTGGACCTTCGATGTGGACGCCTTCCATCCAGGCAGCTCCTTGTACACGACTTCGACCTGCCCGAGGAGATCCATATCTGCGGGGAAAGTAGGAAGTTCCGCTCCGGTCTGGGGGTTCTTGTAGCCGACTGCGATACACTCGTCAGTACATGGGTCCATCTTGTAGCTCGAATTGGCTTCCTTTGATTTTTTTTCTTTTCTAGATTGTGCGACTCACCGGCAACCTTGATCGTCTCCATATCGTCAAGCACGTCAAGTTTTGTGAGGTTCCTAAGACGATTCGTTAACACTCGCCATCCCTCGCTCTTGGCGAGACAGGCTGAACAGTTGAGAGGCTTTTGGAGGTTACATACAGCGCCGTGTAGTGGTTGAGCATGTGGGAGTACTTGATCTGAACAAGATCAAGCCAGCCGCATCGTCGTCGTCGCCCCGTGCTTACACCCCATTCACGTCCGACCTCCTGGAGGTGCGTGCCGACAGCGCCAGTATCCTCTGTCGCAAAGGGACCGGCGCCAACCCTGGTAGTGTACGCCTTGACTGTGCCAATGACGTCTCCAAGCTTGCGAGGGTTGAGTCCGAGACCGACAATAATTCCTCCCAAGCCTGTGTTAAAAAAGAAATTGTGTGATCAGCTAGGCTGTGGACAAACTTCCCAGACCCGGGAAAGCCTTTAGATTTCGAGATGAACGGTGCCTACCAGTATTCGAGGACGTGACATAGGGGTCTGTTCAATACCCAGGAGTTAGCAAACAATAAGACACGAATAGGCCAGGCCCCACTTGGGGGGACAGGAAGGGGCTCGCTCACAAGTTCCGTAGTTGACATCAAGCATGATGGCCTGCGAGCCCTCGATGAGTATCCGAGCGCCGCGCTGCTGAGCGTCGTTCATGAACGTCACGGCGTCAATGACGTAGTTGGCCAGCCTCTCACGGTAACCCTTGAAGCGCTCGATCTCGTCTTCGACATCGTACACAAGCTTGTCGCCGAATCGCTTCTTGTATGCGTCGGCAAGTTTGCGCAAGCGGTGTTCGAAGACATCCGGCCGGAACATCTCACTCATGGTGATGCCACTCCTGGTAGCCATCGAGGCATAACACGGGCCAATGCCTCGCTTCGTCGTTCCGATGGATTCGGATCCGAGTTCAAGCTCCTCGGCGGCATCGACGGCGCAGTGGAGATCGAAATCGATGTGGCAACGGTCCGAGATGAAGATTCGCGAGTGGACGTTCTGAAGGCCCTTCTTCTCAACCGTCTCGAGCTCGGAGAAAAAGGTGGGCACGTGGACGACAACGCCGGATCCGATGAGGTTCAGGCAGTTCGGGTTCATGAGACCGGAGGGCAGGAGGTGGAAGTCGTAGCTGACGCCGTTGGCGACAATGGAATGTCCCGCATTATGGCCGCCCTAAGAAGCCCAGAATAAGTCAGCTATTTCCAGTAGCATTCGTTGTCATCCCGAAGCAAGGCTATAAGCGCCTCGTAGAGGGGAGGGCTTAGGGGTTAGGAAGCGCGATCGATACCCCCTCGTCACGCGCTCCGGTATATCATTGGTCCCAGCTTCAAGAGGCAGATATGGGCGACTCAGCTGTGATACGCACTTGAGCTCTAGCGCAGATCTGCGCCGTGCCAGACAAGATATCGACCAGCTTTCCCTTTCCTACAGAGGTGTGTGAGTTGCGCATTCGCCGGCCGAGCCGAACTAGGATCAATTGTGTATGAACGGACCTTCGTCTCCTATAGACCATGTCAAATCGCAGTTAGCTAAATCATGCTTCTTATAGTGCGTGACCCAAGTGTTTTGGGATGTTCCTCATAAATAGCCATCTCCCAGATCTCCACAAAGTCGCTGTCGCGACACTGGGGTGGAGGGGCAGGGGACGAGGGGTCATCGGGGTTTGAGTGAGAAGGGGAAAAAAAAATTACTTACCCCACGCCGCACCCAAGACAACATCAATTGAACCCATCTTCTCTGTCGGCAAGCAAATGTACGTAGAATTGGCGGTTCTGTGTCCGGAGGACAGTTGGTTTTTAAGAAAATAAGACAGATATCTGCCTTTACGCGGACTTTTTCTACCCTTAAGAGATTGAGGGTACGGTTTCGGCTTGAGGGGTTTGTTCCTCGTTTTGGCGGGGTTCGGTAATGGTGTGCGATTTTGGATGGTGGGACAGGAGTGAATATAGAACGACGGAAATAGCGCCGATGCAGAGTCCGACTGTCCTGTACGCTGTCTGCAAGTACGAAGTAGTCTCCGCGAGAAGATCTTGATGGCAAAAGAGAGAAGGGAATCTTGACGCTGAGTGAATGGAAACTGCTCTAGGGAACGAGGAGAGTCCAACGCTAAATAGGGTATATAAATGACACGGGTCCTCCAGGGTTTGCTCCAAGTTTGCTCTCAAGACATCTGAAGGTCTGATTCTCCCACACTTGTGAAGTACTCAGGCGATCGGTTGCCGATTGCAAAGGAGCCAACGCCAAATGAAAATTTCTGGTATGGGCTAGTGCCAAGCAAATCTGTGACTCCCGAGGTATTGATACAACTCGGCCATTATCCGGCCCCAGGGGAGGAAGGTAGAGATACATTAAAATCGTTGCAAAACATCTGAAAATAGCTCTGTTGTCACGTTTGCATTTTCTTCATCTCTCTGCCCCTGATTTCCCTGTGAAGACGGAGAACGGCGTCGCCCATCCGACAGGAGAATGCCTCGGGTTGTCCTAGGAAGCGATTCTTCAAGCCTTAGGACGGGGAAACGAGAGCAATGAGGAACTGGCGGTGTCCAGACATCGCCCAATGATGTAGGTGTAAGCAAGCTGATGAATGGCGACTCAGTAGGCGAGGATTATCAATTCAGTCCGAAGGGTCTTCCCGGATACGAGGCATCTTAGCCGGAGAAGTAAAGGACGCCGGCAGGGACTTCTCCTACCAATTCCCGTAATAAAAGTGAGCCTTTCTTTGCTAGCCAGGCGAGTGCATAATCGAGCGCAAACATCGCCACTCGTTGGATACTGTCGCCCAGATGGTCGGCAGCCCGCGTGACAGGACGACTCTGGCCTTGTCTAGGCTTTAGGCCTTGGTGAAAGATGCGTATTAATACGCCATCTCACTAGTATTGTCGAGGAAATTCCCCCGTGAAAACTTTCGAATGACTCAAAGAGTAGGGGGAAAGCACCAAGCCGCTTCAGACATGTCCCACCTCTCAAGTGGTCAGGAGAGGGCCTATATCGGCGGCGGTGGTATTGGTGGCGCTTTTCTTATCTGCGAGGCTGCGCTGCTTCTTCCAGAAATTCTCCGCACCAGGGAAAAGACTGCATGCTGTATCAGCAGCAGGCGCCTGACAACATGAAGTATAAGACCGCCTCTATCATAAAAAGGCGGAGCCATTTGGGATCTCCTTGTGGGCGAGGTAGAGATTGCTCACCACAAAGGTAGAGATCGTTGAAGCATTGCGCGGAATGGATTGAAGTTGGCTCGACTTGTTTGTATCTCGGAGATATTGGCACTGGTTTATCACCGCTTTCGGCTTTTGGCAGGCAGGGGTCGCAGTAACTTCAAGGAACTTTCTAACTTAGTCACCACATCTCTCTGAAGTACACTCAAATAGCTGCCTCGACCAGTCAATACAATTGGAGAGTGAGGAGCAGAGCTCCGCGCAAGTAGACAGCACAGGCATCATCATGATCCATTAATTGAACGGATCAAACTCTGGTGGCATTGGAATCGAATATTACTGGGAGGAGAACCCCAAGTGTAAGAAGTAAGCTTCAATGTTACAGTTCCAAGTTACCTGGGGAATATGATTTAGCCTCAAGCCAGCCAATAGACGGTGCCGATGCTCCCACTACGGCGTGTCCCACCTGACCTGCCCAATCCGAGGTGAGGAGACGCCCCCCCAAATCAACCCCATGACGTGCTGCCTGTGCTCGGTTGCATTGCCTCGTCCAGCCATCATTCAATCCCTCAACCTCCTCAACCATTCTCCAAACAGGACACCAACCGAACAAGAGTATCGCTGCTCGGGAGCATCTCTTCTGTGGTCGTCTGCAGTGCTCAACATCGATAACTCATCGTCTTCTTGCTTTTATTCCTCATCTCTGTACGATAGATTCCTCCGACCGATACCCTCAACAATGAAGTTCTCCGCCGTCATCGCCGTCTTATCGGCGACCTTAGCGCCTGCCACCGCCTTCTTCTCCTCCCCCAGCAAGATCCGCGGCGACGACACCAGTGTCCCCGGAAATTCTCCCTTAGAATACTGTGACCCTGAGCACGACAATGATGTCCTCACGATCAAGAGCGTTGACCTCGTCCCGAACCCTCCTCTAGCGTAAGCTCACTTTCCCCATCGCCCCTTCTCCCAAGAAACCAACGGGGCTGAAGATCGATCTAACATACCCCATTTCTGCCAGCGGCGAGGAGCTCGTCATAAAAGCGGTCGGACACGCCTCCAAGGATATCGAGGAGGGTGCCTACGTTCTTCTCACCGTCAAGTACGGCCTCATCAAGCTCATCAGCACGACTGCCGATCTGTGCGAGCAAATCAAGAACGTGGATCTGGAGTGCCCTATCAAGGAGGGTCAACTCTCTATTACCAAGTCTGTCGATCTTCCTGCTGAGATTCCTCCTGTAAGTTCCCCTGAAGATTGAACTCGTCTCTCAAAATGCTGGGTGAGATTGCCCTTGATATCTGGATTGAAACTGACACTTAGTTATTCTAGGGCAAATATACCGTCCTTGCCGACGTCTACACGAAAGATGACGAGCCCATTACATGCTTGCAGGCTACCGTCGTCTTCGCGAGAGGAGAACGCTTCCTCAACTTTGAGCTATAAGATTGTGAGAATGGCGCCTGTGATATCTGCATCCGGGGTGTACACTGGGACCGTTTGATATGGGAAAGAGAAAACTGGATATACATGGATGGATACAGGCCCGTAATGGACCGTCGACCCGAGTCTGACACGCTCTCATATCGTTGTTTTATGCCCCTCCCTAACCGTCTCAGCTGTCCATGTATTCGCTTCCACTATTGGGATTTTAACCAGTTGGGTCTTGTTTTGCTGGAGTATCCAAATTTGTTTTCGTCTTTAGGGATTCATTGTTTCAGTGTTTCATTGTTTCATTGTTGATTAAAGCATACGGTAAACCCTCGCATTAACTCCAAATAAGAACATATCTTTGATATGACTTGAATCTAAGTTGCCCAGAACCCTTCAGCCCCATTCGAAAGCAAAAAAAAGAAGAAAACCATGAAGTCATAACTCGGCGCTATCCCGCTCACGACCTCACAAGTACGACACCCATGCGGTGATGTGACATTGCCCAAGAGAAATCAATCACTTCCTTTCTGCGGTCATCAACGACTGAACTCGCGCCATAATGCTATCCTTCGCCGGGTCGTAGGGATGGTCTTTGCTAGGAATCTCGATGATGGTAGGGAACGCCGCCTTGTGCTCCTCGATCTGGTGCCGTATCCGGTTCGCAATCTAGGTGCAGAAGTAAGTGTTTGCTCCAAACACATGTCAGGCGCCGAGATGGGCACCTATCCTCCCTCGCGTCCTTCCTCAAGTGTAGAAAGAACCTGGGCTATGGAGAGTCGGGGGACGAACATGTTGGTTGATGAGGACGATGCCAATGTCGTTTCTCGTCTTCGTGAAGTCCTCAAATGTATCCTCGATCTTTTTCGTCTCGGTCTTCGCGTCGACGACAAGGAAGTTCCTCTTTTGCGTTGGGCCTGCGGTTACGTGCTATATTTTCTTTTGCATCAGTACCAGGAATATACATCTTCGGGAATAGAACGGATCATGGGTAGGTTTAGGAAGGGAGGAGGGGGAACTATTACACCTATACCGGCGAGTAGGAGACCTGTTACGGAGTCCTAGTAGCTGTTAGCACGAAACTCAAGTGAGAAGCGCGACCGAACCGCTATGCACCCGTCTGAGAGGGTTCCAATATGAAGACGTCGATGCGGATAACATGCCTCGTCACCAATAACGGCGATGAACTGGCGGTCTTTGAAGTCTACGAGAGTAGACGTCATTGTAGCGAAGGAAAGTCTGGAGCGTGATTACTGCCGTTTGAGGAAGTCGAAAGCGGTCAGATATCGGAGAGTCGAGGTGTTGGAGAGCTCTAAAACAAGGTCTTGATTGAATGGTGAACCCCGCGATGAGCCGCTTCCTGAGGACCTGAGGTCAATGACGAGCTGCCTAGTCGCGCTATTAGCTAATCATGCACCCACTGACAGCCCCGTGCCAGCTGTACAATGCAGTGTACTGGAACAATAATAGCACCAGCCCCAAGCCGCAATCTTAACAATTTGTCCGCGCAGGTGGTCATAGCTTCATCTCCAGGTCACGGTCTCAAATGTTTACTTGAACCGCAAACCAAATAATCTGCTCGCAACGCACGCCGGCGACCAGAGAAATTTCCTGAGGGATCCCGACCTCCACAACAGACGAAAAAGACAAACTCCGTTACTGGAGAGGTCTTGCCCGTCTCTTCCGCCATCCACCACCCTCTCATCTGGCCAGGAATTAAGCTCTTTTTGTCAGGGTCTCGAAAATCAGGCATTCTCGTTGCCCCTCCGTCCCTGCGTGAACCCTCCCCCCTTCTCAAACGCGTCTTCTCACCGGCGCAAAATTCTTTGAGATCCGGTTGTTGCCGCTCGTTTGGAGACCCTCTCCGCCGTATTTTATTGGCGTTCGACGACAAACTTCAATTATCCTACGCCATGCCTCCTGCGCGAAGACTTGTACGAAGGCGGCCGCTGGCTGAGCGGATCAAGGCGATGCTGAATCCTATGGACTTTTTGCTGTGGCTGTCTGAGGAGATTGAGACGCGGGAGTGGGATTCCAAGGCTACGGGAACGCGGGCTGGTATTTTTATGAGCTTCGCCTTCCTGCTGGCTCGTGCAAACACGGGGAGTGGAAGCCAGGATGTGGATGATGTGTTTGGTGACGATACCAGCATCGGATGGATACCGTATATCGTACGTTGAACCCTCTCCCGAGCCGCAGCTAGTTTGGGTATATTCCCCTCTTTACTGCATTCAAAACTAATATATTGGCTCTCTGTGTGCAGGCATATCCTACAGTCTGGATACTCCTCGTTGCCTCACTGGCCAACGCTTACTACACAATCACACGGGTACGCAACTATAGACTCTTCGAGGTCAACATTGAGAAGGCTCCGCAGACACCATCAGCTAGGAGGGTAAAGGTGCAGTCTGAGTCCGCCTCGTCCTCACCCCTACGATTTCTGACCGACGTCATCGCAAACGAAACTGCGGAGTCACGCGCGCATGCGGACAAGTCCAACGATGTGTGGGAGATATCCGTGTGGGACCCTCTTCCCCTCTGTATGCAAATCTTCTGCCTGTTCAGCCCTGGCCATGTACTCGTGTACCTGCTTTTCGTTCCCATTGCGCCCCTGGATCCGCGACCCAGCGTAACAGTCTTCAACTGCATCCTCCTACAGGTCATACTTTCGGGACAGCTCCTGTTCATGCAGTCCCGCTTCACGCAACAAGGCAAGGACATGTCCATCATCCACCGGGAGGTGCTGCACGAGTATGACACCAAGTTCGTGCATCCTCGTCTTCACCCCGTGGTGCGGGATGTGTCTACTCAGGTTGATACGGTGACCGAGCCAAGTAAGACGGACCCCAACTTGTTTTCGCAGAGCGTCTCGCTCTTCTCGGAGGCCGGAACACCGACGACCGTGATCAAGAGGGAATTCCAGACCCACCCGAACCCAAATTACACAAAGCATATTAACCCGGATAGCAACGCGTATCCCAACGTGCTCAGCCCACGGCTCTTCTCCCCCGCCGCAACACCTCTATTGAATAAGACCGAGGCTTACAAATCAGCACAACGTGACATCCGGTCACCCGCGCATCGTCAAAGCCTCCCAGCGGCGATGATGACGCCGAGAGTCGCGAGCCCAGCGCCGCCGACAACTGTTGGATCTACGGTCGGCGGGAGCAGCGTTATGGGAACCCCTGTGGGGGTCTCTACGGGAACATCTACGGGAACGAACTTTGGGGGGAACTTGGGAGTCTACTCGCACGCGAAGTCGCCCCTCAAGAAGGCCATTAGTATGGGTGACATGAAGGCATCCTCGCCGCGGAACTCTCGGGAGATGGCTGCGCTAGAACAGCGTGGGTGGAACCGAGACTCGAGCCCGCTGCAGGGAGGAGGCGAAAGGGGATTCGCGGGTTCGAGTCTCGCGACGGGCGGTGGAAGCAACGGAAGCACTAGTGGCAATGCGCCGCGATCCTCGTTCGCCAATGCGAGGCTGGGAAGGGGATACACTACTGACAGATACCCATCACGATGGGCGTGAGGATCGCAGGGGAAAAGGGGGAAAGCCACCCGCCCTTACGTCCTTCCTTGTTTCGACTAGGTCCTTTTTTTCATTGTTTCACGTCTTTTAGAATATACGGAAGTGGTAGGAACGTGAATTTCGGTCGCCCTTCTGGACGGGCCAAGGACGACTCGGTCTCCTGATGTATTACTCCTCATCACTGGCCACTCCGCGGACCTTTCCTTTTCATCTGTCAATTGCATTGGTGATTCGGCGTGGCATTCTTCCTCGTTTTCTAGTCTATGGTTTCTGTATTTCCCTCTTCCCCTACCCCCCCCCCCCCCCCCTTTTCCCCCCTTCTTTTTCATATCTTTTTTCTTCGTTTCTTTTTTTTTTTCCTGTTGAGAGTTTCTTTCGGGGGTTTCTGGCGTTTATCTAAAAGAGGATTAAGGAGCGAGCAGGGAGGGTAGAATAAGTATCTGTTTAATACGAGATTTCTCTGCGACCATATTCATTGACCCTTGGTAAGAATGACAAAGAGCAAAAAAAAGTAAGGGATGGTTCGAAGCTCTCAAACTCGTGTTAGGCGGAGCTCGCCTGACAGTGGACTCATCGACGGGCGCTTCGTGGCATTTCTCCGAAGGTGGGGGACCTGTTTTACACTACCGTTTCCGCCCAGCCTCGCTGTCCTTGCTGTCTATTCGCCCGTCGTTTTAAACTACTATGCCGCCTTCTGTTTTGAGACGCATCCTTCTGCGCAGCTATGATGTGATGGCAGGCTGAAGTAGATGGATGGCTATGGACGTCAGACCGCCAGTTTGAGTCCAGTAGGGGCCATGTGACGACGACAGGCGAAATTCTTCAACTTCATTGGAAACCCTTTGGTCGGATCACCTCACACACAAGTTTTCGTGTTCTGCTAGGGCTGACCGGGATTACAATTTTATTCTTGAAGTATTGGATGGTCGTCGGGATTGATAAAAATAAGGTAATACTATGTGTCAGGTGCGGTTTTCTTTGGGTCTTGGGGAACTGGCGGAGCCGCAGCCTCAGCTTGACAGGACATCTCGGAGGCCGAATAAAATGTGGGCGTTGGTTGTTGACCAAGGCAAAGAAGCGGCCTTTCCTTTCAGTGCGTCCGTCCTTGGTTCCACAAGTAGGGGCCAGGCCAACTTCGAGATGGCTCAGAGATCATCAAGGCAGAAGAGGCGTTGGCGTATCACGATGGGACAGCATACCTTGTTTTCTCGTTGCTTGCTCCCTCTTCGCTTTGCTCGATCAAGAATTATTTGCCACTCAGACCCATGAAACGCCATGCTGGCTCACCAAAACTAGATTAAGGACCGATGTCCGGACCGACCGAGTGCGTCACTAACCTTGGCGTGGAAATTCGAGAATAAAAAAGAGTAAAAAAAAGTCTCGCCAGCTAAGTCCGAAATAGAAAAAATCCGAATAGATGCCGAAGACGGACGGACCGGGAAGCTGGGGTTACAGGGTGCCAGGGAGTAATGAACATGAACTAGTTTTCAGACACGGGAAGAGGAAAAAGGGAAACAAACATCTGCACCCTTGAGAAATTCCGAAATTTGGTCCAGAGGACGCAGGATGAGAAAGACACGAATCAGCGACGAGGGGCGGTGATGGCCGAACGACCTGGTTGGTGCTTCCTGATCCTTCCTGTTGTCAACTTGAAGAATTTTTTTTTCTTTCCGTGGGAGAAAGGAGAAAAATTTTTTTTTCCTTATTCTCACTTCGTCCTACCTTCAGCTCGAGACGGCATGCTTATGTTGGTGGAGTGCTGTTAAATCGACGGAGCAAGGTCATGGAGATGCGCGGGTGGACGTGCTCTGGATCGATGTAACACATCTCCATGCTCTGGGAGGGCATGTCTCATCGAATGAGATCGCATCTACCCCCAAGACGGCGTGGCTGCCAACTTCAGCCCACGTTCTGACCTGCTCTTTCAAGGATGGTTCGACGAGGATGAAAAAACGCCTTTTTCTTCCCAGCCCAGTCCCCGACTCCTGGGTCACCTCGACTGCAGGCGGGAAAAAATTAGCGCCGACAGGGCCTGCACAATGACGAAAGACTTGGACTGGGTTTTCCGAACATTCTGCACCAGCCAGGAGGGCGGATGCTGTGTCTGCGCCTGCCTCTTGGCTGTGAGTCCTACTGCAGGCCGCTCCCCCCTGGTCTGGCCAAGCCTCTCAAGCTCGAAACGACCACTTTCGTCTTCTCTCGCAGCGTGCAGGAACGATCTAAACTACACCTGGTTAAACTCCCTCGTAGTCGAACTTCCATTTTCAATAGTCTAGAGCATGGAAGACTTCCAAGTTTCCATGAAAAGGAGCCAAGCGGCTGGATATCTTTTTTTGCCCCTCCCCCTTGTGTCACCATGATGATCCTTGCTGGATGATGCGTGTAGGACATATCCAGCTTGCTTTTTTTTTTATAACGAGTCACCTGTTGAATCGGTGTTTCTGGCTTGATGGTTGCGCCAACTAAGCTTCTCGTCATTGGGCATCCGGAGACTTGGTTCCAGTCAAGTGGGATCCCCTCGCCTTTCCTTGGGATTGGATCTAGGCTCTTCTCCCAAGGCCGCGGATCACGCCGAGACCAGGCTAATTTGTGGTGTTCCCGCTGTGGCAAAGAGAACATCGGAGCGATTCTTCTTCTTCATCGCTCGTCCACGGCCCTTTTTTTGGTTCCCTTCCCCCCTTTTAATGAGGCTTCCAAGATGAGGGTTGAGGGTCATAATGATAGGCCGTGAATATCCGACGACCAGACTAACTAAGAGACCCAGGCGTAATATGCAGGGCAATTTATATCGACGGGCAAGCCATTAGATCCATCCTTATGCGTGCCGTGAGGCCGAAGAGAGAGCCACATGAGCCACCTTGGTGTTATTTCAGAAGCCGGGATGGGAATATCGAGGTAGGAGGAGTAGGTTAGCGCCACCCGAGTATGCAGCCCATGTTTGTTTTTTTTTCTTATTCGACATGCAAGATCTACTCGATCGATCTTATTCCCTTGTCGAATCTAGAACCTATTGCATGCCGATCTTTAGTTGTAGACCACTATGGAGTGCGCAGTGTGCGGTGTGCGGTGTGGAGGTACTCGTCTTCTTCTTTTTGCTTGCTTCTCGACTTTCTCCTCTTCCCTCGCTCCATTTCTTTCCCCTTTCAAACGAATTCGGCCTTTCTTTTCGTGGCGTCGGTCCACATCACATCGGTGTGCGCCGCTCCTTCGGGGCGGGCGAAGGGGAGCATGATTTCCACACATATTCACCGACGATCCTGAGGCTTTTTTTTCCTCCTCATCCTAAGCATGACAGTGTTTTTAGAAATTGGTGTCGGTCAGTAATCAACTTGATACTTTGCAAATGGGGGCCTCGTGTTTTTTTGGGGATATTTCCTCGGTAGAGTAGCATTCAAGCCCAATAATACAGATACAACGTCGATACAACATCAGAGAGGGATGGTACTTCCTTACTACGACATTGACGAAGCAATTATTTTATACCCTATAGACCTATGGACCAAAACAGTATAGTCTCCGCTTCCAAATTAATCATGTACCAGATAGCCGGGATGAGAAGAGCCTGAACAGTCTTGTTCGTAGGCTTCTAGTTGCTGGGCGCCTGTCAATCCCCGGAAATTCTCTTCTTAGAGTGATTTTTCTTTAATCTCGCTGTTCAGCCGTTGCTACTTGTACCAACCGGGATTTGAAATCATTGATATTTTATCGGCAGATGCCAAGCAGAGTCATGGTGTCATAACCAGAGAACAGTTGGAGGATTGGGATTCACCATTGATACCGCGAAGCAGAAGACACAACAATCTTCAATGGCTAAATAAGTATCGCGACATGGTCACACCAGCTGAAAAGTCGAGTTTGAGCTGGCATTTACAAAATAAATCCAAGACTCGGGTGTCGCTGCTGGCCCGGATCTGGGTTGACGTCTGCTGTGTGGCTTGGCAGCTGAGACCTATCATCTTCTCAAAAGTATCATTTTACTTGGAGATTGTGGATTGGAGGATCGGACTTAGGGCGACTTTGGACTGGGACTGAATCTCGCTGGAGGGCTTTAGCGAGAGGATCTACACTACAATTGATTTGATGTATTTTCTGTATATATTGACCCCTACTTCATGCGTACTTGATACACTCCACTGCATTGGTCCATGTGCAAGCCCACTGACGTGCATCTGAGCTCCCTTGGCTCTGGTTTCTGTATATTAATTTGTCTACGCCCATGTCCGACTCCTTCTAGCTACAACTCTGATGCATCAAATCCATACATACACCCCATGACACAGATGTTCCAGTCAGAATTCGCATCATCGAGAGTCCCAAAATTGCAAACCAGAGAAGCACCGGGAAACCTCTTGAACGTAAGGGAACGTAACAGAAAGTAAGGGAAAGTGATGAAGGGAGAAAATAAGGGGGCGAGAAGGGGCGACGTACTCATAAGGGAAGAAGAGGGGAGACTCGAATGCTTGTCTATGGAATCGATTTCCCTCGTATGAGTGTGTAATGATGTTTGGTATGCTGCCACGACACGGGCTTGATCAAGCCATAGCTGGGTCACTCATAGCGCTGTTTTCGCCATCGAATCCTTCGTGACTTAACGCATGCATATATATGCAACTATACGTTCCTACTTACAAGTGTCGGCCGCGGTTGTTGCTCCCGGTTCCCGCATGTCAAATACAAAGTATTAGTGTATTTCTTACATTCCAAATTCGGAACCATCCTCATCCTCCAAATGTTCCTTCCCTTCTTTGACGGTCCCCCCCCAATGTCCGCAAGTATCAAGTATTACGAAGTACTTCGAGTGGGAATGGAATGGGAAAGCACGGATCAGCCAAGTATACAAGTTTAGAAGTTTAGACCGACGGTCCAAGTAGACTAGGATTTATTTGATGGAGACACTTGAGGCGTCCCAGCATCTTTTAGTTCAGGCGCAAGCCAACTTAAACAGACTACAACTACCTCGATGTACTATTATCAACCTGCTGCTAGTTCACACTAATATCTCCACGCCTCCCTCCTCCTTGTCGTCCTAGTTTAGTCTGCAAAACCACGCGGAGATGCATACCACCCCATCCACGCATCCACGGTATATATAACACGGCAGGACATCATCGCATCGCATGGTAGGGCGGAACTCGACGACACTATCTTGGAACCTAGTCAAGGATCGCCTTTGATTCGATATAAAAGTATTAAGAGTGGCCCATACCCATCCCCGTGGGAGACCACAGACACCACAAGCACTACTACTTGACCCACTATCGACTTCGCCCCCTTTTTTTTCCCAACTGAACCTCAACTCGCTTCCACCTTCTACTTGGCTTCTTCTATAGGAAACCATCCTCGTGCTTATGGAGTTTCTTCCTAAGGGCCTACACCCACCCTCGGCGTCGTCATCTTGATCTTTGACACCCTCCTTCCACACACTACGTACCCTTGCCTGAACGGGGGGAACAGACGAGGGGTGGGCAATAACCTGAACCAAGCCCCAGTCCTGGATCACCTGTTCACCGTCCACTGGATTCTTCTCTCGCGTCCTTGCGCTGCAACGGCAACAGCAACAGCAACAACAACAACAACACCCCAAGCGGCACTTTGCCTCATTATTGCCAGTTGTTATGACTAACCCTCCCGCCTTCTCCCTCTCTTTCTCACCCTTCCCATCGTCTCAGACCAAAGTCGACCAATGACCACAGAGCTGACATGCTCCAGTCAGTCGTTTTAACATCTACAAGTAGTAGAGGGGGTCGATTAAAAGCAAGCGGAAGACTGGTCCCGTTCTTCCACCACGATCATCACGTCCTTGTCCAAGTCCCAGGCCCCGCCAACGTCCCCGTCCCCGAGCAGACCTATTCACGGGCCTGGTTCGCCTGCGACTCCGACGAGAAGCTGCAGACTACTCACCAAGACATAACCCAACGTCAGGACCAGGATCAACATCAGGACCAGGACCGGCAACTCCACTTTGTTCTCCAGCCAGGAGACGGTGTTGGACAAGCTATGATACCTGTTTCTCCCCATCAGGGACAGTTCCCGGGTACTCCGGGGAGTAGCAGCTCAGAAAGCTTCTCGCAAAGGGCAGCCTCCACCACGGCCAGCGGTAGAGTTGCCAGCTCGCAAAATCAACAAACGAAGAAAAGGACAAGGGCGAGTAAGCCCAAAGTGAGGACGGGCTGTATTACATGGTGAGCATCGACCATTCCCCCTTTCTCCTCTCCGTGTTGTTTCATCACTTTTCGTATATCGATTTTTTTTTTTTCCTCGTTGTGGGTTTGCTGGTCCCCGAGAATTTTTTTTTTTTTTATTCCGTCTCGATTTTCCCTCATTGCTTTACTTCAGTTTTCTTGACTTGATCGATGCAAAGCTTTCCTTTCCTTGCTTTCGTTTTGTCGTTTTGTTCTCTTTTTTTTTTTTTTTTTTTTTTTTTTTTTTTTGATGATGATTTCGAACGTCTTCCGCCGCGTCAAGAGGCCAGCGGCGATGGAGACAAGTTGATAATGTTCAACCCGTTTACTCCAGAGTTTGCAGAGTGCTAACGTTTCGCTCGCTAACCCTGTTGCAGTAAGTACGTATTGATTTGATCCTCTTCTCCCCTTCCTCCCTCTCTTCTCCGGTCCCCCTCCATCCACCTTCTTGCCTCTACCTTGTCTTGTTCAACGCGTGGCCTCTCCATTAACACTCTTACTTTTCTGGCCTCTCTCTCTCATTCCAGTCTGCCGTCATCGAGTCATGGGGAAAAAAAAACGCCACGTTCAATATAAGCTGACCAAACTTCCATCCATACAGAATCAGAAGAGTGAAATGTGGCGAAGAAAAACCCGCCTGCTTTCGATGCACGTCGACCGGACGAGTGTGCGACGGTTACGATACCGAGGCAACGGCACCCAAGAAGCAGCCGCCGCCTAATCAGCTGCTAGTCCAGCACCGGTCACGAGGTCTCCAGCCAGCTGCTGCGGTGGCGAATCCAGCCGCGGGTCCCTCATCGTCAACGAGGCCCGGCATCATAGCTGCCAGTGGACCAGCTGAGAGGACACTTGCCACTACTCCTGTCGTCACCGTTGCCGCCTCTGTCGCCTCAGCCGCATCGATATCGTCATCGTCGTCGTCGCCTCCACCAGTTGCCGGATTGCACCACCCAAACCCTGCGACACCATCTATTTTGGTACCCGGATTACCCCCACTTCAACCTCCCGGGCCGGTGTCGCTGGCAGCTGAGATCGACCTAACGGATATCGAGAGAAAGTATTTGAACGAATTTACGAGTGTGGCTGAAGAGGGACTCTCGCAGCATGTATCGAACCTTGACGAATTTTGGAAGTGGACCGTGCCTCGAATGTGCATGCAGGATCGTACTGTACGGCATGCCATAGTTGCGCTCGGCGCTGCGCTACGGATTTACCGGGATGGAGACGGTCTGCTGAGCGGTGCTGGCGCTCTAGGTGGCGGGGCGGCCTCCCAGCAATCCGAGGTCGTTATGCTGGAGCATTACGGACAGGCTATGGCCCTACTGCGGCATGCCAATCTCGATTCGCCTGGCGTTATGACTCTTGCGCTTGTCTGCTGCCTCGCATTCGTCTACATCGAAAGCCTGCGCAACAATTGGCGCGACGCCCTGAGGCATCTCCGATCAGGCCTGACGATTATCAATACGATCCCGCTCGAGACCCTCCAGGCCTTGGCCGACCCCTTGGGGTGCGCAGACCTACCGGGACCGGCCAATCCCCTCGGTAGAGAGATGGATTGCATACTGCGCGCATTTGCAACCTTGGAGAGTTCTGCATGTCTTTACACCAACGATTTCGAACCCATCATAGCTTTAAAGCTATACCACTCACGGAATCTTTCGGAAGAAATCCGATTTCCGGAGTTCACCGACATCAAAGAGGCACATCGCGCGGTGGCGCAGTTTTGCCGCGATGTTTTTGCCCTCAGCTGGATTTGGCAAAATGGCCCGTCTGGAGCCGGTGATGAACTAACAGCGCCCTTACCCGCTGCCAGACGAGACGTCCTCTGTTTTAGGGCGTCGAGGCTCGAGGATAGGTTACAGCAGTTTTACCAGGGGCCGAACTCTCCAAAGTCGTGGGGGATAGAGTACATGTCAATGTTGATGGACAAGTTGCATTTTACCTGCTGCAAGGCCCTTTGCAACTCCCTCAGCAAGGGCACTTCTCTTCCACCCGTATCCCCCGCGGCTGAGTACATCGGCTCCTCATTTGGGGATCCCTATGAGGATATTGTGAAGATTGCGGAGTCGATTAAGCAGGGCGTTTCATCTACGGCTACAGGGACGCAGCAGAGGAGACGGTTCATGATTGATCTCGGGATCATTTGTCCGTTGCATTTTGTCGCGTGCAATTGCCGCGATGAGTCCGTGCGGGAGAGAGCCCTGAACGTCTTGCAGGATTGGCCGAGGAGGGAGAATTTATGGGATGGTCCCGAGGTGGTTAGGCTCTGGAGGACCGCGGACGCAGAAAGCGCCGGCGGTGGTGGAAGAAGTGGGGCTGTGGAAGAGCTACCAAGGAGCTTGAGCACGGCTTTGGCGATTCCCGCGCTGAGAGAGAGGTTTGGTAGATTGAGCTTTAACGACAACGACGACGACGATGATGACGACGAGGAGGAGGATGAAGAGGTGGAAGAGATGATTGTGAGAAAGAAGGGACGGCGGCATACCTGATCTGCTGCTGGATTCCTTCTTACACCCAATGTAAGATAGGAGTGTTGCGCGACGTCGACGAGGTCTGACTTTGGTCCCTTCACTTTTCTTTTCTTCCTTCTTATCATCCCTTCCCCGCACGTCCACAATGCCCTCAAGCAGGTCTTGTCTGGCATGCTCCCTCGATGCAACGAAGCAAAAAGAGAGAAAAAAAAAAAGCGTTTGCTTTCTCCAACCACTCGACTTATTTTTCGGAATATATAATCGGCGATTCCCCTCAGATCTACGTCGTCCCATCGTTTCGAAGAGCGCTAACCGTTCGATGCCGATTTCATTCGACGATACGAATTTTTTCCCTTTATTTTCTTATTTTTCTTTTCCCTTTGACGATATTTTTCATGACTGATGACTTTGATGGAGATGAGGGAATTAATGGGTTACAATTGTATAGGATTGGCATCAATGATGTGCTATTACGGCCAGGAATGATTTATATCGGTGTACATTGATCACAAAAAAAGATAGAAGGCAGCATGCGGGTTTGGCCGAGGGCGAGTTGAGGCTTGCCTGAGGGATACTTTTTCTTAAGTTCTTCCTTTTTTTCCCTCCTTTTTTTCTCTTTGCTGTTTTTTCTTGTTAAAACAGGTTATCTAGATGTCACTATACCATGTAGAAATAGCCGTCGTGCATTTCAATCTAGAAATAATCTTTTCCTGTTACTCTTGCGCGGAAATTGGATCAATGCTCTTGAGTACATGCATGGCGGGGGGGAATAGACAAGTTGACATTGCCTCGGTAGAACAACCAGGCTGTCCGTTCTGAACGGACGGGCGATGAAACCCGGGTTTTCTAGCGCCGTGGGAACCATGGGTGTATCATCGCGGCTACTTGCTATTATTCAATCTGCTTGCATCTCGATATATGAGGCTGCCGAGTTCGCATGGGCAAGGCGGTGGTTATCGTGGTTCCCTCTGTGGGTCATTAATGGCATTTCGTAGGCCGGATTGGGATTGAAGTGACGAATTATATCGGGCTCATCATCACACTGTTCCAGACTCATCATATTTCTGCATTTTCCACATCTTCTCATATCCGGTTGATCATCAAGGGTCGAGGAGATTTCTGAAAATCTGGAGGAAAAGAAAAAAAAAAAAAGGAAAAAAAAAATTTTTTTTTTTCCGGACGACCTCATAAGATGTCAAGTTCTATTTAGATCCAGTTTGAACCCCTGTTCTTCACTATTAGGCCATGCCAACTGCCATGGACGAGCTCCTCACAGCGCTCCATAATGCCACCGCTGGCATCCGTGCCTCCTGCATTGCGGTCCCTGAATCCAACCTAAACGGAACCGAGCGGAAGACAAAGGATACCAACTCAGATGCAATAGCAGACTGCGGAGCAGCCATCGCCAACCTTCTCGGCCGCCTAGCCGCTCTCGTCCTTCGACTTCAGTCTCTTCCTGCCGCAGATATTCCGGGTCCTAATCCCTCCCAGGGAGATGCCGGCCTCACGCGAGGGGAGGAAGTACATTGCCTGTTTAAAAGACTTGATTATCTGTTGGAATTGGCGGATGCGAAGTTTATGGCTTTTCGCTTCGAGGTGGTGCCGGATTGTTGGAGGGAGTTGTACGTTGATGTGAGGATCTTGATGTTTCATGTTGGCGTGTTGAGATCTAGGATGCGGAGGATGTGGGATGAAGGGCGGAAAGGATGGGTTAATGGGAATGAGGAAGAGGCGAGGGTGGGCGAGGAGGTAGATGAGCTGGTGAAGATGTTGGATATGGCCCTCATCGTTGCCGGAGGCGGGCCTGGGCGCGGGAGGGAGCTGATTAATAGGCTTCTCGAGTTGCTCGAAGATGCATGGGATGCTCTGAGGGACAACTCGGATCGTCGAGACACAAAGCGATTCAAAGCTTCTCACGACGAATATGAGCAACACCACCCCACACTACGGCGGCAAGGCGAGACTACATCCTTCTCTTCCGCAGTAGCTTTCGAACCCCCTGTATCTTGTCCCATCGAGCGCACCAACGACGTCTCCATGGAAACATTCCAGAAGTACATCGATCCCTCCACAAATCCAGAGCCCGTAACTCCAATCATCTTCACAGATCTCATGAGCGACTGGCCCGCTCTCACAGACCGACCGTGGTCAAATCCGACTTACCTCCTCTCCCGGACCTTTAACGGCAGACGGTATGTGCCTATCGAAATAGGGCGGAGCTACGTCGACGAAGGCTGGACCCAAAAGATCGTACCTTTCAAAGATTTTCTAACCACGTACATCGACCCAACCCTCTCCTCCTCCTCCTCCACCACCACCAGTATCTCAAAACAAAAAGGCTACCTAGCTCAGCATGACCTCTTCGCTCAGATCCCATCCTTAAGAAACGACGTCCTCCTGCCCGATTACCTCTGGACTGATCCGCCCCTACACCCGGACCCGAAACAGAACAAGCCCAAGGTCGCCTCTCCGCAACTTAACGCCTGGTTTGGCCCGGCGGGGACGATAACGCCTCTTCATACCGATAGCATGCATAACCTCCTCTGCCAGGCCGTGGGGAGGAAATATGTGCGGTTGTATTCGCCGAGTTGCACGGAGGCGATGGTGCCGATGGGGGTCGAGGGTGGGGTGGATATGGGCAATACGAGTCGGATCGATGTTGGGGTAATGGAGGGCTGGGATGATGTTGGTGAGGATGACGTTAGTGAAGATGATGAGGATGGGCAGGGAGGTGGGCTGACGGAGGAGCAGACGGGGCGGTTCAAGGAGGCCGAGTATTGGGATTGTGTTCTAGAGCCGGGGGAGACGCTATATATACCTATTGGGTGGTGGCATTATGTTCGGAGTTTGACTGTTAGTTTTAGCGTGAGCTTCTGGTGGAATTGATATCAGCTAGAGGAGTGCCGTATTGCCTCGGACACACTGATACGAAGACTTGACAAACGGGCACGCCTATTATTGCTCTCTCCCTCATCACGAACAGAAATCGGCATATATTCAGTTCACGCACTAATATAAAATGAACCCCAACACCCCAATAGACTTAATTTGGTGTCGTATTCCCAGATCCGCCACCCCCATTCGCAGGAGGCTGCCCTCTCCTCGCCTTAGCGCTCTCCTTCAGCTGCTCCCACTTCTCCCGATACTTCCCCAGCGTCTTCTGCATCTTCTGGTTATCCTTCTCCAGCACCTCGATATGCTTCGCCGCAACACCCAACCTCTCCTCCAGCTCGGCATTCTGCTTCCTCAGCGTCTCCTCCATCGAGGACCGGCCCCCCGCGGCGGCGAGCGGCGACCCGGGACGCATGAGCCTCATGCTCTCCGCGAGGGCGAGGCTCGAATTCTGCGCGCTCGCCTCGAACGCGTGGAGGCGCTTGCTCAGCTTGTCGAGCATGTCCTTGAGACTCTTGTTTTCCATGCATAGCTCCTCGATGGCGTTGTTGAGGTCCTTCTCTGTGCGGCCCTTGCCGATGCGGCGTTTGGCGATCGGCGAGAGCGGCGCCGGGGTCTCTCGCGCGTCGACGAAGTCGTCTTCGTCGTCTATCGTGTCGGCCGTGCTGCCGTGGAGAGAAGCTTCCATGCGGCGCTTCTCTTTTTCGGCAAAGGTGAGAATGTTGGCATAGGACATCGTGTGCCCGCTGGTCGGCACTACGTAGAATGAATCGTTGGCGCCGTGTCCGTCGCGTGAAACGACTCGCAGCGCGGCCTTGGAATAGATCTTGCTCAGATCGGGCTCGGCGGTCGCTGAGTGGGATGAGTGGAGATGCTGCCTAGTCCTCTTCGGCGGGGACGTTTCGGGAGCCGGGGCCGGCTGGCTGGCCGACGGCTCTTCGGCAATGAGTGGGAGACCGGCAAAAGCAAGGGGTGCTGACAGCTTGTTGAACAGGGACCCGAAGGAGTTGTAGAAGCGTGAGTATCCGTCGTCGGTTTGCTCGGGTTGACCCTGGCCAGACTCGCGCGGCTGAGCCTCCAGTTTCTTTTGAACTTGATCTTGCGGAGACCAGACGGGTTTGGGCGGCTGGTCAAGCATGTTCTGCATCTTGGACCTTTGCCCATCTCGTCGGCGCGGCAGCGTTTCCAGATTTCCAGAGGCCGGGTCGTTGGATACACTCGGACTCAGGGGCTGCCCGCCGTATTTGACCCGTATTCCCCGCGCGGAAGCAAGATTACTCGCGATGGACGACGTAAGATCCCGGGAGGAGTGGCGGCGCTGTCCCAGGAGTGAGGGCACCTGCGGCAAGGTCTTGGCGGTCGAACGCTCCGTCCTCGAGGGATCGCTGGTGGCGGAGGCATTTTTTTGGTTGGCGGCTTGCTTCTCGTCATCGTCGGCGTCGATATCAGCTTCGGAAGGCTGGGAGGGATTCTCGGCGGGAAACTTTAGAAGCTCCGAAAGTCGACGGTGGTGCTGCTCGAGTAGCTTGAGGGTACGGAGAGCCTCGATGCATGTCGTGTTTTGCGCGGCGTTGGAAAACTCTCCGGCGGCAAGAGTATGTTGAGCGATGGCAACGGTGGTATCGGAGGCCTTTGTAGCTTTAGAAGCTGCAATGGCGTAGTCGTGCGCCTAGAGTGAGTACCGAGAGTGATTTAGCAGAGTGTGCTCGTGTTAGATTGGAAACGGGGGGGATAGGAGCTATCGGGTTACGATACCTTGGTTAGTGGAGAGGTATCCATGGTTTCATAACTACCCAAAAGGTCATGGCAAGGGATATCGGCGACCTTATCGTGAGGATGAAGGTGATAGTTGCGCTTTATATAGTGTACTTGGATGATGTGAGGTCAGAGAGGTTAAAAGTGGGGTGCGGATCTGCGCTAAGACAAAGAATGGAGGTCTGACCCGGAAAGCTCCCTGACCTCATTCGAGAGGGCAATGAGAGCATTTATTGACAGATGGAAACAGTTGTCCACTCTGACATCACATTTCCCATTCACATGCTGATGGGGATGAATCTAGTTTTAGAAGTGGTGGCCTGCATCATCACGAACTAATCAAGCAGTTCAATCCCAGCGGGCCCTTCTTGACAGGCCTTCGCCTTCGAGAATTCTTGGCACGGCAGCAGCAACGATGAAGCACTCGGTTCCATTTACCGTTTTTCCTTGACCCTGACACAAACCCCCGCCCTTGAGGTTGAACAGTCGGACACCGAGTCTCACCTTATTTCGTAGATTCGATCCCTTTTTCCCGCAATCTGTCTCTCTTTTTGTGCCACCGGATGAATGTGTCCAAGGGGTTCGTAGCGAACATGTGTGTACAAATACAGAGTAATACAGCCGTCGAACGACTCGACGGGATCACCGCTCCGATTATTTCCCCCCCGCACCTTGAAATTCCAAGCCCCTCCTCCCCCTTCCCAGCCTGGTCATGGTGAATACCAATGTTCGGGAAGGCCACTTCCCACTTCGGACTTCGTATTAATACTCCCAATTCGGAAAGCGGGTGCCGCGTCGAACGAGGCAGTTGCGAGGGGCTAAATGCGAGGATTACGAGCCTGAGGCTGCATGGAAGACTCAAATGTCACTGCCTGGTTTTGCCAAACAGAGAAATTGTTCCATCGCCGCTGGAAACGATGTGTCAGCAACTAAGTGGGTCACTGTCATGTGCGACGTTGACCGCAACAGTGACATTGGATCAAAGACCGGATCAAATTGCTGAAGGGATTCAGGAGGTTCTGTGGACACTGTCTTCAATCCTGCCACTGTCGGCCACTGCCCAGCCCCCCTCAAATGCGCCTACTCAGAACTGGGGTAGTGATTGATTGATGCCTGTGCTGTCGCCAGCCACCAGCCTAGAAGCCAGTCCAGAAGCAAGTGCCAGCCGGAAAACGAGGCCCAAGCAACTGCAACGTTTGGCGACGTCAGATTTGATCCTCAATCCTGCCTCAAACTCCTGATTCAATCCCTTCCCGCCACCCACTCCACAATCAGATTCCCGTAAACAATTCCCAGAACAAATGCGCCGACACCTCCTTCCATCAGGAACCTCCCTCGTGCTACTGTAGCCATGGCCGACGACGACGGGAATAAGGCCGCGTCATTCCATCCGAGCGCCGCAGCTGAACGCACTAGCTCGTGAGTAGATCTGTTTTCTTTGAATGAATTCCCGTCGCAGCCCGTCGCAGCCCGTCGCTTCCGGAACCAACATCCTTGAGTAACCCGAGTCTTTGTTCTCCCCTCCTCAGTGAACCGAGGTGAAGGCATGACAAGCCTTTACCTTCAGCCTTGCTTCTACCGTCTCCCCTTGCTTTTCCTATCCTCGAAAGTGTCACATTTTGTCGTCTCAATCCCTTCGGGAGCTACGAAGTAGTTACACCCCGAATTGGCGCCAAGAAATAGAGAAAAGCTATCCACTTGGTTGGCCTTAGCTGTCAACACTCTCCCCGCCTCACTTCTTCTCGACGTCATGTAAAACATCTGAATGATAAAGCACCATCATCATGTTCACAAGGCCAGTGCCCTCCTCGAACAAGTCCCATGCGTGATTGAATTCCCCATCTCTTGTGCCCCCTTTACCTGATCCTGCTCTCATCGACCCTATCCTTTCCGAGGTGCAACGCGACAAGGGGGACCCTTTTCCGCCTCCCCCCCCCATGCTAGCAGCATCCGGCTCTCCCGCCCTCCATAGCATTTTTTGAGACCTCGATTTTTGACCTCTTGGCTTCTCACTACAGGCGACGCAAATCTGCTTCGAATCCCGATTCGTATAAATCGTCTGGCTTATCACGACGGGAATCGTCCGCTCGAGCCGATCAGCAATTTTCGGATGCTTCATCGGTCGAATACACCTCCAAAACGTCTGCGCCATCAAGTGAACGTTCGGGCTCGATCGACTCCGACACTCGGAGATCTCGAACTCAACCTTCACTGCTGCCGCCCGAGCCTGTCTCGCGACGATCCACATCTCCTGCCGGCAGAATAAAGAGCATCTTCCGTTCGAAGAAGAGCAACTCTTCTAGTCTAGAGAGAAGCACGAGCCCCGAACGAACCCATTCCGCACCACCCCCTGAGGAGGAATCCCAGTCAAAGCCGGACCCTACACGAGTGCATCACGAGCTGGGTTCCTCGATAACGCAGGAGCCTGCTAAACCACTGCGAGTACACCCGAAACTCGATATCAACGCTCGTCCTCAAACGCCGCCAACCTCCGACACTTACGGCCCTACCATTGTCAACACCCCCCCAACTCCAACGGAACCCTCTCACTTCCCTTCTAGATTCTCTGGAAAACACGCTCACTCAGGCACCGGCACCGGTAGCCCGCCCCCGCGTTCAACAAGCAGCTCCTCGCCTAATGGAATGAGCTCCCACCGCCGACTTCGATCAGGAAGCGCTGGACCGAGCAAGCTTTCAAACACTACAATTGCACCTCTTACGCCCACTCCCGAGAATTCCGCCGTTCCCGGTGGACCGGCAACGCCGTCCTCTGGCTTCTTCTCTTCCGTAATATCCGCCGCTCAAACCGCCGCCAACACTTTGAGTACCAGCATCCAGAATACCACTATCGGACCCGGAACTGGCGGCAAAAGTCCAAAAAACGGCTTGCCGACACAGGACCAGCAGCAGGATTACGAACAGCAGGGTCAAGAGGACGGCGGCGTCGAGGTCAAGGCTCTCGCTCGTGAAGTGCCCGAGGCCCAAACGGAAGAAAAGAAGGAACCAGCAGTCAAAACTCTTGGCACCGGCGACTTGAGCCTGAGCCAGCTCGGGCTATCTGACCCGTCGCAAGACGCGACACCGACAGCAGCAACTCCCGGCCCCCAAGTGGAGAAAATAATGACCGAGGCGGCTCGCGCCCGCTCGGAATCCACTCCCGTGGAGCCCAGCCCGTCCTTCTCTCAGTTTCACCATGACACGTCGTCAACGGAGGATCACAGCCACACCCGGGCCCAGTCCCTGTATGACCAGCCTGGGGTACCAGATGGTAGTGAGAGGACCCCTTCAATGTACGACTTCCCTGACGATAAGTCGGGAGCGGCAACCGGCGCCCAGCGGAGCAGCAGTGTTAGGAGCGCCATCGGCCGCCGGCGCAAGCGTGGAAGCTCGACAGCGACAGGTTACACCGCCAACACGGACCGGACCGGAACGACTATAGGTGCAGCAATCGTTGCAGCGAATGCCTCTTTTGCTCACCCCCGTGCTAACTCGAGCGCCCCCAAGCTTACCGGGTTCGCCATAGCTAGCAAGAAACGCAATCGTGACTTTCACAACTTGTTCAAGAGCGTACCCGATGACGACTACCTCATTGAAGATTACAGCTGCGCCCTGCAAAGGGAAATCTTGGCCCACGGCCGCTTGTACGTGTCCGAGGGCCACCTTTGTTTTAGTAGCAACATCCTCGGTTGGGTTACCACTTTGGTTTTGAGCTTTGACGAGATAGTTTCGGTGGAGAAGAGGAGCACCGCTCTCTTGTTCAAGAATGGTCTTATGATTTCTACTCTGCACAACAAACACGTTTTTGCTAGCTTTACCAACCGAGATTCTACCTATGATCTCATCATTAAGATTTGGCAGCTTGGACATCCCAAGCTGCAGAGCACCCTGAACGGCATTCGCTTGGAAGGACCGGGTGGAGACAAGACCGAGAGGATAACCGATGATGAGCCAGGAGCGGCTGCCGACCAGGATGATCAGAGCCTCTCTGGAAGCGAGGATGAGAGCGATGAGGATATTTACGATGAGGATGACGAGAGTGCCGAGGTCGCCGATACTACACAGTTTACAGATGTTGGGACCGCCGACGCAGGTGACGGAGAGAAGGCGGTTACCACTAGGAAGACCTCTGGGGCTGTTGTGACGAACGGCAGCCCGACGGATTCTCCAAGCAAGGAGGTCACCACGAATGGTACGGCGTTGGCAGAATTCCCAGGCCCCGCAACTCATGCCCCGACGGACTGTGGTGATGCAGCAACTCACTACGACAAGGTTGTTGGAGATGAGGTCATTCCAGCGCCTCTCGGCCAAGTATTCAGCATGCTGTTTGGTGCACAGTCGGTCACCTGGATCTCCAAGTTCATCACCGAAAACCAAAAATGCACGGAGCTGCAGATGGAGGACAAGCGAGGATTAAGCAGCGACCACACTGAACGGTCGTATTCTTTCATTAAACCGCTTGCGGGGGGCATAGGTCCAAAGCAGACTAGGTGCCTTATCACCGAGAGCATTGACGCCCTGGATTGGGAGAAGGCTGTGAACCTCAGCGTCTCGACTAATAATCCAGACGTGCCGAGCGGCAACGTCTTCACTGTCAAAACGAAATATTGTCTCTCCTGGGCCGAGAGGAACCAAACTCGAGTGCAGGTTAATTGTACTATAGAGTGGACTGGGAAGAGTTGGATCAAAGGTATGGTTTGACTATTCTCTGTTCCCCATATCCTCTGATTTATGAGGGTTTGGAGCTTCGGTTTACTGACAGGTATGCTATCATAGGTCCAATCGAGAATGGTGCGAGAGATGGGCAGACGGCGTATTGCCGGGATCTCTTTGCAGCCTTGAAAGCCTCTTTGGAGACACGTCCCGGGGCCGCTGCCGCCCCTGCACCGAAGAAGAAGAGGGGTAAGAAGATGAAGGCTCAGCAAACCATCAGCCCCGTCGACGTCCAAGCCCCAAAGCCCTCGGCAAAGCGCAGCTGGGGCATCCTGGAACCGGTACGAGGCATCTTAGAACCACTCCTCGACATCGTCAAACCCATTCTCACAGGCAACATCGTCTACGGTCTGCTGGTCGGTCTCTTGGTCGCCGCGTGGTTTGGATTCGGGTTCAAGTTTAACGGGTATAATTCCCCCGGCCGTGACGTCGCTTTCGACGACAGGCTCTTGGGACCCTACGGGCACCCCGACCGGGTCGCCGCGTACGAGGAGATGTGGAGGCGCGAGGAGAGCGAGCTATGGGATTGGCTGGAAGAGAGGGTTGGTCTCGACAGGCTCGGGGCGGATAACGACAGCCCCGCGAGGAAACGGGCGGTGGAGCCGCGGACGGTCGAGGAGAAGATGAGGGAGGAGAAGATGGATGCGCGGGAGGTTGAGGAGGCGATTCGCGTTACGGAGGAGAAGCTCAAGGTTTTGAAGGATATGATGGCGAGGAAGGCTGGTGTGTAGAGGGGCACTGGCTGAGATGGGATTTCACACACAGACAGCAGACACACGCATACATGCACACGCGTGCACAGAAGACCCTTTGGTCGGAAAGAGGCGGTAGAATTACACTTACACTGAGGTGCGGAGGAGACCGATGGAGATTGGGCGCTCATTCCTTCTTTTCCTTTTTCTTCCCTGGTAGCCCAGCCATGAGTTCAAGTCGCTTTTTTCTTTTCTTTTGCGCGAGTGTCGGATTACACGGCGAGATATTGGGTTCGGATCGCATGTAAACATGATTGCTAGGGGATCACAAGCACAGCTTCGTTCATTTGTTTAGATGGGTTGTAAGAATAGAGATTGGTGTTTTCATCGTCATTTGCAATGTTGGCATACATTCACTTACATGTAGTGCTCGAGTAGTTTTCCCGTGATCGAAGACTCAGAAAGGACAGCCGGATTTCTTCCTCGTGTCCTTTTGCCTGAGAGAACCGTTCGAAGTAGTACCCGAGATGCTCGGGCAGCTCATTGGCAGCAAGCCTTCTGTAGAGAGAAGAACAGTTTCTCGGAATTCAGTCCCGGATAGGGACTGGGAAAGCTCCCCTTCCCTCCCTGGCTGCCCCTGCCAACACCGTCCTCCCCTTGTGTGAGTCGAACGACGACGACATATATCGGCCAAACGTGTCGGTCGACCGTATCACTCCCAGGCCGTGAGTTGTTCTGGCAGGAACAACCGATGTTGATTCAATCAATCTCACCGCATTTCGGATGCTCCTTCAGCATCGATATCCCACTCATGCTATAGACAACCAGAGCCAAGAGACCTGAAAAGAGCCTCAATCATACCCTTCCCCCCACCCTATGAGTAAACATAAAAGGGCCCCGGCTGCCAACTCTCTCTTGCAGGCCATCTTGCGTCGGACTTCCTGACCCCGGTCTTCTAGCCCCCCACCGCGGCACGCCCTGCTTCATCCGGGTTGTCTCGTGTCAGCGGGAAAATGGGTGACGTGCCAGATCTTGGCCCTCCGAAAAGAAGTCGGAGGGCCCCGGCGGGTTTGGGATCATGAGTTTCCCGGGTGAACGGGAGGGAGGTGAACGTTGGCTTGGGATTCCGAGAGGATCCCGGAGGGTCCCGTGTGGGAAGAGAATGGGACGGGGGAACCCATCGCGGAGATCCGGGGGATGGAAACAGCTCATTCATGTATTCCCGGTGACGAGATAGAATAATCTTTAACGTACGACGAGGATGGGTTTACCGTGAACGTATGATGAACATACAGATCGAGGAGGCAGAAACTACGGGCCCGCCGTCTTTTCATCATACGCGACTCCGTGATCGAATGCCGAACCATCTCATTAACATGATCGAATTCTCTTTTCATCACCAAACCCGTCATCATCCCATGGCAAGAGACAAAAGCACAATATTCCCACTGATAGAAACGAGGCGAAAAAAAACGGTAATATAAAGAGAGTGATTCCGTCACCCAAACTCCGACGTAGAGTTCGAGCACGCCATCGACCATGCTCGCGCAATCCCGGTCCCCCCCAACCACCACCGCCGCCGTGATCACAAATCCGAAATCCAAAACATTTTTTACCCACACCCCGGCCCGAGGCGCAGGTTACCTGCCGAGGATGATACGTTGATCGTGTTGTACGACAGCTGGCTGGTGAAGATTGTGTGTCCTAGGCAAGCTGGTATCCGAAGAAATTTGGCACCTTTTCGGAGTTGGGCGGCCTGGTAACAAGGAGGGAGAAGTAAGGAGCGAGAACGAAAGCAGAAGCGTTGTCGAGAAGTCTATAGAGTTGTAGGCGGTTTACAACAGAAGATATTGAGAGAACATTAAGGAATTGTATTCGATGTCATAGGGACTCGGACTCTACTCTCTGTCTTCCTTTCTCGCATGCTGATTCTAGGGAAAAGATAGAAAATGAATAGGACAAAAATATAGAAGAGATGAAAGAAAAACGCCTGCAATGTATATCAAAAAAAGAGATAGGCAAAGCCCCCCAAAAATCTACCCGCTTCTTTGCTTCATTCCTGATGCAATCGATTCTCATGAAATTGAAAACAAAACCAAAAGATGGCGTCCTCACGCTACCAGGCTGTAAGATCCCCAACTTCTGCCTCACCAAACGTACTTGATTTTGTCATCGTGCCCACACTGGCGGATACTGCATGGTCGCCCTCCTTGTTCATGATATCCGGTAAAGCCTCTTTCAGGAATTCGAGAATGTAGCTGTTCACTTGCTCAAACTGCAGCAGGAAGGCGTCGTGGCCTTCGGGGCTGACAATACGCTCAAGGCGAGCATCTTTGATATGTTCTGCTAGCTCCTCCTGCTCAGCAAATGTGAAAAGGCCGTCGCTTTCAATACCGAGAACCAGGGTTGGCTGTTCAATCAGGGCGAGCGCTTCTGCGACGGTAGCAGCGCGGCCCCGAGACACGTCGTGTGTATCGAGTTTCCGAGTCATGGCGATATAACAGTTTGAGTCGAATCGCTTAACAAACTTTTGGCCTTGGTACCGTAGATATGACTGCGCGGAGAAGTACGTCGACGTAGGCACGGCGTCGCCCCCGTTAAGGGACCCCTTGCTGGGTCCGTGGAACTGGGGATCCAGACATGTTGGAAGCTGCACCTCCCCGTTCCCATTGCTGTGGCCGTTTGCAGGAGGCCAAGTACCGTTAGTCCCATTAGCGTTGTTGGTGCCGTTGGTGCCGTTGGTGTGGTTCTCCGAGTCGCTCAACTTATTTTCCTCATTGCTGGGCGGGCGCGAATGGCGCGGGCGAGTTATTTTATGCCCATCGTTGTGAATCTGGAAATGTGCCTCGCACAGAGTGGAGGGCTGTGGAAGCTCCCGGATGGTCTGCCTTCTCGAGGGATCGGGAATGTTGCGCCCGAAGCGGGCCTCGAAGGAATTGCGGCTCCGATACGTGAGAAGGGCAGTCATGCGGGCAGCACCGAGGCCGGTTGAAGGGGGGTCGTCAAAGGAATAGTAGCCATCGTCGTATTTGGGGTCGGCGTAGATGCTCTGGCGCTGAGCTTCTCCCCAGCTGATGCACCAGGCACTGTGGCGACTCGATGTCGCAATGGGCACGATGCATCGAATATAGTCCTTGCCGAAGTAAGCCCATTCAAGTACAAACATACCGCCGAGCGATCCACCGATTACGGCGGCGACTTGGCGCACGCCTAGGTCGTCGAGGATGAGCTTGTGTAGGCTAGAACGAAAGACAAAGGGCACGTTGGTTAGTCTTGATTGCCGTTCCCATACGCATCGCACGAGCTGGCTTCCAACACTTACTTCACATCGTCTCGGATAGTTGTGAGAGGGAATTCGGGACCGTATCGTCCCTCTTTGGGGTCGTTATCCTTGTTGGTGACAGGACTAGCCGTCCCGTACGGGCTGCCCAGTGCGTTCAGACATACGATGAAAAACCTCGAAGCATCAAACGCCCTTCCTGGGCCTCCCAGGAGCGGACCCCACCAATCCGACACGTCAGAGCTGCCGGTTAGGGCGTGGCAGATAACCATGGCATTGTCGCGATTGGGTGATAGCTGACCCCTCGTGGTATACGCAACCGGCACATTGTATAGAGTTACACCCGATTCGAGAGTAAATGATGGGATTATGGCGATCTCTTGGTGGGGGATGAGAGACGCGAACGGATTCTCGGGTTCGGACCGTATTCTTTCTTGGAAGTATTCAGCCACTATTCCTTTCAAATAAAGACTTGCAGAGCACGCGGTATTGGCATTTAGGGGTCATGGATAATAATGTAAATGGAATGGGGCGCAGAGAACGTAAAGAGGCACTATAATCACTCGACTCGTGGCTCGTTTGGCTGTGATGGCAAACCCGTGAAGCGAATATTTGTTTTTCTTCCTCGCTCCTTCCTCGGAGTGCTACACCTGCGTCATTGGCGGTGTCTCCGGAATCGGAAAGAGGGGGAGGGGCCAAAAAATTCCTAAAACCAATGCACAGACAGGCAGAGATTATGCGGTGTAAAGTGAACGGAGGAAGGGGGGTCGCAGAAGAATGGGAGAAAAAAAAAAAAAAAAAAAAAAGTCATCGCGACTGTTAGGAGAAGTGGTACTGACTGTATCTACCAGTCCGGCCAGATGCTGGCGTACTGGTTCCCTCGGGAAGAATGAGCGAGACCATGGCGGTAGTGACGGCGATCGAGGCGCGCAATTGACTCTGGGAATGGAAAAAGAAAGGCTGAAATAGTTCCCTGTCTGGGCTCTCCCAGGAGTTGAGAGTTTGGAGGTAGGGTCAATTGAAAGAGAGCACGGGGGTGGGAACGCGGGGGAGAGGAACACTCGAAGAGAGACGTTGCCGCGCAGGCAAAGTTGAGCTAGTTGAGATACGATATCAATTGCCGAGTTGTCGATATTGATGGTATCCAGCAAAGCAAGACGAGGGAGAAAATTGAAGTTGAGGAAGGACGAGGAGATTGAACGGGGAGAAGAGATAGATAGGTACAATGGGGAGAGTGAGAAAAAAGGTTGTCGAGGATTTATATATAATTCAAAGATGATGGAGCATCGCTTGCCGAAAAGGGCCAATGGTGTATGCGATGGATGACCGTACGGGGCAGAGCAGAAAGATGGAGGTGACTGATGGAGATGGAATTGATAGAATTGATAGAATTGATAGAATTGATCAATAGAATTGGCTAGAGTCACACAATAGACTAGGGGAGCAGGATGCGACGGGACCGTCTCGGAACTTGCAGAATTATTATAGTGCAGACTTGGAGCGTTGAGTGCATGAAGCAGTGGCACTTTGGGGGGGACTAGACAGGCACACTACAGAGGACTTTTGGCTTGGGCTGTGCTGGCCTCGGTACTCTTATATTGCTGACCAAGGACAGTGGCAACTCGGAGAAAATTGGACTCCAACACTGGGCAATCCTGCTCATCGAAAACACCCAGTGCTGAGCCCGCTGAGACCACCCGTCCCGCTGCCCTAATGTTTCTCGAGCCGTTTTCTTCCCTTCCCTTGCCTCTTCCTGATTGTTCGACTGTGGGGGACCGAGTCAACGGTTCTCAGAGTCGGTCGATTAGTCCCCCACCTTTGGCTTGGTTTCCTGATCAAGCCCGATCGCTCACAAAGCAATGGAACGCCACGAACCCACTAACATCACTCGGTCACCCTGTCCTGTGTGGAGTCCTCCAGTGCCCTTTCGGCGTATGGTTGCCTTGCATGAAGACGACAGAGGACCCTAAGATGGCGCAATCCGCTAGGGCTAGGAATCTCTCAACTCCTGCACCTACCATTCGCAGATCCAAGTCCCTCTATTTCCCTCTCCTCCACGACCCGACGCATGGCAGATGTCATGTTGTCAAGTATATCTGGAGCTGAGGATGGGGGGGAAACGTGGGGAGAGTGGGAAACGAAAGTTATCGTGCGTTCCGACCGGGTTCAACGAGAGTCTCCTTCGCACGAAGTACTCGTTTCCATGGCTTACATGGAAGAGAGGAAGAGACAACATGGACAACTTGACTCGATGATTCCAGTCTACTATGGGTGGGTAGTACGAGTAAAAGTATGAGCTTATCCTTGTTAGACGGTAAACTACCACAGCGTTTCAGGTCAAGGGCAATGAAAGTAAGTTCGTAGTAAATTTTTAAAGTCATCCACACCCGCAACTCATCAACTGAAGTCTAACATCCTCAATTGGGATGAATCCTATATCCCCTTTTCTATCTTTTCTTGGAGATCTAAATAAGGATTTTATGTTCGGGCAATAGCTGTAGATTTACTACGCTTTAGTAATTTATGTATGCCTGAACGAGAAGGTGGATTCTTCGAATTAGAGATGGTGATTCATCAGTCTAAAAACCGAGCTTGGGTGTTCCTTCCTCGGCAATCTCGTGAAGAATTCGATTGGGCACGTGACGGCTGTTGACAACCGAAAATGGCCGGTGGAAAGTCTAACCTGGGGTAAAGTCGATGATACTTCAATTACGATTGAGTCTATTCAGTATTTATTGAAGAACCTTATTGAAACTTATTGAGCTGAATGTACCTAGTACTTAAGATCATTTGCCGCTCCTCATTGGTCTACGGACAAGGCTGAGGTCTCCATTCTTGACGGGGAAAATTCACTACGCCCAACTGCTCCTTCCATACAATTGTGTCCAACTCGAACGCGAGGCACGCCACGCTCCCAAGCTTTCTTTCACCGCGCCGAGCTCCATCCCCCAATCTTTCCTTTCTCTTTGTTCCCGAACACATTTTTCGATTTTATTTCATACACTCCTTTTCTTTTATTTTCAAATCACCCTATTCCATCCGCATTTTCTCGACCTCCCCCCGATTCAAACACGACTGGTCCTCTTGCCTTTATCCATTGATTACTCGTAAGCACACCTTCCCATCATCTCTTCCAACCCTCTTTCCACCTTTCCCCCGCCTATTGGTCCTAACGAAAAGACTCAAGGTGATCGAATCCTCAAGATACCCATCCATAAACCCTTGCGCAGTTTCTCATCTCGAACGCGACTTTACCGTGAAGCGCGATATCATCCAATAGTCTCATTCGCCATCCGCCCCCCATGACTTAAAATCGCCGTTCACTACCTCACGATGCCTCCGAAACGAAAGAGACCCGAGCGAGCCTCGACAGATGGCGGCAGACCCGCGCCCCACCGGCCTGGTGATACCCAGCTCGCCCAACATGACAGGACAAACGGAGGCGATGATGGTCACTCGAGACCAGGACGTGGCGGACGATCCACAAGAAGAAACGATCGTCGAGATTCTCAACAGGGAGCGCACTCGCGGAACCAGCAGCAACCTGCATCATCGCCAGCCGCTAACCGACTTCCTGGCTCAACCTCTCAAGCCCCTCCTCAACCTCCCCCTCCTCCAGCCCCGAGACAGCAGCGGGCTCCTTCCCCCGTCCTTCCTCCACCCACGCCTGTTCCCTCCAACTATTGCTACGATACCCTTACCGACGAAAGAATTTCTCAGTGGGCTGCGAGTGGCCGCCAAGAGGTCATAGCTCACGGTATTCAATCACGCAGCGATGTCGATATCACGGAGTTATCCTGTATCTTCCAGGAATTCATCCGCTCTGTCCTCGATGGCCGAATGTCGCCCACCGATGCTGGTGCGTGTATCAAAGAGATCCTGGGTCCCGAGTCGAGCGAAGTGATTAAGAACTCCTTTGCCTTCGAGCCCCATACCCTCTTCTTGGACACCCTGGCCACAGTCGTAGATAGCGACTCCCCAGACGAACTTCCGCAGCTTCGTCACTTCCTCGATGCGACAGGCGTATCTCACCAGTCTATGCGCGAGATGCTCGAGGTTCCTCTCCTCAACCAGTTGGGTCTCATTCGTGACAGTTTCGCCAAACTCGGTATCCGGCACGCCACCAATCTTCTCTACCGTCAAGCGAACTACAACCTTCTTCGCGAGGAGACTGAAGGATATTCAAAGCTTATCACCGAGCTTTTCACTACTAGTGGTTCTGGGCCTCCAACGGCAGAAATGGTTCAATCGACATTCGAGAAAGTCAAGGCCTTGATAGGAACTTTCGATCTTGACGTTGGTCGTGTGCTTGACGTTACACTCGATGTGTTTGCCGCTGTGCTCATTAAACAGTTCCGCTTCTTTATCAAATTCTTACGTGTCAGCTCGTGGTGGCCGAGGGCGCGACGATCACCTGGCTCAGTCTTCATGGGCGGCCTTCCGGCTTGGGCTCTACCCAACTCCTCTCAATGGCAAACTAGCGAAGAGGACGAGGTGGCCATGGAAGAACCGAAGAGGGAACGCGATGTTCTTTTCTGGGACAGAGCCCGCCAGGCTCATATCGACGCGTACTTCGAGCTCGGCGGCCGTCAACTCGCAGACGACGAGCAGCAATTGCTCGATATCCTGGGAGACGACGAAATCAGCACGGACATGGAACGGCTTTGGATGAAAACTACAAAGACGCTCCCTCCCCAGGGAAACAAGACTGCGGCACAGCTTCTCGGCTTCAAACTCCGTTTTTACGCCTCAGAGGCTAGAGATGAGGATGACGTCCTTCCCGCGAATCTACTCTACCTGGCGGCTCTTCTAATCAAGGTGGGCTTCGTCTCCATTACCGATCTTTACCCTCACCTATGGCCCCTTGACCAGGATATGGAGGCTGTGAGGGAGAAGAAGATGAAGGAACTGGAAGACAAGGAACGCGCGAGCCGTCCCGGTGGTGGTATGAATGCGTTGATGATGGCCGGTGCCCTCCCTGATGACACTGTCCCCGCCCCCACATCGCTGACGCGATCTCGCGATGCCATCACGAAGCCAGATGCCGAGCCCCATGCGGCCAACCACGCTGGTTCGGATGAGAAACCCAAGCTTCCAGAACCTATGGAGCAGAAGATTTCTCTCGTTTTGTGCCTACTCACTATTGGCGCACTTCCCGAAGCCCTCTTCATGCTCGGCCGCTTCCCTTGGATGATAGAGGTGTCTCCCGATGTTCTAGATCGAATTCATCGTATCCTCAACCACTCAATCAACAAAGTTTACCGGGATAGCCAGCCTGCAAGCTTTTTGGCCCGAGCAGAGTGCCCCGCTAAGGATATGGCAAATGCAGACCAAACCGGAGCTCCCAAGGGAACTGTGAAGCTCGGAAAGCTTCTTCCCCGCAAGACCCTTAGATGGCCCTTCCCCGACAAGTCTGACACGAACGACAACCAGAACTATCGGTTCTATTGGGATGAATGGTCTGATAACATTCCCGTCTGCCAGGATGTCGATGACATCTTCACACTTTGTGGCACGCTTCTGAACATTTCTGGCGTCAATATCGGCAAGGACGAGACTATCCTACCCAAACTCGCAACCATCGGCGCTAAGAGCCTCGCCGAGGACTCGTCCAAGGAGAACCGGGATCGGTGGTTGGACCTTCTCAAACGGCTTTTGGTGCCTGCTTTGAGCATGACCAAGGCTAATTCCGCAACGGTGAATGCTGTCTGGTCACTGCTCAGTACATATCCTACCCATGTCCGTTACAACATTTACGCGGAGTGGTTTGAGGGCCAGATTTCCCGGCTTCCTGCCATCAAGTCCGCTTTTGCCCGCACGAGGTTGGAGACTTTGAGCATCATGAAGCGTTTGTCGCTAACGAACCTGAGCGACATGGCCAAGTCGTTGGCGAAGACGAGCTATTCATCACCCGGCGTCGTATTCAAGGTTGCTCTCGACCAGATTGAATCGTATGCAAACTTGATCGACGCCTTCGTCGAATGCGCTAAATATTTCACCGACCTTTCCTACGACGTCCTCATCTGGTCCCTAATGAACTCCCTTGGTGGAAAGAATCGCAGTCGCACCCAAGAGACGTCTGTCCTGCTCACAAGCAAATGGCTTCAGGCCCTCTCCCGTTTTGCTGGTCGCGTCTTCCGACGCTATTCGGTCATGAATCCTACACCGGTCATCCAATATGTGGATGATCAGCTCTTCAAGGGTAACTCGACGGATTTGATCATCCTGAAAGAACTCATCTCTTCAATGGGTGGCATCGTACCTACTGTTGATTTCACTGATGGCCAGATCATGGCCTTGGCCGGCGGAGAGACTCTCCGAAGACAAACACTCATCAACGTGCAGGACAGGCGGTTCGACTCAGTGAAGAGCTCGCGGCGTCTTATTCAGGCGCTAATCGACTCTAAGCTTGCCGGGCAGCTCTTAATCAACATTGTCCAGTACCGCCAGGCCGCCATCTACAAGACTGCGGAGGATGAGGCACATATCAAGTATCTGTCTTCGATGGTCGACGACTCTCAGCAGATCCTCACTCAATACCTCGATCTCCTGCGAAGCAATCTTGATCCTGCTGTGTTCGATTCCTTCGTACCAGCCATTGACCGCCTGTTGGGAGAGTTCGGCATCGACGTCAGCCTTGCTTTTGTTATCAGTCGGCCCAGCCTCTCGTACCGTATGATGCCAAAGGAGGAGCAGCAGGCGCAAGCCCAATCATCGCAAGCTGCCGCAGAGGACGGTGATATTCCGATGACGGACGCGACGGTGTCCCAGCAACGGAATCGACAATCGACACCTCGAGATTCTGGAGAGCCCGACAACAGCAAGATGGAGGTCGACAAGAAAGACGGTTCCCAAGCCAGTCCATCGACTCAAGGAAGTGGTAGTCGCATCAGCGATCCTTTCCTCGAAGTTCTCCAGCCGGTCATTGATACCCTGGAGCAGATCAAGGAGCCAGCCTTCTGGAAGGCAATTACACCAGAATTCTACACCATGTTCTGGGCCTTGCAACTTGGCGACCTCTTCGTCCCTGAAGAGTGGTATCAAAAGGAGGAAGATCGCGCGTACACTCAGGCCAAGGAAATTATGCGTGACCGGTCTGATATGACGAGGAGCGGCATCACGAAGAAGGAAGAGAAGCACAAAGCCCTCACGGCAATTGTTGTTAAACTTGGCAAAGAGAAAGCGCGGCACAAGAAGACCTTCACCCGCAACAAGTTCCACATGATCCGAAGGTTCAAGTCCTGGTTCCCGGCTACTGACCAGGCTAAGCCCCGAGCAGTTTCCGATGCCATCTTGGAGCAATGCCTCCTCCCCCGACTCGTTCTTTCTGCCAGTGATGCTGAATATTGCCATCGGGTAATCCGGTTCCTCCACGACTTTGCCTGTCCTAACTTCAAACTGATGTCGCTTTACGATCGTCTTTTCAATGCCAACCGCTTGCGAGCGATTATTTTCACTTGCACCGTTCGAGAGGCTGAACATCTTGGTCGTTTCTTAAAGTGCGTTCTCGGAGACTTGTCCAAATGGCACAAGGACAAGGCTGCCTACGAGAAGGATGCCCTACTCGGACAGGCGGGCCAGAAGGAACGTACTCTTATCGGATTCGCAACTTCTATTGATAATGATGGCAAGCCCACGGCCTTCGTAGAGCATGCTCAATTCCGAGATATGCTCTATGGATGGCACAAGAACCTCAACATGGCTCTAAAGTCGTGCTTAGGAGGCATGGAGTGGATGCATATCCGCAACGCCATTACCGTTCTCAAGTCTGTTCTCGACTTCTTCCCCGCGGTCGACTTCATGGCGCAGCAATTTATCCGGCAACTGAAGACAATCACCGATCGCGAATCAGCGAAACCTGCCGTCGACAACGCCGAGTCCGGCAACCGTGTGGATCTCTCCGTCGCTGCGCAAACTGCGTTGTCAGAATTGCAGAAACGCAAGTCGAAATGGGTCATGGTACAAGGTTTCCGCCCGAATACGGTAAGTTTGCAATCGTCATCATTGGTAGCGAACCACGAGACATGTTCTAATATCTCCTACCAGAGTGGTGACTCTCAGCAAGAGGCCCCGTCAGCATCCAACCTTCGTCCAACAGCACCGGAGTTCAAGCCCGACAGGACAACAAAGTAAGTCAATGATAAGAACTTTCTTTCTTTCTTTCTTTTCCCTCTCACCGATCAATGTTTCTAACGAATTCCCTTAGGACCCTCGGCAAGGGACAGGAGGACGAGGACGGAGAAGTTAAGGATGGCGAGGAATCGAAGACTCAAGCTTCGAGACCGGCTCAAGCGGCGGTACCATCCAACACCCCCAAGGATACCCTTCCCGCCAAACCATCCCCTAGGCCAGCACTCAGCCAGCCTCAAATTCCCAACGCGGACAGACGCTCACCTCGACTCACAGCGGCCCAGCCACAACAGGCTCGCCAGTCACCAGCCGTTACAACAAATTCCAACAACTCGGTGGGTACCCGACATGATACCTCGAAAACGTCTTCTCTCCCGGACCGTGTCCCGCATGGTTTGCCCAGCCGACCAGACGTACCATTGCCAGGCTACTTTGCATCAGATCGCTTCGGCCAGGTGCGTCCCGATGCTCGGGAAACCCGGGACGCCAGAACAACACCCTCGAGGGACGCGCGTGAGCCTCGACATGCAAGGGACAGTCGGGACCCCCGAGAGCCACGTGAGAACAGGGAGAGGGACCAGAGAGAGACTCGCGAAGCCAGAGATGCCGCTAGGACCCCTGACCCGGCTCGCTTGGAGCGCCCTCGAGATCTGCCTGGCTCGGATCGGCGTGTATCAGATCACCCTAACTCCCGGGATGCACGAGATGGCCGTGACTCTAGGGATACCCCCCGTCCGCCCGACCAAGACCGCGTTGGAAGACCCGACTCGACCCGAAGGCCCGAGCCTAGCGATAGGGATTCACGGCAACCAGCCAGAGATCGCCAGGCCGCGCCTCCGAACGGTCGCGGGCACAACAGCCCAAGGCCGAGAGATTCGGCACCAGCTACGCCCACCCCGGCATCGTCAGGTCGTGCCGACCAATCTGGTCCGGTAATGAACCCTGAGAGAGCAGCTCTACTCCAGAGCGCAGACCGACCTCCCCGTCAGGACTCTGATCGCACAAAGGACAAGAACGCCAATGCTCGTCACCCAGATCCCGATCGCTCCGATATCCTGAACCCTGCCCGTGCAGCTTTGATCGATGGAGGAAGGCGTAACGATCGGCCACAGCAGCCTCGAGAAGACGGCCGTGATAGAGCACCCCGGGCCCATTCGCCGAGGAGACGAGATCGGCAACACGAGCAATCGACTCAGCCCGATGGCGGTCGCGACGATCGCCATGGACGCTCCCACCCTCCGCCTCCACCTCCCCCGACCTCCCAGCAGTCGACTGAGCAGCGTGGAGTTTCAAGGGACAACAGGGACACGCGAGACAACCGACCCGAACCGCCCTCAACTACTGGTGGCCGAGGCGATAAGCGAAATGACCGAGACTCCAATAGGATGCCCGACAACCGTCCTGCCCCAATCAGTCACAACGGTCCTCCGCGGTCCGTAGAGCCTGACCACGGCGGCAGATCTGCAGCATACCAAGACCAGAACTACGGACGCCTCAACCCCATCCCCTCGGTGGCGGATATCCCCTCGGGTCCAAGAGGCCGAGGCCGCGGTGCAGCTCGAGCAGTGTCCGGGCCGGTTCCAAGCGTGCCTGCCCGATCGGACGCCAGATTCCCAACCAGCGAACCTGCCAGGGGACAAACTCCTGAGAAGCACCCACCTACGGGACCATCGTCCTCGAGAAGCCGACGGGGCCAGTTCGAACCAAATAATCCACCCATGAACGCTCCCAGCCCGGCAACACCTAGCACGCTTCCTCATCAAGACCGTGCACGCCAAGGACCTCCCGGCGCGTCCCCTGCTTCGTCTTTTAGTGGCACTCCCTCCGGCCCGGCTGGAATTCATCCCGACCGGCTCTCTCAGATTGCGCCACCGCCGCCGCCGCCACCGCCGGGTGTGCCTCCCCATGGCGCCTATGGACGCCCTCCCATGCATCAAGGCGCAGGCCGTGCCGCACCCTCTGGTGGGGCTGGTTCCCGGCACGCATCAGGTAACTTTACAGGACCCAATGTGCCTGACACGAACACGCCGCCGGGACCCTCAGTCCCTGACCGTCTCAGATCGGGTGGCCGAAGGCAACTTGCCGGAATCAACAACACCCTTCAGCAAGCGCAGGCAACCATGGCCGATTCTGGCCGCTCACGACGCGGTGGACAGCGTGCCAGTCTGGCTGGCTCAGATGCTCAGGTTCTGACGGGAGCATCCCCTGTGTCTACGCCGACAAAGGAGCCAGACCAGCCATCTCGCCAAGATGCCAGCAATGACCGAGGAACTGCTAATGGAGATGGCCATGCCAGCAGGGCGGACGACAGGGGTCGTCGCGACCGCGAGAGGTCTGAGAGGTCTGGCAGATCCAGACGTAGCAGCCGTGATCGTGATCGCGACCGAGACCGGGAGCGTGACAGAGATAGGGATCGAGACCGGGATCGTGAGAGGGATCGCGATCGAGATCGTGAGCGGGAGCGCAGTCCCGAGAGAGAACGTGACAAAGATTCGCGAAGTTATCGAGACAGGCGATCGGCTCCGTCTGGAACACAGGCCCCCTCGGGTGGCAGGGATGATCGCGAATCTTCTCGACGATCCGGACGAGAGCCTTCGGGCGTTTCAGGATCGGCAAGGGACGTTCCTGCATCAGGGCCTCAGCAAGGTGGTGGTGGTGTTGGCGGGAGAGACCAGGCCAGCAGTGCTCGAGAGTCGCGGCATCGCGGCGAGCCTGCCCCGTCCGGCAGGAATGAGGAATGGAACGGCGGAGGTCGAGGTGGTGGACATAGGGATGCTGGTGGAAGAGATTCGAGCTCCCGAGCGCGAGACGATCGTCGCGAGCCGAGGGAGGAACGGGGACGGAAGAGACGAAGCGAGGAGGGAGCCGCGCCGATCCCTAACGAGCGGGAAAAGCGACAAAGGCGATAGAAGCTGCCGCGTCCACCGTCGGGGGGGAGAGCATTTCGACAGAACTACGGTTTCTACTTCATTTGAGTGACATGAAAAGGCAGGAGGAAAGACGGAAAAGAAAAAAAGGAGAAGAGTCGCACACGAAGTTCGAATGAAACGGAAGGGATTGCCTTGCTACAGAATGAAAGGGAGGGATGTGGAAGTGCAATAGTTTTCTTTGGGAACCGTATTTCCCGCGGTTCTTGTTTTACTATCCTTATCAGAACAATCCTTTCTTTTTCTACAACTTGAGACCCGCCTCTTATTTGCATCGACTCGTTTTTACGACTTTCGAAACTGGCGATCGGATATCGATCAGTTCCACAGAGAGAAGTGGACAAGCGAGCAGCTTCGAGCAGCTCCGAGCACTTCTCCCAGTCTTTCAGTGACTCGTGCCGACCAGGCGTGTACAACAATTGCCGAGAAGGAAGAGAGCATGAGTCGGCATGGAAAGCGAACAAAAAGAGACAAAAACACAAAAAAAGAAAGTTTTTTGCTTCAAAATATCATTACACTTGCAACTCGACCATTCGCGAGGACACCATAATACCCGGTCGAGGCCGTTTCGGCGTTCACATTGTATCATTAAACCATTTTTGAAACCGGCCGTACCAACACAGTTTATCACGCTTCACGCGAAATCCATAAAAAAAAAGTCTTGTTTTTCGGTTCTTCGTATTCACGATTCCTAGGGGTTTCTAGGCTTAGAGGGGAGTTTGGCTCTGAAGGAAAAGGACAAAATCACACAGAGAAGATGGTCTGGCATCTCTGTACATTACATGGCTCATCTGTTTCTTCATATGGCATGGCGTTTTGCTTTCTTTGCGCGTAGCGAAAATGAGATGACCTGCGTTCATCTAATGGAAAATGAGTTTTTTTTTTTTTCCCCCTCTCGCCTTAGCTATTTGAGCGAGTTGAAGTTATCGTGACATGCTCAACGTCTTTAGACGGCTAATTATACTTAGGTGTGAATATCTTATCTTTAACATTGATGCTACCCATCATGATATCGGGGGTGCCGGTTGGTATCTTAAGAAATATACGTACATACACTCGTAACGCCGTGACATGCTGCTGATCAGATACGCAAAAGGAAAACAAAAATGGGTGGCCAACAACTCCACAGAATACATGTATATCCGCCCTTCCAGGGGCCACAACCAACCAAGCTACGGCGGACTGGAAACCGCCCCGCACAGAAAGGAAAAGAAAGGCGTCTTTTTATGATAAGAAGAAACAAGGATGAATTAGAACGCTGAGCCGTAGCCTCGCGGCGGCTGTGGTTGACTTCTAGGTTCGATAGGTTCCCAAACGTTGCCTTGTGGCCCCCCGGCAGGTAGCCTAGCGTTGGGGCTATAGTATGGGGAGGGAGAAGGGAGTGGAGATGGGTTCATGTCGTGGTATGGAGAAGGCGAGTAACCTCCGTCTCGATACGGGGACGGCGGGACCATGGGAGAGGCCATGTTGCGGGTGGGTTGGCGCGCGCTCATCGGATTAGGTTGGGCGTGCGAAATGAGACCCGCGTGTTCGTCCTCGTTCACGGACGTGGGCTCTCCGTCCATGGGGGGAAGGCCAAGTTTGCTGCGGCGGAACTGGTCGGCGATGGGTAGATGTTCGGTGCTGCGGGCGGGTCGAAGGCGGCTCTTGGGGACAGAGAGGTTCTCCAGGTTGAGCGAACTCATAGTTCTAGTATTATAGCTCGGGTCTTTCTTCCTGTGCCTCACACCGCAGAAGAGCCAGCGCATGCCGCGACCGAAAGCCTTGACGTAGTCCCAAAGATTAGCCGCATGGCAAAAGGCCCAGATGCCAAGAGGCCCTCCCGAAGGCTGCGAGTGCGCATTCTCTCTAGCAGGTAGGAGCCCGGATTTGCGCGTATCGGGGTGGGGATAGTAAGTCGTCTTCGCGCCTGGAACATAAGGCGCGTAGGGGAAAGCCCAGAAATGAAGGATGGCGAAGATGACCATCTCAACACACAGGAGCATCGCGGGGATCGAGACCTTGATATCGGGGTAGGCGATGATAGAATTGGGCTCGAAAATCTTGTACTTCTCACTCGTCGCGATAGAAATACAAGTCACTTGCCAAAAGGCAAAGAAGACCACGAGCTTGATAGCTAGAACTTTGAGGAAGGGCCTGTGGTCCTTGAGGGGCTCCTTCATCTGAACATAGAATTGGATAACGCAGTACATTGCAATAAAGACAGCAATGCAATTGATGGCGAGGACCTAGGACGTCGCAAGTATCAGCGCTGTTCTCACCAACTACCCCGACCCAGAAAAGAAGGGTACGGACGCGTCCAACTTACCCAAATATGCGCAAAAGCCGGACTGTTGGAGCTTTCACAATACCGATCGAAATACTGAGTCACCACGGCAGTGATAGTCATGGCAACGCGTATCACGCAGTAGTGGTAAATTCCAATCCAGTTGATGTTGAACCACGTCAGGCCGCTCTTCGGCGTCCTCCACGGACCGCGCTGGCCACCGCAACACGCAGCAAACCAGTTGACGGGCCACACCCACCTCTTGATCGGATACATGTCGCGGAAGTAGTCTTTTTGTTCGTGAAGATCCGGGCCGATGTAACTACACATGAGGGCGAAGAAGGACGCGATGGCGAAGGCTTCGTAACAGTCGGATATGACTTGGAAATATACGGCATGATAGTAGTAGTAGACCTGAAGGAAGCATGATACCGAATAAACCGGGACCATGAACAAGATTCGGATTACGCTGGAAGCTAGCGGTTAGCAGCGATTGCATGAGGGCAGAGCGAGCCGGATGAGATGCGTACTGTCTTTGCTCATTAGGTTTTGTGTAATTGATGGCGTGCATAAACGCCAGATATAGGCTGAGAAAAATGGCAATGATGGCACATCCTCCACTGATAATAAGAGCGAGGTCATGGAACGTCAACGGCCCAACAATTAAGTCCTCCGTACCGGGCTCAACTAGAATGAACCAAGTCAGCAATGCGATGTCCAGATATCCCGGGGCATACTCGGCAGACCGAATGGTGAAGAACTCACTTCTGAGCTTTTCCAGAGTCGAATTACACGTCGTCGAGATTGAGATCATTTTGGCGAACTCTACACCAGACCGTCCTCCTCTCACGAGGTATAGGTGTTACCATGCGGCGTGCGCCGGTTGCGCTTGCGCTCACGATACGATACCGACCGGGGGGGGATTTCACAGCTGGGAACCGGCGGCGATCGTGTTTCGAGGGTGTCGGCGTTGGTCGCTTTCGCTTTCGCTGTCGCTTTCGCCCAGAAACCAACTGCACTAGTGTATAAGACGGCGCGATGCTGGGAAAGGTGTTGATGTCAAGTCGAAGATTATTGAAAAGAAAGAAAAGAAATCCCCTTGGGAAGATGCCACCTTCACTTATTATCCCTTCCGTCACAGCCTGATCCAGTGTAAAGTTAGGCTCGGAGGCGAATTGTTCCAGGCAAAGGGCGACTTGAGCGGCGGCTCGAAACAGGATCGACGAGTCGTGATTCTTCGGCGACGGCCCCGACACTCACTGGGGGGTTAAAATCTCCGATGAACAAGACAACAGGGAGACGACGAAACGACAGCAATCAAAAAGCAGTCAAAAACAAAGGGAAAGAATGGAGGGGTAAGTACGAAGTAAGTGAGGGATGGAGAAAATGAGAAGGAAAAAAAAAAGATGTGCAGTCCAGGGGAGAGTGTTTAATCAAACTCGATGAAATCAAGAATTCATGGAAAATGGCAATGACCGCTCCTTCCCCCTCCCAATCTCATGCGGCACGACGCTGCTACACAGACCCAGGAAGGCACCAGGCAGATCCGGGAATCCCTGCTCCTTCCTTGTCCTCAAATTTCACGGCGATGCTGTGCTGCTTCGCCCCTGCCCAATCGTTTGGATCGGATATTGCGATATCCCCGATAGATGCTTCGATTGAAATCCCGGTGTGGCTTCGATTGTTGTTGCAAAAGTGAGGAGCAATAATAATAGTAATTAGATTGTCTTGCGACAATTGACCAGCTGTGTCCGATTGTGTTTGTATCACCCGGAAGCGGAAGCGGTTCTTTCGGACCGAAATAAGAAAAAAGTAAGAAAAAGGGACGACAGGCAAGAACGGCAGGCAGAAAAAAAGGTGAGATGAAAGTCCACAAGGGAATGAGGCGGTTGATCGCTGCTGTGGGTGTGCTTGGTTTTAATATATCCTCATCCGGGGACCGGCAGACCCAGATTGAGCTGCACATGCGCTCTTCCTCATCCGAACTATCGGTTTTCCAGCCTTATTATACTCTCTATTATAGGCCGCTCCGCCTCCTTCTTTTGTGCTTCCAACGGGTTCGGGTTCCCTTTGTTGGCCTGAGTATCTCTGTCTCTGGCGTCTTACCTTTTCCCTGTTCGACTTGCAGAAACCTCACAGCGGCGCTTTACTTTTTTGGTGATCTCAATACATCTCAATACTTTACAGCCTCCTATAATAAGATGTCGCATACAAGCGGCACGAGTAGCCACTGTTACTTCCCCTTCCTCCTCAGCCGCAGATGAGCGTAGTAGGTAGGAGGAGGTAGTACGATGAGAGAGAGGCCCCATCGATGGAGCCGGTCCACTAGAGTGCAACTTCGAAGTCGTGGCAACAAAAACTCTTTTCAATCTCGGCCCAACAAAGGACGTGATTGTGGCCCTCATGAACGATGAACGCATGCCCAGCGATGTTTGTGTTTGCTGTGCAGCCTCGTATACGCCTTTCGCCAAGCGAAGGCTCCATGTGCCGGCCTCCGTTCCAGCGCTCTGTTTTTTTCTTCTTGTTCTATTTTCCCCATCGGGCAAGGCCAAAACCAACCTCGTTGGGTGGCAGTGCCTCCCAGCCCATGCCAGCCGCGGCGCAGTGCAACGCATTCGTTCTAAAATTAAAACACTCGGCTAGGGTGACCCGTACTGGGCTGTTCCTTCGAATTTCGTTCTAACGAGGTATTTTATCACCAGTGCTTTCAGTCTATGCTCCCTCGTGTTGAATAGAAGATGGAGGTGAAGCGGATATCGAGATCTGTTGCCGTTGCGCCACTCGGTCTTTTCCCAGATCATGTCTTGAGCTCCGACAAGAAGTGAACACGGTCGAAGCAAGAACATCAGTGCACCGCAGAAACAGACTCATACAAAACAAGATACAAATGATAGAGAATGATATGCAGGAATCGGAATGAAACGCGAAGCGAGAGACACTGCTGCAAGCACTTTACGACCACAAAGAAGTGTCCGCGCCCTCTTTGCACACAGACACCACCCTCGACGGCGATCCTCTTCCATCGAATTCTCGTCAACATCACTTTTTAATCCGCCCCCAACGGTCCGGACCCAACACGGCCAACCCGTGCCCGATTCGGCGCTTCAAAAAAGACATAAAAAAAAAGGAAGAAAAAAGGGCCCTGGAAGGAACTCCCCGGGAAACGTTCCTCCCGGTCCCACCACACTCCCCACTGCTGTGATATACGAATATCTCTAGGGCCACGTCAGACCAAGTTGCAAGTTGCTCAAGCTTAAACAAGAAGGCCGCGAGAAGACCCTATATTCGAGAGCATATTAATGATATTAATGGGCAGTGTTCGACGTCCTGGATTGGACCTCTAGCCATTCTCCTCCACTCGAGCTGTCGTCAGCTGTGCCAGCTCATTCCACATCGCCAACGCATCACTTACCTCGCAGGGATGTCATACCGCTCTCGCTCTCACCTCTCACCTTGGGCACCCCGGTAATCCTCGAGCTGACGACTGTTCTTCCTCGCAAATCCTCATCTGCCTGCCCAATCCTCATCGCGGCCGTGGGCAAGTGGCCTTGCTTCCTCAACGACGTACCATCCTACAAGACCAACCACATGTGAACTGTTCGCCATGCATGGAATAAGTAAGAGGATGCAATCATGCAGCACACCTGGAGAGCTTCATGCTCCAACCAACAAAGCAACACCGCTTAAGTGCAAAAAAGGAAAAGCAGCGCCACAAACCCCAAGCAATGAAAATAACCCTTCAATATCTCCAATTGGACGAGCCCCCGCATCCCCACTTTCCCCTTACAATTGTAGCCGTTTCAGATTTCGCAAGCATCCCTGGCCATCTCTGGCCATCCCTGGCCGACGTAGCATCAATGAACCTTGTCCAGGGTAAACCCGCCCATCAACCGTCGATCATCCTATCGAACCTCCGAAGTAAACAACCCTGAGTTCGATCACGCTCTTTGATGGGGGGTGGCGCACTAGACAGCTAGCATCGTGACGTCGAGCTGTGCGAAATATCATCGTATCTATAAATATATATTGATATATGTTAACGTATGTGTATAAGATGATTGCTCTAGACTTGTGGAGTATCCCGTAGAAAGGCGCATGCACGGAGGGATGTTCCCTGGGACCTGGCTTGTCTAGACAATATTCGCCTTCGCCAGTTGCAAGCAATGGGAGCCACTCGGTCGGTTCGACATGCGAGAAAAGTGCCATCCACAAGTCCCCAAAAGTGAACTTGCCGTGCGATCGTGGATCCGGAAGCATTCCGTATCACCCTTCCTTGCTCGAAGAGGTCGACATTGAGTGTCCCAACGCATCATCGTACTTAATAAATAGTCAATGCAGAGCGTGGTGCGCACGTCTTTCTTCCGTGATGCCGGCTTTCTATGCTATGTACATGACAGGCACCTATTCATTCTTTCAAATGCTTCTTCTTTCTTGAGAGGGCAATAGCATGGCCCGCTCTAAACGCGCTCCCGCCATGCACATCAGACACCTCGTATTCTCTCTCGGTCACTCCATCTCGAATGCTGGTGGTATCATTGCTCGTGTACTCCAATGTCCCATTTCCCAGTGGAGATCTTCCCCCTCTTCCTTAATTTTTTTTCCTTCGCTTGGCCTCCTCCTGAAATGGTAAAGAAATGTAAAAGTCTAAGTACAAATACACTGAATAAGCTGGGTCGTCGTAAACCACCTCTCTAGCACCTGCTGCCCACCGGCTACATTACTAGGTGGGAACCCCTAGTTTCCAAGTGATGATTAAATCGCGAGCAAGAGATCATGTTGCTGAAGTGGTGAAATCGAAGGAAAAGAGGTGCTAGTGGTAAAGGCGGAGCAGATGAAAGATGAGGAGGCTAGACGCCAACGTGGTATCTCGATAAAAAAAAAAGGAAATCAAGGAAACATAGGAAAAGAAAAATGCCAAAGACCCATCCCTTAATTCCCAACGCAAGTCATGCAAGTCATGAGAGATAGCCGATGTAAAGGAAAAACGGCATCCTGAATAAAAATATTAAGCGGAATGATGAGGACACAAGTACGCTTCATCCAAACCGAAGGCGAAACGGAAACGAGTAACGCAGTCAAATCCAGATTTCTGCGCTCATTCTTCGACAGGATCCGGGTTCATGGCCCGGAGGACTCGTGGTTGATGTACCCGGCGAGAGTAGTCTTGATCATCGTGCAGAGTATTAACGCTTTCTCGGCTCTTGGTTCGGGCAGAGGTGAAAGGATCCATTCGGGGATCCACTGGCATTAGTCGGCTATTTCGATCGCCTGCGGCACCACCAGCCATAATTCCGCTCGAAGCCGACGGTGGATCCTTCTCTCTCGCATCGGAGCCCCAGCCAGCGAAGGCTGAGGAGTGGGAGCTTCGATTTTCGAATGTGCCGCCTCCCTGCTCGTTGGCACGCCGTCGTCTGATGATGAACCATCCGATGGCCACCAGTGCTGCGATGCCTAACACGACGCCAATAACTATTCCGGCAATCTTTCCCGAGCTCGGGCCCTTCTCTTTTACGGGTTCATTGCCAGCGCCCTGTGACCCGTCACCAGCGGTGGGTATGACGGTAACGGTGCGGATGCCATCGGGCGTACTCACTGTCGAAACAGATGATCCGTCCTGAGAAAAGAAAGATGCCGTCAGTTTTAGCTCATCATCCACAGAATTCCCCGTTATATCAGCCCGGCGCAGATCGCTCTTTTTCTTCTTTCTCACTTTGCCAAAAGACTAGCCAACAGGGACAAGAGGAAAAGGTATAGTCCCTTGAGGATAGGGATATAAGAGAACAAGAATGGAAGTTTAAAAAAAATCCATACAGAAGACAAAGTTCCACTCGTTCCAACCGAAGACTGGTCGGAACTCGCAGTTGGAGTGCTACGAGTATCTGTATTCTGGGCCGTCTCAGCTATGGATTAACCCAGAATAGAAGCAAATCAAACAAACTATGCTGGAACAAAGGGAAAGGGGGCAAAGCAAGAACAAGGGAAGAACGGTCTCCCCTCCCGTCCTCACCTAGATGATATTGTGCTAGTGAAAAAGTAGCAGAACCTAAGGACGAGATCGAAGAGGTCGAAAGTGAGGTGATCAGGGCAGGGCAGGAATCTCTGCGGCACGAAGAAACGAAAAAGTTGTACTCACACTACTACTGCCCTTGGTTCCCTTGGGATTCTTTCCAAGTTCAAGGTAGCCGTAGACTCCTTCACCACCACACAACTCCGAGTAGCCAGGACAGCCGGTATTGCATTTATCGTTACCGACGAGTGTGGAATCACTGGGAGTGTAATCGGAGCACCAGCATGACTGGTAGTTCAATACCGCGTAGGCATAATCGCCTCGGCAGAAGTCGCCACAGAGGCCATGACTTTGGAAGATGCTTAGGTCTAGCGGCTGCGTTAGAATAACCGGAAATTATACGGGCAAGAAAACTTGAGAGCAGTTGCCAACTTACTAGCATTGGTAGATGCGGTATTGATGCTCGAACAGAAATCCGCGGGCGTATCGGATAGGCAGACAAGGGCCCATAATTGTAATAAGAGGAAGAACTTTCCGGCAAACCCGGTAATGCGCTGAAGTATGGCCATCGCAGATAAGAGAATGCTGCACGTCGTAGGGTCCGTAACGACTATCTAGAGCTGCACGCTCTCCACAACCGCGATTCACCACAAGAGAGAGAGGCCTTAAGGGTGTAGTTGGCCCGAGAAAACAGGCGTGCTTCTCAACCCGAAGAAAATCCCAACCAACTATAAGGAACACCTCGCGAGGCAAAGCGAGTCGGTTGGGTTCATCAATCCAGACAACTATATTCTCCAAATGCCTTTTTTCCTAGATCGAGTAGGTAGGCATGACCTAGGTTCCCCCCTCGAGTTTCCTTGTTCCAAGACGGCAATTTATATCGCTAATTCAAGAAAACAGGAACTGGACTTCCGAACAAAAGAGAATGAATTCGCAAGAATGACTAATAATCGTCGAAATTTGGCTGAAGATCAATCTTAGGTCGATATTATGCGATTCGATAAAAGGGACGGGCTCGGTCTGTTTCGCGGTGTGGGCGGGATCGAGGAAGAGGAGACAAAGGTCTAGAAACGACGACTGCAGAGGTCGGCAAGGTCTATCCGGCAAACGCCAACGACAAGCTGAGAGAGAGAAAAAAAAATTGATTGCGAAATCGTTTGTGTGTGTGTGTGTGTGTGTGTGTGTGTGTGTGTGTACGTGTGATTCCTCTGTGCTACCAATGAAGGAAGCAGAGGTCGGTCTATACAGGATAGCGACCGGAAAGAAGATGGGTTTGTTGTCTAGAGCCGGTCGGGAGGAGAAACTGAATCTCGAAGGTGTTGTATTTCTCGTTTGCTCGTTTCAAGGTTGGGGAGTAGAATGAGAGAATCGAGGGAAGATAGGGTGATGCGAGAGTTGGAGTTCCTTTCGTGACATAGCAGGGGGGAGAAATTGGCCCGGCAGCAGCAAGCGTGAAATGCCTGATCCGGGGTTCGGGGGTTGACTGACAGGCCGAGACCAGTCGGTGACGTATGACGGAGAGGATCAGCAGCAAAATAGTGGCAAGGTACCATGCGCCAGGACCGAGATGATCTCCATCAACAGAACATTGAAGGGAAACAGAAAAGAGAAAAGCGAAAATGTGAAAATCCCCTACGCCCGCTTTCAAAGAAAGAGATGCCAATTCGGCTGCAAACGCGAGGAAAATGGGGAAATAACAAGGTTCAAGAGGTATCCAAGGACATGGAAAGAGAAGACAGCGCAAATATGAGAGTGCAGACGCAGTCGAGAGGTGGAAGGAAACAACCCGAGAAAAAGGAAAGGGCAAGCAGAACGCACGGGCTTGGGGAGGAACCATGAAATTACGAGGTACGAAGTACTTCGTACTCCGTCAAGCCAAGTCGGGAAGAAATTTTAATAAATTAGCGCTGGGGAGAGAACCTGGATTTTGGCGATACATTGATACCATTCCAAGGAAGCACGTATCATCAGTATCTCCTCCACTTGGTACTTCAAATCGTTGGTCCTGCCACCAATACCTAAATTACTTGGTGGCTAGTAGGCACTGCTGCGTATGCATTACAGGTGCTATAGTAATGCACTGCTCTCACGACCTTCTCCTTCCTCTGAAGTTCGCATGGGAGAGGCAAGGTTTGCCACGGGACTGTGAATGTACCATGCGGCATGTGCGAAGTAGTGTACGTACTTTGCTCACACAAGCCAACACTAGTGGAACACGAGGAGGACCCTTGTAAATAGTGCTGGTGTACGAAGATACATTGATTGTTGGAGCCCAGTCCGCTGTCCCGCTCCCGGCTAGTGATTTAAATGGCCCGCCCGCACCTGCACCAGGAACGACCAGCCGGGCTTCGGGCGACCTGAAGATGGAGCCAGTCTTGCGACTTTTCGTACCTCAAGCCATTAGTAGTGCTTTCCAAGTGGGGCATCGGCTATTATGTGGCTACTCCGTGCAATTCTATGTACATAAAAGGGAGGCAGAACGGAAAGGCCCATATCGATCAACAACAATTTGAAGTGATAATGAGATTGATGGGTTACTGACTAACGGAGCATTTGAGTATATGTACTTCGTACGAAGTACAACAAGAAAGGGTCAAGTACGATGTCGTATTCCAAATCCCCTCCCCATGTTCTTGATGCAAGTCAAGATGCTATCTGTCATGGAAGCGAGCATTTTTTCCTTCTCGGGTTTCCAAAATACCACACCACCATTGTCGTAAGACAATGCGTGCGGCTCGTATCCAGACACTTTTCTTGCTCGGATTGACCACTTGCGTCAAGGCCTCGACCGCTCCTACATAAACTGCTTGTCATGATATTTGATCACCGGAGGATCCAGCATCTCCCATGTTACCATAACTCGAACCGGCATGGGGGTACACTACTAGACTACGAAGCATGTATACTCCGTCCATGGACTAAGATTGACGATGGATCTCTCCGGTCTTGGCAGCGTAATGGAACTGGGGCTATTCCAGCTGATGACGATCCGGTCGGCGCTTTCTTGCCCATGTCTCCCTCAGTGCACATCGAAATAAATGGGACCAGCTTGACTTGTTTCTGTTCCAAGCTAGGGTCATTTCAGCTAAAAAGGGTATAGTCTAGCGTACATTAGTCGAGGACAGACAAAAAAGCCTGCAGGTTAGGCCATGCCAGCTCTGTTGTCAAGCGGCTAAATCGTGGGACAGACAGCGAGCGATCGACCGAGGTAACTCGCAGGGTACTAGGCACTTACTCCAGACATGTTTTCTGCAGGAATCTTGAAGTGAGTAAGTACCTTGCCAGCTGACGAAAGACACCTCAAACATTACGAAGTAAATCGCCAAATCTCCACGATTGGTGGTTAACGTTGGTACATGCGCGACTGAGAGTGATAGATGCCAGGTATTTGTGTTCTAGAGAGTTTCGGGACCTGCGAGACACGATTGATTATTTCTCACTCTGGTCGGTCGATAGATCGAAGGAGTGCGGCGTAGATAAGCCGTGTACTTGGTTGCTTAATTCTGCGGAGGCGGCTGGATATAGTAGGGCTTATTGGAGAGCTATTTTAGCTTCAGGAGACTCGCTAATCTCGGATGAAGCAATAATCGATCAATTCCAAGATCGCCCGGCCCATTACGACTGCAGTCGATGGATCTACTGTTTCTCGAATGGGGACAGTCTGTTTCAAAGAAGATCAGATCGAACGCCTCCAAGATCCTGCGAGGACCCTGGGTCTGATGAACTGCTCCAGCCGGTGTGTAAGTGTACATTTAATCATTGGTGCTCTTATCAAAATGGCGTCGAGGCGTGGGGTGTTTCCTACGACTACTGAGGACTCAGTAATAGGGGCGGAAATACGAAGATTGAACCTGAGTTGAGTGCTTGACCTTCGAATCTCACTTCCATGCCCGTGTTTAGTCCAAGATGAAGCTTGAAGCATCAATTGACTTAGACCCTAGAGGTTCCATGCCCTTCGCATCGGCTCCAAGATTTTACTAGTACAAGCAGGTAGAACAAGTCAATGATTGACATCGATGGCGGCGATGAACGAGATTTATGGTCCCGCACCCTTTTCCTTTCCTTCTCCGCAATCCCACGCTCCATCTGCATCTTGCTTGGTCAGCCAAGCGAGAGGCTGAAACGTCCGCATCCATGATCATTGCGCAAGAGGCGTGGTCCATCGTAATTTTAAAGCCTTGATTCGGACACGCACTCTGAGCCGAAGTGATCCTCCTTCCAAGGACCAAGTATGAAGTATGAAAGTATAGAGGAGTCGTGAGCGAATACTTGCCCCGTCGAGTTTACACCATTCATCATCGCGTCAACTGAGCATTCCCTCCTCCCATTGATAATGCAACAAACTTCTAGTTCTCCAATAAGGGGTTTTGAAGAGCATGGGGCCTCGGAGAATACGGGTCGAGGTCTGGGAGGGCCGCAACTCGTAATGGTCAATGGTCAGGCCGAGACGACGCATTGCTTTGGTTCACGATTCCCGCATCCTTACAAACACGATGCCGCCATTATTACCATACTTTTTCTTTTCTTTTTAACTTTCTCGGGGATTGCAAGGAGACGAATGATATCGACTCACATTCATGCTTATTAGCTTGCCTTCTGAGTGGCAAACCGAACACTCCGTACGAAGTACGGAGTACACAGAGAGGGATGCATCCGAAATATCAGGGAGTAGCCCCACCACGGAACTGCTTTCAATCTCTTGATGTGCTCAGATGCAAAGCTCCACCTGGATGGAGCAGCAGAGTCAAGATTCCAAGGTTCGGCGCGCATGAGCATGGCCAGTTAACTCTTGCTAGTGGTATGGGTAAGAGAAACCCTTCAGCCAGACTCGGCAAAGCACAAAAAAAAAAAAGAAGAATCATGACATGCTGAATCCCGTGTCACCCCAAGAGGCAGCTGGTGGGATGGAACATCAGAAAACGTAAAACTCCAAAAATATCACATCTTATAGTTTATCAAGAAATTGAAGTCCCCGCAACTATGCTTGAACGCCCACGGCAACAGACATATTTCAAAACTCCTTACTGCATCTGGGGTCACGCGAAACAATCAGTTTGCGGCCCAGGGGTAGTCGTGAGCCATGGATTGTGTCCTATCTGGCAGTTAGTTTCCGCTTTCATATGACGACAGAGGCGCAAATGCAATCCGTAAATTGTTGAGGACGGACTATTGGCACATCGAAAATGGACGGGATGATATACTGATGTGAGAATGCAAGAGAGATGCATTACTCCCTTCGTGCTTCGTGCACATTCACTCGTGCAGTACTTTTGGTGGATTTTGCTATCCCACAACCAATGTGACTTCGCGTATGCATCGATGCATCAGACCACCTCGCATCGAGGAGTGAGGTATGATGATATCTCGCCCAAGCTATTGGTATTGGTGCATTATTTAAATGATACCAAGCCCTTGGCTCCATGGCAGTGGGGGCGAGTCAGCCACGTTTTTTCCTCCCTTCTTTGTTTGTTAAAAGTTTACTCCGTAGTTCGAATGGTTTTGCCACGAGTGCCTGATCTTCGTCGACCACATGTCCTTGGGTCATCCGTGACATCATGTTCAAAAGTAA